CAGGTTGCCTGCAGCAGTGTTGGCACTGCAGACAGGTATCATGACACGCACACACGTCCAGTCCAGTCGAGATCCAACCAAGTGCAAGCCAACTGAGACATGGGCAGACAGAAGCAGCCAACAGCGGGGAAGATAGGGTTGGCCAACATGGATGGCTGCAGGACTGCCGTCGTAGTATTAGCCAAGGATAAGAAAGGACGCCACGGGTCCATTCCCTACAATCAAGGTATCTAGCAGTCTAGCTAGTAGCTACTAGCTAATCCTTGCAAGGCAGGTAGGGTGTATCTTACTGGGCCAATCTTTTGTAGATATTGAACCTTAAATGACAGATTATCGTCCTCTCTATTCCCTACTAGTGCTGGGTGGTTACACTCCGCAACGCTCGTGCGACATGCAACCCCATTAAGCATGGTGCAGTACCACGGTACACAGTGTAGTAATACACTACCTAGGTACCTAATAATGAACGGATGGATCGACGATCGGCTAGACTATGTAGGTCTAGACTCTTATGTCTGCCAGTCTGGGGAGACGAGATGTTTTGCATGCTCTATCTCCATCGCTGTGGAATATGCTCAATCGAGATCGATCGATCGATCGATCATTCGAGCCCCTCTCCAGCCGGCCCGGCATCTTATCGTACTGTACACCTCGGTACAAGATAGGTACTTAATTAACTACGGTAGAGTATAGTATTATCCACTTTACGTAAATCATAACTTTCAGAGTGCAAGTCTAGTCTATTGGTCATCTATCGACTCGTGCCTGCGTAGGCACCCTTGTCCAGTCTAGTTCTACCGATTGTACAGCGTAGACACGGCTATCTGCAGAGGCCAGATCATCGACGTGCCTGGCACGTGCTCAGCACTGTCTGGACTCTGCTGAGGATTGATTAATGATCGACGCAGCCATCTTACCCAGCTCGATCGGACCGGTCGATCTCGCCAAGATCTCGACCGAGGGCATGGTACAGAGTAGACTTCTGTAGACTTCAGTACCGTCCTGTCTACCGTCCTGTCTAACTTGAAATACCGTCGCGTCCCAGTCCCCATCGGCCAACCTCGCGCATCGCCTCTTCGCCGCCCTCCGCCAGACGGCCGTCCGCATTCGACGGGTTGCTGTTGCCCAGCACGCCCGCCACGCAGCGCCATCCATTTCTCCCCCCTCCCCAGCGGAGGACCTCGTTCTTGTACCGCTCGCCCGCTTCTCTGTCGATGGCCGCCTTGCCGGATTGGAATACATCCTGCCAGATCTTGTTCGCAATCGCCCGGTCAAAGATGTAGCTGTAGTAGGTCGCGCCGTAACCATACAGGTGTCCGAAGAACCCCTGCCAGGACGTGCGAGGCTGCGTGTCCGGAGGGTCAGGCAGAGACGAGTGCTCCGAAAAGACACGGTGGTAGATCTCCGTGCTGTCAATCGCTGGGCTGTCGGTAGGCAGCGTGTGGTAAGCTTGATCCACGAGCGCCATCAGGATCTGCGCCTCGTTTTCCACGGCCCCGTATATGAGCCCGTGAGCCGATCGATCCAGCTCCATGCTGCGCATCATACTCTCCGACAACGGCTCATCCGTCTCCCAGTGACGCGCGTAGAGAGACAGGACCTCCGGGGCGGTGGCAAAGCTTTCCATCAGCACGGAGGGCAGCTCCGCAAAATCCGTCGCGCAGCGGGTTCCTGATATGGACTGAAGTGGCGTCTGACCAAGGATGGAATGGAGGGCATGTCCCATCTCATGGAACAGCGTTCGCACGCAGTGTTCAGACAGAAGGGTCGGAGGGCCATTGCCGGAAGCGGGCGGTTCCGGAAAGTCGCAGACGAGAGCGATGGTCGGCAGCTGTCGGAGGGTGTTTGACTCGACATTCATCGCAGTGGCCATTCCGTCATTCGGGTGAGACGGAGGATCCATCGACGCCGACTCGGCGATTTCGTCAGCCGAGATTTCACGCGAGCACCGCAGCGTGAAATGGGCTGGATTCGGACTCTTGTCGGGCCTGGTGAACAGATCACAATAGATCACCGCGATATGGCGGTCAGCCTCGTCGACCACATCCAGCCGTCGCACGTCCGAGTTCCATGTCTCTCCCGGCGCAGTCTCCTGCGGTACCAGGCGCACCCCGTACAGCCGATCGAAGAGACGCGAGAGACCCTGCATCACGGTTCCAAGAGAGAAGAACTCTGGAACCCGGCTGAGCTCGCGGGATCTGCGAGACATGGAATATTCAAACACGCGTTGGTGGACGTAGTACGCATGGTCCCACGGTTGTAAAGGCGACGCTCCTTTCATGCTCTGTAATTTAGCCAGTTCCTCCTGGACCTGAACCCGGTTACTCTCGATGAGAGTCGTCAAGAAATTGGACACGGCCTCGGGGGTCTTGGCCATCTTATCACTCAGAGCCATGTGTGCAAAGCTCGGGTATCCCGAGAGCTTGGCCAGTTCGGCTCTCTTGGCCAGAAGCTCCTCCAGCCGACGAATTTGCGCCTTGCTCGACGTCCGTGTCGCGAGATAAATCTCTCTCCTAGCTTCTTCATCGTGAATTGATCGTAAGGCGAGCTTGGGGACCATTCCCACGGTGGGAATCGACACCCGATTCCACCTCTGCAGCTGCTGCACAACAACGGGATCCATGCCTCGTACGCTGTTCTTGTTGAGCACCACGTGCGATTTCGCCGGCTCAGCGCCATTCACAAAATCGGATCCCAACTGACTGATATCATTCGAGAGATTGACGAATCGCTGCCGGTCCTTGGGAGGCATGTGGATGGCCGAGTTGGTGAAGTCCTTTATCAAGATCTGCGCAACCATCTTTTCACCCTCACTCCAATGCGACGTCACTTGCGGATCGCTGGCAGCCTTCTTCAGCTGGTCATGAAGCCCGGTCGTAGTATTAAGGACGTTCATATATTCAAACATGAGCGCATACGCCTGTGTGGCGGCCTCCTGGATCTTCGGGTCTGGATGGTTGCTCCTCATAAAATCCGAGAGATCGATGACCCGACACAGGAGATCGCTCAGTCGGTCCAGGTCCTTCGCCATCGCCCGATATCCCTCCAGTGTCGACACCGCTAAGACCTTTGCAACGATCCTCTGGCATTTCTGCAACGTAACATGGGCGAACTCCCGGAACCCCTCGGGGCTGACCAGGTACTGGTTTTGCACAAGCCCGGTCCGCTTCGAGCTGCTCGCGCCTCTCTGAGAAAACTCCCGCCAAAAAGGACGCGAGTCGAAGACGCGTCGCAGGGCATCGTCGTCATGGCGTTTCGCAGCGCCGTGGGCTGCCGTGACATTGTCATATGCGAGCCTGCTCTCGGTGGGAGCAGCAGCGGTCGCCAACGGTCGGCGAGACTGGGATCGCTGCAGGCGGCGTAGACACTGCCGGCAGGTCCATGGCCGCGATCTCAGTGTCTTCAGCATCATCTAGGGCAGATGACTGAGTATTTGAACCCATGAACAGCAGGGGTTCGCGTGAGCAGATATAGGGAACGAAAGGCCAGCCGCGAACGCGAGGCCGGAACAGGCTGCTGGCGGTTCCTATCTTTTCTCGTCCGCCAGACCCGAAGGCTTGGCTTCTTCCGTCCGCCAGCCTGCAAACAATCTGTTCCACCACCCTCTCGCACGACGCCGCATCCATTGGCCCTTGACCTCTTCAGCGTTCAAGATGTCATTCCGGCCAATGTTCCAGCGGGTACGTAGCTGTTTGGATTTCTGTGGCATGGCTCCTCAGCGGCCTCACTGACAAGTCTGCAGCGGACCGTCGCTCCCATCGCCGCAACCCTCCTGGCTGGAGGTATCGCCGCATATCCCAGGACTGCCTTTGCAGAGGCCCCGTCGGAAACGGTATGAGCCTGTTGTCCATGAATTTTACTGCGATATGCTGACAGATGTGTTGTCGACGCAGAGAAAACCCATCTACGACGACTATCCCTCGGAAAACGCATCCGAAGAGAAGCAGCAAATACCTAAGCTGTCCCTTCCTTCTTCTACCTCCCCTTCTGCCCCGTCCTCGCCACAGGACTCTCCGACTCCCACCGACCTTCTGACGGCGCAAGTTCGGCGGGCTCGTCTGTTCCTCTACCGACAGTCTCTCGCGGCGGAGACCAGCTTCAACGACTTCCTGTCTCGCGTGCTCCGCATAGAGAACGCCTTCACCGACACGGTCGCCTCGCTTGCGCCCTCGCCCGAGTCGGGCGAGCGTCTTCTTCCGGGCAGCATCTATGTCATTGTGTCGGCCATGGCCGGGTCCATCGTGGCCCGAAACCGCGGCATCTTCCTGCGCACCACCACCCCGCTTGCCTTCGGCACGGTTGCGGCGTGGACTCTCCTTCCGGTGACGATGCGCAACGTCTCTGATCTGATCTGGGAGTATGAGAAGAAGGTGCCCGTCGTGGCAGACAACCACCTTCGATTCCGGAACTTCGTGGAGCACACCTACACGACGGGCGTGGCCCACAGCAAGATGGGACGTGCTATGCTCGAGGAGAAGATTGGGGAAGTTAGAGAGAAACTGGAGGAGTGGGTGAGAAAAGGCCGATGAGTGAGAGAGATCACTCCACCTGCTGGATTATATACTTCGGTTGGGGGGAAAAAGATCTCCAGTGTAAAATGAGAGCTCCTGCCCTCCGTTGGGAAGAGACGGACGGGCGATGTAAAAGCTCCTGTAACTGTGTACATTTACCACGAAACACACTGATCGAAGAAGGTTGGGTGCTTTTCTTCGGATCTTGTCCTTTTTTCTCCCCTTTAGAACAATAAACGTTTCTTTTGTTTTGTTGGTTATATAAAGTCCATAGCATCGCTCTACGCTAAGATACCTAAAACAGAACCCTCCTGCATTCAGCAAACCTTACGTTAACGCATGCATAGTGGTGCCTCAGCTTGAAAAAATAACCATACAACAGATTGACGGCATGGTCATACTCGCATTCATATTTTACGTCTGCGCTGCAGGTTCACTGCTACCTTCCGTACGCGCCGGACTGGCGGAACTTCGAGGCGGCCCCCCTGCCTTGGGAGGCGGTGCAAGCGGTGTACCTTTTCGCGAAGGAACAAAGTCCTGTTCTCTGCTCTTCTGTTCCCCCTCGGCAAAGTACTCGTCAAACGCGCGGTTGGGCGACAACCCTCCATGGCGGTGCCTTCGCCCAGTTTTTGATGATCGTGCCGTAGACTGGCTGCCGAGGTTGGTCGCTGGGGACGTCAATGGAGGTGGTGAGGCCATGTTGGCAGGGACAAGGAAGTTCCCAGAAGGAGGAGCAGAGGCAGATGCGTTTGGACTCGGCTCCCGCGGCTGCTCAGAACCGTCCTCTTTGGTCTCAAACACAACTTCTCCAGGCCCTTCCACCTCTTCTCCCAGTCCGACGGGCAGTCGGTGTAATGCGCCATATCCCAGCACTGCGCCCAGCGCGCCTTCTCCACCCCACCCCCTCGTAGGAATCAGTTCTACCTCCCGAACCACGTCGAATTCGCTGTTGTAGACCCATAATACGAGACTTCGGTCGAGGTGGTCCTCGATCAATTCGCTCAGGGCGCTTTCACCTCGCAATGTGCCACTGGGCGATCCGAGGATGTAATCTGAATGTTCTAACAGGCCCGCCAGGTACGCTGGACTCTGCGGCGACGGTATGGAGAGGACATGCCAGATGTGCTGTGTGGATGACAGAGGGGCGAGCTGTAGCGTAAGTCCGAGTTTGGGGTTGTCCTTGGGGACAGGTATGGAAATGGTATGAGTTCGTTGACCCTAGAAACACGACGTGAGCATGAGGACAGTCGATAAAATGGATATACCCCTGCCTACTTTTGCGCTCCAGATTTCTAAAGACACGCTCGAACCGGCACAGTTGCGGACTTCGGTAACGAACAAGTTGGGGTCAGGATCGTCCTGGAAAGATCATACTGTGTGAGCAGTAGTTAAGACGCCACGGTGTCAGATTTGACACTCACAATCAGGCGACCATTGATTCCAATGATGAAGTCGAACCACGGCTCCAGTGGCAGATCCGGGTCCTTATTTCGAAGGACCTGGAAGCCGAATGAGTTGTCGCCGGGAGCATTTGAGCTCTGTTGTGGAGTTTCGGCGTCAAACCTCCCGATAAATCTGTTCAGGGCCCCAAACATGATTGACCTCCAGCCTTCCGACGAGAAGAAATCAATGTAAGAATTCTGGCTGGTCCCTGGTCCCTCCGCATCTATATTGACCTCCCCGCTGCCAGCTAGCTAGGCTCGATAGCGAGAGCTGTCCAGAACGGGTACTATTGGGCGGAGAGCAAACAGAGCAAACACTCCCGCTGCGTCATTCGTCGACGCGTGATCGAGCGTTTCCTATCATGTGAATCAGTCTGGGGGCGAGCTCAACTATCGCAATACAAGACACACAGAGCAGGAGTCATCTTGTCCTGCTGCCATGGGCGGCGATACCGAGGAAGCGCCTCCAGAGGTCCACCACTACACCAACAGAGGAGAGGTTCCTTGGGATATCCAAAAGTACGCCTAAAGATTTCTCTTAATCTAATAGTTATGCATGTACTGACCACACGCCATAGCTACTGGGTGCAACGGCACAAAATATTCTCCAAGTATGAGGAGGGCATCTGGCTAACTGATGATGCCTGGTTTGGGGTGACTCCAGAGCCTGTGGCAAAGTTCGTGCGATCCTGCATATGCGCTCGTTCGTGAAGTGTCTTGCTTGCTCTTAGCTAACATTTGTATGCGCAGCAAAATAGCAGAGCATGTTGCCGCTTCCGCCCCAGCTGGACGAAGCATCCTGGTCGATGCATTCGCGGGAGCTGGCGGCAACACCATCGCCTTTGCAAAGTCTAATCGATGGAAGCGCGTGTATGCCATTGAGAAAGACCCTGCGGTCCTGGCTTGTGCCAAGCACAATGCCAAGATCTACGGGGTCGAGAAGAAGATTACATGGTTTGAAGGCGATTGTTTCCACATTTTGAAGAACCAGTTGAAAGAATTAGGGCCGTATAGTGTCCTCTTTGCAAGTCCTCCCTGGGGCGGTATGTCTCATCCACCACCCACCAAGCATTTAAATGTTGACTTGAACCCCCCAGGACCGGGTTATCGCTCAGATGAAGTATTCAACCTGCGCACCATGGAACCGTACTCGCTCAATTTCCTCTACACCGAATTTTCGCTCTTCACTGAGCACATGGTCTTGTACCTGCCGAGAACTTCGGACCTTAGACAGCTGGCCAAAGTCGTGAAAGACGGCCAGAAGGCGACTGTCATGCACTACTGTATGGAAGGCGCTAGCAAAGCGCTGTGCATCTACTACGGCGGATTCAATTTGGAGCCGTAACAGAAATGGCTTTTGACTCTACTCATCCCTCCAGCACCGACGATTTTCTTGAACTAGCATATTTTTAGGGAACAAAGACGGACATGATAATCGTGAAATTGCATCTGGTCTTTGTGGTAAAGCTAGCTAGGGTTCTATTCGTGGAGTCGCAATAAGGTGACAAAGAGACCAGGAAGGAACCTCGTTTCTCATGGCCTTGCAATCAAAGATTGTCAACGAAGTGGAGTTAAAAAGACCAGTTTTGCATGGATCTTGCTTGTTGATACCCTGGCTATTACTGCTTTGATGTGATTATGACTCATAAAATAGAACAATACAAGATTCTCTGATTTGCTATTCTTTTGTTGTCCATACTAAAGACAAAAAGGAGCCTCTCTCCCATTTTGAGACAACTGTGAATCACAATCCAGCAAGAGAGAGTAGGGTGCTGCCTTGTTGCCTGAGAGGAAGCTGATTTCGTACGGAGCTACCTCTCCGCATGTGGCTTATGTAATAACCTACACATTCCTGCAGGCATTGAAGAGAAGTAATTTATCGTATTTATGGAATTTGAAAGCCATTCACTGGTAGTTTCTTCAAGCAGAATTGTTTTCTGCTCCTCTTCCAGTCACAGTGACGTGCGCCACGGCCTGAGGTGATTTCCTCTTCTGGACTAGCGTGGGCAGAAGTCGCCGCCAGTTAGACGCGCGCCTCTTTCCCTCCTCGACCGCAACTCCCCGCAAAGACAGCTCCGGTGACCGACTGACTGTCTTCATCCTCGCCTTCGCCTCTCTTACGCGTGCGTCTTTGGTCATCGTATGCGATGACTGTCGAGTCGGCACGCGACCGCTGACATTGTGCGCGCGCTGAACCACGCACGTGCCTTTTACCTCTGCCTTTCACCTCATCGCCAGCTCAGAGTCGGTCGAATTGCTAAGCAAAGCTCAAGGGAAACACACAGTCGAGCGCGCCGTCCAAGATGCCTCACGCAACCGAGAACGACTCGACCGCGGCCGACGATGCCGAGTTCGAGCATGTGATGCAACAGATCAGCGGTCCCTTGGGGGACGGCGGTTTCGATTTCATGACGCGAGAGCTCGAGCCCGGTGAGAAAGCGGAGGATGCAGTCGACTACGAGGATATCGATGACGAGGACCTTCCGGAGGAGGAGGAACCCTCGCGGCCTCAAGAGGCTCCGACCACCGAGAAGACCGCGGACCAGGATGAGCAGCTTTGGGATGGAGATGATAAGGATCTCTTCGGCGAGGACGAGGCGGCGGACGGGCAAGAGGAGCGTGATGATCTCGACGACTTGTTCGGTGAGGCGCCATCATCTCCTGCGGCGGAACGGGAAGACACAACACGAGACCTCTTTGAAGATGACAAGCCGCCCGTCGATGAAAGTCCTGCGCCCGCGGCCGCCGAGACCGAGGCCGAGGCCGAGGCGATGGATGGAGATGTCGATATGCCATCTGAGCGCGCCGTTTCCCCTACTGAGGAAGACATGGATCCGGCGACTCTTCGGGCGTACAAGCTCCAACAGGCCTTGTTTGCAATGTCAGCTTACGGCCCAGACAACCCTCCAGCACCACCGGAGAATATGGAAGAACTCCTCCAATCCTTATGGCCTAACTTCGATAGGAACGCTCTGCCTCGTTTTCTTGAGTTAATCCCGCATAAAAAGGCGTACTTTGTCGGAAAACAGCCCCTCAAGCCTCCGAAACCAGTGCAGCCAACTAAGATCAACCTTGAATTGGGACCGGATCAAGAGCGAATTTTCAAAACGGGCGGACAGGCCAACAAGCGGGCTCTCGAATCAGAGAACCTGGGGATCGTCCCTGTGCTGGGGGTTGACCAAGAGGAGGAAGGCCCGGAAGAGGTTGAGCCTGATACGGACGGTGAGGAGGTGCTGCCTGGAGGTGTCACCATGCAAGACCTCCGCATGCTCTGCACCGACTGGGATGTCAAAAGCGATATCTCCGTGATGGATGTCGACCCAGAACCTGAGGCTGATCAACCCCCGACTCTAGAAGCTGAGGAGGATGACTGGCTCTTTGAAACTGTCGAAAATGTCCGCCCGACCAAGAAGCGTAAGCTGGGGAAGGACCCCAAGGATCTTATTGCCCTTTCACACATCGATTTGCCCATAATTGATGATCCTGAATCGGCGACTGCGCAAGTCGCGAAGAAGGTTCTGATTGACATGAACGATCCCCATTTGCTCCTTGATACCCGTCCTGAGGCTCTATCACAGAAGCCGAAGGCTCTGACCGGTGCGAAGCGAGATGAAATGGATGTGAACGCCACGAAACGGCTCACTCAGCGGTATAACATATCTAATGATGAAGCCTACGATATGCTCAAGGAAAATCACCAGAACAAAGTCAGAAGCACTCTGGGTACTGTTGCTCTTGAGCACAGCATGCCGGCACTGCGGCTACAATGGCCATACTACAAAACCGAGCTTTCCACGTCTGAAGCTCGGTCGTTCCATCGACCATCGCTATCCTTTCGTCCCCATCAGACTGTCTGGTTCAAGAACCCAGCATATATCAAGCGCAAGCATCAGAAAGGCAAAGACGCCAAGACTCTGTTCGATTCCACCAAGTCTCTTTCGCTGGCAGACAACTCGACCCTTCTGTTGCTGGAGTACTCTGAGGAGGTTCCGATCATGTTGTCCAACTTCGGAATGGCGAGTCGTTTCATAAATTATTACCGCCGCAAGAATGCGGAAGATAGTACTCGTCCGAAACACGAAATCGGTGAGACAGTCGTCTTGCTACCGCAAGACAAAAGTCCCTTCTCCATCTTCGGGCACGTTGACCCCGGCGAAACAACCCCTACCGTTTCGAATTCTATGTATCGCGCACCTTTATTCCCTCATAAACCCAAACCGACCGATTTCTTAGTGGTTCGGAGCACCACAGGCAGGGGCGGATCGGATTATTACCTGAGGAACATTGAAAATCTATACGTTGTTGGACAGCAGTTCCCTTCCGTTGATGTCCCGGGTCCGCATTCTCGAAAGGTTACAACTGTCGCAAAGAATCGTCTGAAGATGCTCACCTTCCGTCTCATGAGGAAGTCTGGCAATTCGCAGGTGTCGATTTCTGATGTCACGGCCCACTTGCCTGGGTCAACGGACATGCAAAACCGTCAGAAGATGAAAGACTTCGTCCTCCATGACAAGGACACCAAGCAGTGGGTACCAATCGGTGGGATTCCTGACTCGGATACTATTCGGTCTTGGATCCAGCCGGAGGACGTATGTCTGCTGGAGTCCATGCAGGTGGGACTGCAGCACCTTCACGACACTGGCTATGCCAACGAGGCGGATGAAGATGATGACGAAGCGGATGGCGAGAGTTTTGAACAACAGATGGCGCCGTGGAGGACAACTCGCAACTTCCTGATGGCATCACAGGGGAAGGCCATGTTGAAGCTACACGGCGAAGGCGACCCGACCGGCCGCGGCGAAGGGTTCAGCTTCATCAAAACATCGATGAAAGGCGGCTTCAAGCCCATTGGCGAGAGTGTGGAGGACAAACTCGACGCCCAGAGACTCAAGGAACTTGGTGGTCACAGTTACAACGTGGCTCGGCAGCAGAAATCCTATGAGACTTCCATTCGCCGTATTTGGGAGGCTCAAAAGGCAAGCTTATCGTCGACGGTCGAGGTTTCTGATGTCGAGAGTGATATCGATCAAGACGACGAAGACTTCAGTAAACCTACGCCCAGGGATGCACCAACACCTGGCTTTGGTCGTCGAGATGATGAGAGCGTGAGCCAGTTTAGCAAGATGAGTACCACCAGCCAGCGGGGCAAGGTCTTGAAGATTACACGGGAATACAAAGACGAGAATGGGAACATATATCAGAAGGAGCAGTTGGTTTGGGATCCACGCGTTATCCGACAATACACGCAATACCGACACCATCTGGAGACCGTGAACACAAAGTAAGTATCGCATTGAGTTTTTCCACTGTCAGAATCGCCTAACTAACGCTTTCGCAGACTTGCAGAGCTCGAACCCACCGGCGACCCGGAAGTGGATGCCCGCAACAAGAAACTGTATGTGATACCTCTGCGTTATGTTTTCCTGTTTAACGATGGGATACTGACATGATTTTAGGCTCGAAGCCGAACTGGGACGACTCCACAGAAACAAGGAACGACGCTTCGCCCGGGAGAAGCAAAAAGGATTAGCGAGAGCCTCTGCTGGAGAGTCCGAGGACGCGGGTACTCCAGGCGGTCCGAAGATTGTGGGAACCCAGCGAAAGTGCGCCAACTGCGGACAGGTTGGGCATATCAAGACCAACAAGAAGTAAGTCGGCCCAAGTTTCTCTTCATATAGTTTGGATTGAACAACGGCCCCTTTCCCTTGCTTGACACAATTTTTAAGGAGAACGCGTGCTAACAAGGGTGTTTCTTCGTCTCGCAGACTCTGTCCTCTCCTCAATGGCACGATGAAACCAGAAGACCGTATGACCGATTCAGCCTTCTCCATGGGTGCCCCGCCAGCTCTTTGATTGAGTCAACAGCCCTCTTTCACTCGACTCTGCAAGAGAATCCTATGTACGGGTTCCCTTTTTACACTTTTCTCCTCCCTAACCTACTCGCGTCGAGGTGCGCGCGCACTTTTTGTATCGCTACCTGTTGCGTTTTGAAGACATATCGACTTGTAATAATACCCTTGTTGGCCTTTTTTTTTCTATCTTTTACACAATTATCATGAGTGGTCGATCCCGGCTGATCTGACCCGAACAAAACAAAACAAAAAAAAAAACGAAACCAAAACCAAAACCAAAACCAATCGAAAGAAATATCGCATCCGATTCAAGGAGGGGAAAAGAAAAAGACAAAGAAACAGGAATGTCTGTTCCGAGTACATACATACATACATTACATTACATTACAGACATTACAGACATACATACATGCATAATAATGCATATTCTTCAGTGCAGTACATCTCCGTTCTGTTGTCAATCGATGGTTATTGCGGTTGCGGTTATTCTGGTCATGGGTTATGGTTATGGATACGGTCATGGGTACAGTCACGGTTAGGGTCAGGATCATTGTCTCATGGATTTTTTTTATGTATGTATGGGAGTTTTGTTTTGGCTTGTTTAATATTAATTAGAGTTACTGATAGTTTGATATCTCCTCCCTTGTTATTCAATACACACAAAACACGTAATTTAATTGAATCAAGTCAAATCGAATTGAATTAACTTGAATCTCATGGATCGGACGGACAGTGGACAGTCGGAGTTTTGTCCTTGTCATTGTCATTCTCCTGCATGACAAAGGACTTACTTTCAATGCAAAGAGGACTACTATTAATGCCAGTCTTTGGAATGAAGCATACATCCGGTTAATGAAGGTCTTGTCATTCGCTAAGGATAGATAAGATATCCTGTTGACCCAGTCTGGGACAACATCCTGACTCAGGGAGCGGGTTGGGCGGTTGCCCTATAACGAATATTTCCATGCAAAATGAACATCGTCGAGGACGGAGTTGTCATATAATGAATCATACAGGATGCAGAGTATAGGTTCAGCCAGTCTACCAGGCCACTAGACTCCGACCTCTCTCGGTCTCAAGTGCCAACATCACAGCTCGAGGTCGACGGTACGTATAGCCCAGAAAGGCGCCTTTTTTCCGGAGATCCAGGACAGTCTTTCCGACGACTTCATCCCGTAAGATTTTATCCCGGGGTCTTTTCTTCTCCTTTTTCCTTTTGTGGACCTTCACTGGAAACTTGGCCGGGGTATCGACTTTTGCAGGTTCCTGATCGTGGGCACTGATCAAATCCTCCTTCCCCGCGTCTCGAGATGCTTCAGCTTCAGGCTGAATATCTGCGACGTCCGCCATAGTCACATCTCCTTGCGGCTCAGGTGCCGGAGCGGGAGGAGATACATTGCTGCCAGTTGACGTATCTTTAATGTCGCTTATCGGCTCGTCCTCCTCGAAGTATTTTGTGTCTTCCCAACTCTTCACCTTTGGAACGAACGGCGGCCTTCGATAAATGAGCTCATTCCATTTGATGCCGTCGAAAAATGGGTGCGCCTTAATGTCACTCGCGTCGTTGGGATAGACATAGAAGCCCTTGAAGTCCGTACTTGCAAGCTCACCGGGTGCCTTCTTCTGCTGCAAGAGATCGTTGACCTTGTACTTGCTGGAACACAGTCGATTCTCTTTCTCCTGAAGGATTCGACTGATGAGATCGATTGCTTCGACCGACACCAGCTTATCAGAAGGCTTGTCTACCGGAAAGTATAATGTTCGAGGATGTTGCTTTCCGCAAATGTCAGTCATTGATACTTATCAAGGAGAAGAGAATACTAACCAGAATCCTGATTTTGGTGTCGTGGCGGTTCTCGCAGGCAAAGGGGGTGAATCCGTACAAGCACTGGTGACATGTCAGACTTGTTTCCTTGCGTTTTCTCTTTGCAAACTCACCTCGTATAGTATGATCCCAACACTCCACCAATCGCATCTGCCGTCATACAACTCTCCTCTTATAACTTCTGGGGCCATATATTGACTCGTTCCCACAATACTCTTGGCAAGCCGTCTTCTTTCCTTGTGATTACGCCAATCGAGAATGTGCACACCATCTTTTGGCTCTCTGAGGTCGTCGTCACGCACCCCAGCTTGGCCAGCAAGAGGTCGGCTTTGTTTATCTGGTGCTGTCTTGGCCTCCTTTCGGTCCTCGGAGTCGCCTTCAACCGTGATACCGAGCTTCTTCAACAGCGAATGGCGTTGGTTGTTGAAATAGGCTTGATCATGAGTCCAGTGGCCGTCGAATGCGAGCCCAAAGTCTGAAATTTTCAAATGCCCGGAAGCAGAGATCAAGAAATTGTCCGGTTTGACATCACGATGTATCCATCCAAGTCGATGGGCTTCCTCAACGCACAGAACCATCTCTGCAACATACCACCGAGTCACGTCTTCCGACAGAATATTCTTCCTGATCAACAGCCCAAGGAAATCACCGCCGACCATGTAGTCCATAACAAGGTACAGATAATTCGTATCCTGGAAACTTGCGATCAGGGGAACGATCCACTGAGACTTCTCTGACGCGACTAGGAAGTCTCTCTCGGCCCGCAAGTGTCCTTCCTGGCAGTTCCGCAACATGTCTGACTTTCGTATCACCTTCATTGCAAACACCTCCTTTTTCATCTTCGTCACATCACTTCTACGAGGCTGGCGAGCTCCGCTGGTTGCATGTTTCAGGACAGAAACATCTTTCTGCTTGCCTCCTGATGCGGCGATGGCTGAGTCACAGACCTCCTGGCTTTCCTTCTTTTCCTTGACCAGTCGCACAACCCCAAAACTTCCCTTACCGAGAACTCTGATGACTTCATATCCTGCAATTGAGACGCTCTCGAGGTGACGGATACAATTTGATCGAGTTTTAAGAACCCGAGACTGACGCAAGTATTCACTTTCCTGCGCTAGCCAAGCCTTGCGGGCCTGTAGTCGCTCCTCTGCAGAAACTGGCAAGACGTGAAGCCGGTCCTCGAGCTCCCGGAGACGTTGCGAACGTGGGTCTGTTCCAGAGAAAATTGAGTTGAAGTGGGTTTCGAAGAATATCTTGGCTGTTGCAGTGGCCTCAACTGTAACTATAGATGGAGAGGGAATGACAGGGTTCTCCCTGATGGGCACAAGCTTCTGAGCTGGGGTGCCAGCTTCACGACTCCAGATAGAGAAGCTCCAGCTTCTGTTACCAGGACTGAGAGCCTGGGGCTTCGATATTTTAGGAGAACGCGATACCCCATCTGATGAGGTCGGATTGGTGCTCTGGCTAAACGCAGGCGAATCGCTGCCGCTGTTGGGGGTGGAAGGATCCGAACTGTCCTGAGTATTGTCACACTGCTTGCTTAGAGACGTAAGGGAGGCAGAGCCATCGATGTTTGGAATACTTGGTCTCGATCTGACATTCGTACGGTGGATCACGGTGGGGTGACCAAATGTTGATAACTTTTGGGACAATCGACGAGCGAGACCGGGGGTAGTATGACTCCGACGTATACCGCACGGGAGGTTGCAATCAGTTGAGGAGTGAACACCCTCAAGATTCTGATTTTTGGTCTTTTCCTTCTCGGGATTGGAGGAGCGCGAGGTATCGACACTTGGTGTCCTGCTTAGAAGGGCATCATCGCCAGCCGGTGTCTGGCCAGAGGGGGCTGCACATGGACTTTCCTCAGATGGAAGTAAATGCTCTTGTGAGAGTTGAGAACTGGAGCTGACGGCACTCTCAGATGGATCTGGACATTCATTTGATGTTTTATTGGCTGAGGAAAGCTGTTAGCACGGACCAGGCAGACTGCAGGGGATCACCGAAGTACTATCTGTACAGTACATACCAGAATTCCAGAATCCCAGCATAGACAACAATCTCGTGCTATTTCTCCTCAGGCGTCCCCTAAATCCATCCGAACCAGAACCATCTTTCTCACTATTGTTTCCTCCAGCTGGATCAGAGCTAGATGCGCGCGTGTCGTCCCTAGTCTTAGATTGCATGTCTCCATCGATGATGATCACCTTGTTCGATGGCCAGAGACCAAATCGACTACGAGATGTCCTCGCCTTTCGCTTTCGATCGACCGCCATTGCCGCAGTTATCTCAGTAACATCTGCAAGAGAGGAGCAAAGAATCGAACTGAACTCTTGAAAGCCCTACTCCTGGCCGATAATTGACATGTTAAGTATATGTGAGGCGTTACATGCAAGTGTGACCAATGAACATCCCTAAACCAACTGTGAATGAATGAAGACTGATAAGGGGGAAATGCACTGGATGAGATGGAACAGAAGACACAGCGGAAGCGTGTTTCGAGAGAGGAGTCGAGGGGGGAATGAGTCAGGGAAGGCACCGAAAAGGAAGCTGCCAATTGGGGAAACTGCAACTGCAGGGGCAAACCATCAGTGAACCCCCAGTTGAAATGCAACAGCTTCAACTATCTAGTGAAATAAATACGTTTGCTTGAGGATGATGCTGAATTACAATTTTCTATGGACAAACACATGTCCTTATTTCAGTAGCTTCCCTCGTCGTCGAGTTAGCCTCACAGAATGAGATGATTTGCAAAAAGACTCTCTCCCTTATCGAAGTCAATTGGAGAGGAAAAGACAAGTTGAAGACGCTATTGTACCAAGTACATCTCTCTATTGTGAGGCTAGTGATGGATTCACCTTATCATACAGGTAGGAATGGGCAACGTTGCTTCAGGGGAAGCTTCTTGATACTCCAACATTTTTTTAATAGGGGGGGGGAAAAAAATGTAAGATAAAGGAAATTCAATCAGAAACAAGTTTTTAACTCCGAACGCGATATCCTCATCCCTGCCGAATGCAACAAAAGGGGTGCACAATCACAAGTCGGATATCCCGAGAACAACACAAGGAAATACCATAAGTCCCAAGTAGTAAATCACCGATAGAGTCGGAAGGAAAATAAATATGAAAAGATTGCAATGCCGCTGACAGGAAGGTTATTCAGGGTGGGAAATGAGCACCGCTGCCAGCGAATCCGGAATAGCATCTACAACCAGCCATCCCGAAAGCGAGGAGCTATTCTGGCTTATTTGATCTCCAGCAGCTTCACATCGAAAATGAGCTTGGAGTTGGGAGGAATGCCCGGCATGGCTTTCTTGCCGTAGCCGAGGTGAGGTGGAATGATGATGCGTCGCTCACCACCAGCAGCCATACCAGCAACGCCAATGTCCCATCCCTTGATCACCTCACCCTTGCCGAGCTTGAAAGTGAAAGGCTTTCCCTTCTTGTTGGCTAGAGAATGGGCAGTCAGCAACTGCAGACAATGGTTGGAATCACGACCTTGACTTACCATCAAAGACCTTTCCGTCCTCCAGTTTACCGATGTAGCGCATGGACACCGTGTTTCCATTCTTGGCAACAGGACCCTTTCCAAGCTTCTTGTCATCGATCTTCACACCCTGGACCTCCTTCACACCCAATGTGCCGGTGGTCTTCTCGGAGGATTTCTTGTCCTGAGCAGACCCGGTGGGACCCTGTTCGAGGTTCTTCGCAAACTGAACCTTCTTGTCAGACTTGGCCGGAGCGTCCTTTCCATCCTTCCCGTCCTTTGCATCCTTTTTCTCTTCGACAGGAGCGGCTTCGCCGTTGTTCTTCTTCAGTTTCTTCTGCTGCTTCTTGCTCAGGTTGGCCTCGCCGTTGGGTTTGGACTTGGCATCCTTGGCCATCATGTCATCCAGGCCGGCCTCATCTTCCGCGGGACGCTTGTTTTTCCCCTTCGGGGGTGCGGTGACGAGCTTTGGAGCCTCCTCCTCCTCGTCGGAGTTAATCTCGGTGATTCGAGGGTTCTCCAGATCATCCAGCTCGTCACTCTCCTCGTCTTCGTCAATCAGGTCCATATCCAACTCGTCCTCGTCGGGGGAGAGATCATATTCATCCTCGTCGTCCTCTTCGTCCTCGTCATCGAGCATCCTGCGACCCTCGTCGGTCGGCATCACGTAGTTGCCGGTCAGATAGACCGTGTGAGTACCAGTCACCTTAAAGTAGATCCGCTCATTCTCGGACACGGTGATGTCGAGGGGCTGTTGGCAATGCTGTTGTGTCATGTCAGCAAAAAAGCCAGCTCATCGATGGCGACAGAACACCTACCTTCTCCGGGTCCAGGGTGCAGACGACAATCTCTTCGAGATCCAGACTCTCATCATCGTCGTCATCATCGCCATCTTTAGCAGGGGCCTTCCCCTTGATCAGCTTGGAGATGGCAGACTTCATGTCAACTTCCTCTCCTGCCCCATCAGAGTCATCCTCATCCATGGCGTCCTCCATCTCCTTGCGAGCAGCAGCTTCGCGCAGTTTCTTGGCCTTTTCCTTGTCGCTGGGTCCGCCATTGATCTCCTCGTCCTCAGAGTCCTCGTCGCTCTCGTCCTCGTAGTCGTCATCGTCCTCATCCATGTCCATGCCAGGCGGCGGACGCACGATCTTGAGAGTGGCACGTGGAGGCTTGCTGGAGTCGTAGTCGTCCTCGTATTCAGGTGCCGCATCGGGGTCGATGGCCGCCATGCTCACGCGAAACTACACCCGATTACTATTTCAATTCGTTTTATCTATGGCGAGACTGTCAACGCCTCGACCTCTTGGACTTTGGACTTACCATCGCAGCGGAGTCCGGGACGGCAGGGACCAAGCCGCCCCCCGGCGGCACCTGCAGCGCATAGACTGCGACAGGCTGGACTCCCGACATCTTGCAGGAATTGAGATGGAGAATCGAAGGGCAGAGCTGTCTCCTTGCTGGGGATCCTCGAGACGAAAGAGAGAACTATTGACGACAAGAGGAGAGCTGGAACTTGTCGCTCGTCTGGAGGGAAGAAGGAAGAAATAAAAAAAATTTTAGTCAACAAATGCAGGCGGAGCTAGTCAGAGCGGGTGGATAGCGGCGGCGGGAGCTGTTCCTTGGGAGCGGAGCCGCGAACTTTTTTTTCTTTCGTTTCCTGGGCTGGGTCCGAGGCGGTGAGGTTGCAGCCAGCTGGCTCAACTAATCAGTGCCAGACAAGCAGAGCCAGACAGAGATGATTGGCCGAAGAATCTACGGCAGCTAGCGAGGAGCGAATATTTTTAAAATTTTTTTAACGATCTACCGAAAGTACAGCTCGTCGTGGCCGTCGCAGAGTATTGCCTTCAGAAAAAGGAAATCTGCCGGTCATGTGATCTCGTTCCGCCAGTTCGCGTCTCCCCGCGTCATATCGCCACGCATCTCCATCACCCCCCAGATAGTCCACCCTGCCTGCTGCTCTGTCGTCGATCCAGGAGCTGGCTCAGAAAGTCCATCAGGGATGACTGTAGATGCGCGCCCATCATGGGCTCCCGGCTCGACGCCAACTCTGGCGCAGTGCGCAAGAGAATCCAAAGCCGTAAGCCTTATCTCCAGCCCCGTTCAGGCGGTAGCATGGTTTTTGCTGATTTGTCTATAGACACCTTTGAGAATGAGGATGGGGAGGAGTACGAGGCCTCGACCTTCGGGGGCTTTGGAGATTATATCCGTCGTAAGAAGGTGAAGCTCCAGAACCTGGATGCTGAGATACGCGCCTCGTCTGCGGACAAGCCACCCATCTTTCGTGGTGTTGTCGCGCACGTCAACGGATACACGCAGCCGTCGCTGAACGACCTTCATCGTATGATCGTCAGCCATGGAGGCGGTTTCCTCCAGTACCTGGATGGCAAGACCACCGCGACTCACATCATCGCCAGCGCCTTGACGCCCAAGAAGCGGGAAGAGTTCCGCAAGTATCGAATTGTCAAGCCGGCGTGGGTTGTGGAAAGCATCAAGGCAGGCCGTCTGCTTCCCTGGGATTCCTTCCGCGTTGTCGATGAAGGTCCCTCTCAGAGGATCCTGAAGTTGGAAAATGGTCACTTGGGAAGCCAGGCCCATGACCCTCAGCACGGATACAAGGAGCAAACAGACAGCAGCTGGTATGCTTCCCAGCTCAGAGACGCAGCCGAGGCTTTTTCAGAACTCCCCTCCTCCCGCTCAGCCGCCCCAAGCATCCACTGAGATGCCCCAATCGAACCCCAGTACGAGCGGCGAGACCGACTACGGCGAATTCCCGACCCTAGAGTCTTCAGGTGATGCCAATCATAATCAAACAGTCACAGAAGGCAAACAAGAACCCGTCAAAGAGGCCGAAGAGCCCGTCAAAGATCAAGAACCTCAGGCTGATCCGGTCGCTGGAGATGACAGCGGTCCTTTCCCGTACCCGCTGGTGCGAGAGACGATGCCTGTAAGACCGGACATGACTCCCGAGGAATACAACGCGCAGCTGCTGTCCGATCCTCGGATGAGAAAATCAAGCGCGACGAACCCGGAATTCCTGCAGCAATTCTACCGAGAATCGCGTCTCCACCATTTGTCTACCTGGAAGGCGGAGCTGAAGGCAAAGCTGCAAGCGGCTGCTCAAGAAAAATCGCATGCGCAGACGGCGAAACGGCGCGCTCCGGGAGCCAGGCGATATATTTTGCATGTCGACTTTGACAGTTTCTTCGCTGCTGTTTCTATACAGAAAAACCATCCGGAGCTGGCGGACAAGCCGGTTGCCATCGCACATGGGACCGGTAGCGGCTCCGAGATTGCAAGCTGCAACTATCCGGCCCGGGCTCACGGGATCAAGAACGGCATGTGGATGAAGGCTGCCCTTGAGATGTGCCCCGAACTCAAAGTATTGCCCTACGACTTTCCTGCTTACGAAGAGGCAAGTCGTCAGTTTTACGATTGCATTCTCGCCGTCGATGGCATTGTGCAAAGTGTCAGCATCGACGAGGCTCTCATCGACATCACGACGCAATGTCTCGAGGCTGGAGGCTCGGACGGACGGGGCGTGTCGGAGGGATCGATATATCGGGAGCAGGCCAAGGCGGATGAAGTCGCAAAACATCTCCGAGAGGCCATCAAGGAGAAGACTGGGTGCGCTGTGTCTGTGGGGATTGGGGGCAACATCCTTCAGGCGAAAGTGGCTTTGCGAAAGGCTAAGCCGGCTGGGCAGTTTCAGCTGAAGCCTGATTCGGTGCTGGAATTTATAGGAAATTTAACAGTCCAAGACCTCCCTGGCGTCGCTTATAGCTTGGGAGCAAAGCTGGAGGAATTGGGAGTCAAGTTTGTGAAAGATCTCCGGGAGCTGTCGAGGGAGAAACTTGTATCGAGTCTCGGGCCCAAGACCGGTGCCAAGCTTTGGGATTATGCACGAGGCATCGACAGGACGGAAGTGGGAGTGCAGACGATGAGGAAATCCGTGTCTGCGGAGGTCAACTGGGGGATTCGGTTTGTGAATCAGGACCAGGCGGAGGAGTTTCTGCGGAACCTGTCAGAAGAGCTCCACCGCCGTCTGGTTGAGAACCTGGTCAAAGGAAAGCAGCTGACCATCCGAATCATGCGGCGATCGGCGGACGCTCCGCTGGAGCCGGTCAAACACCTGGGACATGGGAAATGCGACGTGTTCAACAAGAGCGTCATGCTGGGCGTTGCGACGAATGCGAGCGACGTTATTAGCAGGGAAGCAATCTCTATGCTGCGCAGTTTCGGTTTCTCGCCGGGCGACCTGCGAGGGCTGGGGGTGCAGATGACAAAATTGGAGCCGGTGAAAGCGGCCGGTACTGGTCGTCCAGAAAGCAGCCAGCGACAGCTCGACTTCTTCAAGGCATCTCCTGTCCGGAAGAAAGTCGTGCAGAATCCCGATCCGGATGAACTGGAGAGTCCTCAAAAGGGAAATGAGATGAACCTTGCTGATGAGTCTCTGGAACAACGGCCCTCTCTGGATGACAAGTCGCAGAAGCCTCTGAATATATCGGGCACGCAGTTTGTGCTGCCATCCCAGCCCGATCCCAAAGTTGTGGAGGAACTTCCGGGAGATATTCGGTCCAAGTTGGTGCCAAAATTACAGGTCCGCGATAGCTCTCGCGCAGCATCTCCGTCACCGGCCTCTCGACCCGCCCGCCATGCTGAGTTGCCTCCACAATCGCAGTTGGATCCGGAGATCCTCGGTGAGCTGCCCGAGGACGTTCGCGCCGAGATTTTGTCATATTACAACCGGGCGTCAGAGACCACGAGGCCTGAGCCAGCGCAAGCGGCTCAGCGAAGGCCAGTTTCGAGGAAAGCCACGACGCCTACGAAAAAGCGCCGTGGTCGACCTCCGAAATCGTCGTCCAATTCAACATTGACTCAGTCGAGTTTGACACAGTCGAGTTTGAATTTTACGAGACCCAGGACGGCGGAATCTACTGCGACGTCGCGGCAATCTTCTCCTGCTGTCGAGACGGACGAGATATCCGAAGAAGTGCTTGCTGCATTGCCGGAGGATATCCGCCGGGAGGTACTTGAAGAGCACCGACAGGCGCGTCAGCAGCGCCCGAATCTTGCCGCATCGCGAAAGCCATCCGCACCCAAACCTGCTGCTGCTGCGACAGCACCTGCTACTACAGAGAAGCGTCTCCGCCTCCCTCCCCTGCCAGAAAAACCGACCTTTACAGCGAGAAAGCTGTCGACGTTGCCGGAACTGCGCGAAGCGGTACGGGCGTGGTACGCGGCGTTTGCGAACGAAGGGCCATTCGTGGAGGACGTGACAGCGCTGGCAAAGTACCTGAGGCGGGTGGTTCTCGAAGACCGGGATATCGACAAGGCGGTGTCAGTGGCGAACTGGTTGGGGTGGTTGATCCAAGACCATGCCGGCAAGATAGATCATAACAAAAAGGCAGAAATAGCACCCGGAGGAGAAGGAACGGAGGAGTCGAACCAGTCGTGGGACGAGGCCCTCAAAACAGTGCAGGACAGCGTCAACGACGCCGTCAGGGAGAGGGGGTTACCACCTGTTGATTTTGGATAGAAACCTAGCTTGTGACTTTAGTTATAATGAATGATAGAATACCCTTATGAGCATTAAATGACTACCTATATACTGTACCTAGGTACTTAGGTACGAAGTAATGTACATGTACAGTACATGCACGGAGTACTCTGCAGCAGCGAATGTATACAATATGACGTCAGATCTCTAAAAATATACAATAGCCATTGCCAAGTGATATATTATATATATACCCCTGGCCACGGAAAATAAGAATTCACCCACCATTATTACATCATAATAATCCTCATTCATTGAGTTGCTTCTTCTTTCTTTCCACCACAATTAAAACTAAAAACCCAAAAAAAAAAGAGGGAGAGAGAGAAATTTAATTTATCAATAAATAAATATTCCCCCCACTCTCCCTCGTAAATTCCTTAGTAACAGTACACTACATTAGTGTCTGAGTTGTTTTCCCCGGAATAAAATCCGTTACTAAGCTTACCGTACCAAGCAGCCAGGGCTTGTGGTTTAGTGGTATAATACCCCCTTAGCATTAGGTAGCATGGGGGTGGTCCGGGGTTCGATTCCCCGCGAGTCCATGGTTAAAATAAAACTAACACCCCGCTAAACCCGGGGTTTGTTTTTACTTTTATTCTTTTTTAACTTTAACGTTAAATTCGACCTCTTTTTTTTAGATTTTAAGCTTTGGTCATTGGTTATTTTTTTGAGGGGTTTTTTTTAAGTTCGCAGTTTGCCCATATAAGTAAAGTAAGCTTTGCTTTTGGGCTAAAATGTTGGGAAATTTTTTTGGTCATTATCCTGCTTGGAGTAAGTACAGTGCAACAGTACGGAGTACATGCCATGGAGTATGTACATATGTAGTACTGCACAGTACTGCCGTCTTAGCAGATTTTAATTAAAATAATTTACTTAAGGTAGGGTATTAATGTACGTACAGTTCATATGGATTTACAAGTTTTTGCATGATGCTCGGACAGAGATTTACTAGTAGGCCGATGTGAAAGATATCCATCATTGACAATGCTGTCTGTCTATCGTAAGATGCTCTCTCAATGCTCAGACCAAGATGATCGTACGTACAGGACGCAGATAGGTAGGTCGACTGACCTGTATTCACATCGATCGCATCGTTGCCACGACAGAGGGGGGTCTTCTTCCAAGACAAGGTTCAAAATTTCTACACGATCACCATTCTATCAAGTACTGCCCGCTATGCGGTCTTCGACCACCTACTCTTGAAATAGCCCACCATCTTGTCAACCAACGCCTGGTCCAGCGGCTTAGCATCCGCCAACGCCCGAGAATACCTCCTAGCCTCGTCGGTGTGCCACTTGAACGAGCGTCTCGGCGCATCGGTGTCGTACTTTGACGCAAAGAACTCGACCAGCTTGATGGGCGGATTGACGGCCGGGTCCGGGTTCGACGCCCGCAACTGCCGCAGCCACTCCCGCTGTTCGAGCTCGGTGAACTGCAGGCCTGCGTCGTGCAGTAAGGGCAGCAGGTCTCGCGTCCAGTGGAACGCGTTTTGGTTCACCACGTTCAGCAACCCCGCGCTCTTCTTAGCTGAGAGCGACACCTCGATGACGATGTCCGCCACCACGTCGACGGGTAGCCATCGGTGCCATTCGTCGAGTCGCGGCAGGGCGCCCATCGTCACGGCCGCCTGCAGCATCAGCGGGATTGCCTCCGTCGTGTTCCAGATCCCGTGCTGCGTGTCGCCGATGACCTGGCCGATGCGCAGGACGCGCGCGCGAAGGCCCGTCTGCTCCGCGGCTCGAAGGCAGATGTTCTCCCCGACCAGCTTCGACTGGGCGTAGCCCATTCCCTGGGCGTATTTCAGCTTCGCGGGCAGGGCTTCCGGGATCTCGTCCTCTTCCGTGTTCATGACGGTGCTGACGGACGAGCAGAAATTGAATGATGCCGGTGCCGGCCGCTGGGACTTGAGGCAGAGACCGATCAGGTTTTTGAGACCCGCGATGTTGTCCTTTTCAAAGCTGGCGAGCTGCAGGTTGAAATTGACGGACCAAGCGCAGTGGACAAGATCTGTGATTTCTGAGGCGATCAGGTTGTACGTCTGCGAGTCCAGTCCCAGCGTGGGATGTGAGAAAACGGACGGCAGGGCGATGAGTTTGCTGCGAGCGGAGCTTGGAAGCGTTTCGTAAACCTGCCTCTCACGCATCGATCTGATCAATCGATCATATGCTTCGATAGTTGAGCCGGCTCGTATTAAGCAGTAGACCTTTTGCACGTCTGGCAGCGATGATAGCTTGGCCACAATGTGGCTGCCCAGCGAACCAGTGGCTCCAGTGACGACCTAGCTACATTAGAAACTCGCAACTGAATCTAAGGCGTCGCACTTACTATGTATCGGCCAGCAAGGCCATTCGGCAGCGGAGTATGCTGCTGGAACTCCCCGTACTTGGCTATCAACCTGCGCATCACATCTTCGACCGAGTCGACGCTGCTCGCCGTTCCTGAACGCAACGAATACAGATGGTGCGCCAGCGCGTTGATCGTCGGATAGTCGAATGCAACGTTCAGCCCGAGCGGCTGTCCATTCGTGTCGATGCGTCGGACAAGTACAGATCGCAGCTGCGTCGCCTGCAACGAGTCCATCCCTAGGTGGAAGAAATCCGCGTCGTCGGTTAATGCGGCGTACGCCTTTGGAGGCAAGATATCTTTAAGCTGCTCCTTCAGGAACGATTTCAGTTCCGACTCCGACAACGACAGAGCCCCCTCGGCTGTCTTCTCTGCATAAGCCTCTTCTATCAACTGCCCGAATTGTCGGTAAAAGGCCTGCCGGATGATGGTCCCCTTGTCGGTTCGTGGATACTGCGTATCCGGCGGCAGGACCTTGATCATGTCTCGTGAAAGTTGGCCATACGCAGGCATTGCCGTCTGCGCCTTTTCGACCCTGGGCCAGATCTGATCGACAAGCTGGTCTGCCGAGAGCGCTGCTCCCTCGGCAGAAGGGACGACCATCATCCCGATCTTCGCCTTGCCGGCGCCGAAGACGATCGCCTCCGAGACTGCGGCGTCCTGCCGAATGGCGCCTTCCAGCTCCAACGGATTGACCTTTTCGCCGTTCACCAGGACGATAGTATCGTCCAGTCGGGCATAGTATTTGTACGCCTCCATGGTGGGGTGCTTCATGAACAGATCCTTGGTGGCGTACGACCCATCGGGCCGGTTGGATGCCACCTTGGATGGCCACCCATCAAGGCAGATCGAACTCGATAAATCCCCGGACTGCGCTCTTCGAACCGCAGAAACGGCTTGACTGCGTCGAATGGCCGCAAGTAGTCCCACGTTTTGTCCTCGCGGGGCCTGGTTGAGGTCATCAATTGACCGGTTTCCGTCCTATCCGAGTCAGTTTATCTAAACAAGAACACTAGTAACCTAAGAACGAAGGACATACGATCCATAGTGACTGATGAGATGAACTCCGTTGGCAACCAGCTTATCGCCCAGGGAATCCGGACACGGAGAGCCGCCAAAGGTGACAATCTTCAGCTTCGACAGAACTTGGATGCCCTCGTCTGACTCCGCCAGGAGCTTCAAGGCGTAGGGCACGCCGTAGAAGATCTCAAAGTCGTGCGTCTTCATAATGTCCAGCAGATACTGTTTCGTCAGAGGCAACGACGCGTTGTAGAGGTGGATGCTCTTGCACGAGTGGATCGACCGGAACAAGCAGCTGATGCCATGGTTGTGATACAGCGGCAGGGTGATGAACCCGCGCATATTCATGTTGGTCGCATAGTTCTTGATCGCCGATCGCTGAGTCTGAAAGATCGGTTTCGGGAGGCCCGTAGAGCCGCTGGAGTGGATGATCCACGCGATGTGGTCCGCCTCTTGGAGCGGATCCAGATTCGGCGCAATCACTGTGTCCATATCGTCTTCGATGGGGTAATCATAGACCTCCTGTTTCGGTATCTCGTCGATCTCCAACCCGTCGATGCGCTTCTGCAGATCGCTGGCCGTGTCCCGGAAGGACTCGTGGATGACGATATGCCTCGAGGCCGTTTTCTCCAGCAGAGAGGCGTACGCTTCCAGCGAGATGCGCGTCGAGAGCAAGAGGACCGTATGGCCCAGCTTCGACAGCGCCAGAAGCGTCACCAAGTAGTTCAGATCTGAGGGGCCGAGAAGAGAGACGACGGCAGGCTTTTCTGCGGATGAGGTCCGCGGTGGGAGTCGGGCTGCGAGTTTCTGTGCCACCCGGAAGGCAAACACATCCAGCTGCCGGAGAGTGTAGTCGACATACTGGATGCCCGAATGAGGGTAAGAAATCAATGGTTTATCTGGCACCAGAGCCGCGCGGTGACGGATCAGTTCATCGATGGTCAGCGGTTCCGACCCCGCAAGCATGATGTTGATGCTGGGAACTTGCTTCGCCTCCTCTGACAGGGTGGTGGCTGCGGACGACATTTTTGACAGCCCTTGACAATCTTCCCAACGAAACGAATCTCAATCGAGAAATCAAATGTGGTGTGGCAGGTTGGAAAGGCCATCACCGGCATTATATAGATCAGATCGGAGTGTTGTCCCCAGGCATCATCCACCGCGGAACCCCCACATCAGCCCGGATAAAATTCAGCGGGGTCTCCAATCAGGCGGACATGTTCCTTGATCCATTGCGAGTGACCTTGCTCCGTTCTGCGATGTAGATGGTCAAGGTTGTTGTGTACCTGCAGACAATGCGTCGGAGCCGAGGCCGAGACGATGCGGAAAAGATGGCGGATATTTATCCGGTGGACCGGATGTGTACTATAGACGTCGAGAACCGGAGTACAGTTAAGAGTACATGTATTGCTTAAATCATAAATCATACAAGCATGACATACTTCAAATGATTGGAGCGGCTTAGTTATTGTCGCTTTGTGGAGCTTGCAAGACAAGCACACCGTAGATTACTTTATCTGGCAGCCAGTCAATATGCTTGAAAATGAACTTCATTCTGCAGAAAGAAAACTATATCATGTCCATACTGTGATATTCCCTTCTAAACCACAACTCTGATACACAAGTTGCAAGAACGCTGAACCCTGCTGGGCCGTCACTATATTTACTCGAAGTATCGAGCGTCCGGCACAACCCCTAACGCAATCGTGATGCGGTTCGAGTGATTAAACCAGGAGACGGTTTCCACCGCCTCTAGAATATCCTCGTCGGAGAGGCCAACCTTGCGCAGCCGGTCAAAGTCCTCTTGGCCGATCTTTCGCGGCGTCAGCGTCAGCTTCTCCGCCAGGTCGGCCAACGCACGTTCCCGCTCGGTCAAGTCGACCAGGTGGTGGTCCAAGGCAATCCGTTTGGCGCGCAGCTTGTCATTGCTGGCCGCCGCCAGTCCGAGGGTGTGGTTGGCCTGGCAGAAACCACATCCATTGGCGGCGGAGGTGACGACGGCAAGCAGTTCGCGTTCCTGGAGCGGAAGACGAGTCTTGGTCCCGAAGATATCCTCATAGTAGGTCACGAAGCGTCGAATGGTGTCTGGGTTCACGGCGAAAGCGCGAGCCCAGTTGTCGCCATGGTGTTTCGAGATGAGCTGACGCGTGGACTCGGGCAGTTCCGACTCGGAGGGGACCCGGAGTCGCGAAATGGTCCTGCTGAGAGGAAGGGTTCTCTGAAAGGATGAAACGGCGCTTCGGCACAGGAATTGGCCTCCAGAGGAAGCCAGCGGACGGGCGAGCTGCTTCAGAAGAGGTTGCATTTTGTCTGGTACGGTAGGATGGAGAACAAGACGGCCGTCAACGAGGAAGTTGGTGAAGATTGAACCAGTGTACGGAGTGTGGTGGTCTTATAAGATAGATCGATCGACCAGAGGGAGCTCGAGCTCGCCCTTGATTAATCGATCTGCTGCATGGAGATCGTCGTCGAGATTGGCAGATGGTATCATCTCGCGCCAGTTTCATTGGCTGTGAAAGCGACATGATGAACACTATGGCTTGGATGCAGTCTTGGGATCTCGTCCTGTTGCTTGCGCGGGTGGAGTTGGGACTGTGCAAGACTGCCCCATAATGGCGTCAGAGGGGCTTCTTACCTAGGCATGGTACCTGCGTCCCTCAGTCTGCAAGCAGATCAGATTAATAAATATCATTATCAGCCATCGTCCTCCTTGAAGTGGAAGAACTGGAAGGCACGTGGCTTCCAAGTTCTCTTGGTGACTGTGTTTCCGGAAGGAAGGAGCACCCCGCCACACACCGCGGCCGTGCCTTCCGCTCGAGCATGCAGCAACCCATGGACAAAGAACAATGCTTATCCTTTGCTACATGCAGCTGCCAAAAAAATTATACCTAGCTTCGTGTATTTCAAGGTCGCGAAGGGAAATTATCATTGGGTGAGGATAGCCATCTTGATTTACATGTATTTAGTAGGTATTACTGTCGGGAACAGCCCTATACACCCCTATTAGGAAGGGTGGTTTCATACCTGCCCTGCATAACCTAGCTGAATTTTTGGACTTAGTAATCATTGTTCTACTAGGTGAGTTAATTTACTTTCTTTCTAAAACCTTTTTTTTTGGTTTTATTTTTGGTTAACTCTTATAGAAAATTGTTATGTATTTCTTTACCTGATCAGGCATTCCGTTTAGACCTTACTTAACCCTTACAGTTCACCAGCCTAGAAGAAAAAAAAAAATCAAGTCAAAAAAATCAAGTCAGCCTGCTATCTTCGGTTCTCCTAAATCCAGTGATCGCTATCTCTTCCTCTGACCACCCTATCCGCCATATCAATCAGTATTCATAAAAAAAAAAGGACCGAAGGTTAAAAGTTCCATGTTGAAGATTCATTCGCGATGTTCGCGTATGCCTGAAAAGTATAGATTAGCGCACATTCGCCTCAAGTCTCGAGGACCATCCATCTACATACCCACGAGTCGAGTTGAGTCCACCAAGCAGATCCCTCCAAACTTTCAAGGAAGTTAAAGTCATCGCCAATGTCATGGTTAGCTTCGAGGTTCGTTGCTGCTGGCAGGTTAGCTAGAAACGGCCCGTAGTTCATGGAGTCGGACGTCATCGCAGGTTGATTGATCCCCGTTCCCTCCTTAGGGTTATTGAACTCCGTAGGAATGCGCTCTGGAACCTCGTTATCGGGCCTGCGGGTATCACTTGCTGGCTGCACATTGGACCCAATCTGTCGGTGGACTTCGAGTCGCAGCTCTTCGAGAATAATGCTGTACCGTCGGCTTGGGCAGTTCCTCCGTGTCGCCCGGGCGAGATGTTGCTGACAGGTTTCTGCAAGACGGAATATATCTTGCGCTTCACCAGCACTGCTGGATACACTGGGAGAGTTCGAGTCCCGGGATGACTGGTGCTGCTGGATGGTGTAGATATACGCCACGATGATGGCACAGAAACAAACATAGTGCGTGAACCAAAACGACTCGAGCATCATTCCTTGGCGGGCGAAATTATCCACCATCATCATCACGTTCTTGGCCGCGTCGATGCATTTCTGCACGTGGGTGGTAATCAAGTCATGTGCCACGACTGGTCGTCGACTCAGGTCCGTGAAATCATTGAGAAGGAACGGACGCGTCGCATGGATCATCGCATGAGAATATGCCAGCTGTAAGACGTGACTCTGCCGACAGAGAGGCGGGATCAGACTCGACGGCCGGACGCTGCTGAAGAGGGGATGTACGCTCTCCTTCCACTTCTGAAGCTCTGCTGTAAGGTCGATCGCAGCCTCCAATGGCGCCACGGTGGAAGATGCTTTGGTGGGATACACCCGGCGTGAGATTTCGCCGAGTATGTGGCCGAGCCTAGGATACCTTCATGAGAAAAGTCTTTTTCGGGACATACTAGTCGGGGAATGTGCTGAGTCAAACCTGTAATGCAGGACCGATGCGATCATCATGCAGTCCGTTGATTCCGTCTTCTGCCTCGGAGCTTCGAGAGACATTACTTCGTCGTTCACCTCGTCAGGCAGATCCTGGTCGATGTCCTCGTCATCCAACAACCTGGGTCTGCCAAACATCATGCTGAGATACTTATCGAGAGTGTAGGCACTCCAGAAAACCCGCTTGCGTAGCTCGTGCTCTATATATGCAGGTCCACCTCGCGATGGTTTGGATGGTCTCCTCCTGTGCAGTCCGAGTGCTGTCACGAGCTGCATGGTCGTGCCAAAAGATATACCAGCATTGGTTTGCACGCGAGGACGAAAGGAGAAAAAGACACAAGCCCAACCGTGCTTGAATGGTCTCTAACGTCGGCGGTCCCGTCTCGATGGATAGCATATGCTTTGCTGCAGCATACCATCGCTCACTGGTGATATTAGCCGAATGTCGCGAAGGCGAACCGCGCATCAAATCATACCTTTCATTGCGCGCGTGAACCTCGTCATTTCTTTTAAACTGTTCTTCGCGCAGGGTACTCACGGCAAATATCATGAATACAATCGCTGCTTTCGCTGCCCAGTGGCTCGGGGGAGGGTTCGACGGGGCGATCTTTTTCTCGTATACAGCTCGAACAAGCGACTCTGCTATCCCTCTGTGAAGGAAGCGATAGGTGACTACGGCAAAGTCAAAATAGATCTCCACGAGTTTCATGGCCCTTTCCAATGGCGGCATTTCCAGCGCCCTCCAGTCATCCTCCGTCGCGAAAGGCCGGTCGCCGAACATCAAAACCGGCGTATTCTTGGAGGGTTCGTCTCCCGGGATCCGGGGAGTCATGGAGATATCATCCTGTTTCAGACGGCGCCAGACCCTCGTCAGGAAGGATATCCCCGACGACGGGCCAAGGTAGTTTCCCTCCAAGTCGGTTGCCTCGGGCTCGGGCGAACTACTTCGCGGAGACAGCACTGGAAGAGACCTGTGATTCTGGCGCAATTGCGCATGCGGTGACTTCCCTGCAGCCGGGAGCTTGATCAACGAAGTCCCATGATCGCTTCCGGCGCGACGAGAGCCGCCTGGCGCTGCTTGTCTGGGCGGTGCCCCGGGCCCCGGCAGCGGAGAGGGGGGCGTGCCTCTGGTATACAGTGCGGTGTACTCGCACGCCCGGGACAGTTTGGCGCATCTCTGGCATGGCAGCGTGCCGGTGCACCGGGTTTTTTTCCTTGGACGACTATCAGCAGATTGAATTATGGCAGACGATACCCACAGGTAGTAAAGTAATACTCTTTGCACGAATCACAAGCTCGGGTGATCTTCCGCCGTGCAGGCGTCGTCGGCGTGTCCCCGGCCGGGCTGTCAGAGGCCTTCCTCTTCTGCCCTCGAGCTTTGGCACTATCCATCCGTGAGGATCGGAGATGGGGATGGTTGAATCATTGCTGGTCCACGAATTGCGGCTGGTGCCAGCGAAGAGGAGGGTCCGGCTGAGGTTGACTTGCTCTGGGGATCGAGGTGGAGTCAGGCCGTTTGGTGCTCGCGCGACATTGGGGCCAGCTCCCCCGCACCAGCATCCCACCTCGCATCTGGAAGCTGCCTCGCCACGTCGTGAAGATTCCATCTGTGTATTTGTCCAGGGTCGTGTATTCATGCACCAGTTCCCGTGTGGATCTTACCCACTATGCTAGATTGCTGTCAGATGTACGTACTGTGCGTAAAAGTGTCAGTCATGATGCTTGTTATCCTGCACATACTAGACGAGACTACCGATGGAATTATTCCGGGGGCAGAATTATTAGTTCATTTCTCTTGCGACTACGAGTCATGAAGAATTTTGCATTTCTACTTTCTGCTGGGAATTTCTTCTCCACAAAGATCCTCATGGTCTAGTAGCCATCCCATCAAGGTACTGTACATACAGTACAATCGCGGGAGACCGGGGTCATCGGGGAGGAAAGTATCATCTTATTACCAAGATTCTCTCAGTTGGGTTTCCCCCGTCGGGGAGAAGAATACCTATCCTTTTTCTCCAACGCTTTTTTTGTACTGTATTTAACGAGTCACGAGACCGGGGAGGGGCATCCTGCATGGAATAATGGATGGATGCGGGGTAATTATTAACTAATTTGCTCTCCAGGTTGATATACCCCTTTTCGCCATAAAACTTTCTTTTTCAGCAGTCTCAACCCATTTTGTATTTTTCATTTTTTTTTTCTTTGGGTCATGCTGGCATGTCTTGGAAGAGGGAAGTATGTATTGATTGAACTCAGCTGGGAGGTGATCCCGGCTGTGTATAGTGGGAGATATCCATATCACCCATTTAACCGGATTTTTTTAAAAGAAAAAGAGAGAGGAAAGGAAAAGAAAAGAAAAGAAAAGAGAGGGAGAGAGAAGAAAACGGAGGAGATAACAGCTACACGGCTGGGCAGAGAGAGAATAAAAAGTGGTAATGGTAAAGAAATACTCCGGAGTAGTACTTTTCTCCCCGACGGGAAATCTGATCCGGTCTCCCGCGATTGTACAGTACAGTACCCTGATGGGATGGCCACCAACCAAGACCATCGAAGACTTATCAATATACTCCGTATTATTGTTGCTGCAATCAGCAATTTTACCGCTTATTATTCAGCAGGAGACGCAACCTAACCAATTACATTTGATTGCTGTACTGTACTGTACTGTACAACAGTAGAACCTTTCTGCGACACCCATTTAGGCATTATTATTACCAAGCAGCCCGATTAATTTCTGTATGTTTTGTTCTTTTAAATGTCCGCGTCTTGCATATTCTTTTTTTTTTGGTCCATGTGAATGGCATTATGATAAAGTTAGAACTCAGCTGTGGTTTTCGGTCTGTGCTTGTAGATTATATATTTTTATCGGTAACTCAGTGGTGTATTTTGTCTACTTGAACAGTATGTGAAGTACCGTTGAATCCAATGGTGCCGGGAATTTTGTAAAAAATGACGAATCAATAGCATTCAACTAATTAGGTTGCTTTCTGCACAGAGAGATATTTGCAGTGAGTTTATCTGATAAATAGCCTGCTCGAGAAGAAGACCTTGCGTGTGGTGAGCTGAAACAGTAGTAGTTGCAGGCATGATTCAGTTAGATATGTACAATACATAGGTATCTAGAATCTGAATTATAGGGATTTTCATTCGATAATGATAGTAGTTGTTAACTGATCCTTGAAAAAGGAAAAAAAAATCCACTACTTCAATACGACTCAGATAGTTATGTTTTCTAAGCAATCTCAAATTTTTCGATAGTTTATTGAAGCGAGTGAGTAAAGATGGTCAATAAGAAAAAAAAAAAGGAAAGGAAATAGCAGGAACGCCGCATCATGTCTCAACTGGATCGAGAATGGCTTCTAAAAATAATCGACGCCGATAAACACCTTCACGTTGCGTTCCTAGAGTCCTTCGCTTAAGCACCATCATCCAGGTGACACGACCCAGCCATCTTGATTGGAAGACCTTCGCCAAAGGACGTTTTATTCACGGTGTTTGCTCTCAGGGTGGGAATATCCAACGTGGCCAGCAAATTCACCGGTGGCCCTGGTCCCGTCGTGATTCATATGGACGTCTTCCCATCAGGCGCCAGGCTGGAGGTCCCCGGTGAGGACACAACAACGGAATCCCCATCTCGGGGCCAGGCAGGTCGACATGAAAGCAGACACAGCGTACGTCATCGTATACATCGTATAGTTATCCGGACGCGCTTCGGGATCTGAAAAGAAGTCTCGGCCTCAGTGCGGTGACGGTGACTGGTCTCGGACGAAGAACCCGGGGCCAGTGGGGAAGTCGGTGGCTCCTGAAGTCACACCTCCCCAGAGGGATGGGGAAGTTTCAAGTGTGACTATACTGTATAATCCATGCCGAGCCCAGCGGTCTCCAGTCGGTCCGGTTCGGGTGAAAAGGGAACCCTCTGGATGACGTCCATGATCAACAGGACCACAACGCTAGGCACTTACACATTTCTCATCGAAGGGGCCAATGTGACGGCGATACGCCTGATCAACGAGCTGCAGAGAAGCGTCGAGCAGATCAGTATCTGACCGACCCATTTACCTCATCGGGTGGACGAACACCTGCAACGGCCCGCCGTTCGTGCAACGATCGATGGATACCGTCATGGGTCCGGGAGGAGCGAACGTGATGTTGGTGCCCACGCTAAGCATTTGGCGTCATACGTGGCGGACTAAAAAGTTAACATGATTCTTGAACAGTGTCTTGAAACAGATACTTGTCTGCCAACCGGGCTAAAGGCGGAAACAGTGCTGGACCACCTTCGAAAGATTATTTTGGTCGACTTCCGAGTTCCCGACGTGGAACTCTCCGGGGACAGCAAGCAACTCAGCGTCTTTTTGCGATCCAGCGCGTTCCATTGATGGCAGATTTCGTACCATCGGTGACAAGCCAACAGCCAGTGGCCGTTCCTGTACTAGGCACAACGGACTGTAAGTTCTGATTCTATCCCAGAAATCCCGGCGTATGGACATACAAAGGATATCGAGTATCGTCGGCCAGCAGGGGTCAAAGGACGAACATGTTCGCATCGAAGAATCTCTAGCATAGTCAATGTTCACGCCCTCACTGTGAATATCTGCACGGTCCGTCTACACAGGATTAGCAGATTTCCTTGTAAATAAATTCATTGCCCAGGGAATGTGGTAAAATAATAGCCAAGATAAAAAGATACAATGGTAGGTAATGCTTCTCTGATTCCCGGTTTGCAGACTGATCACAAACATCTCTCCATTGAACGCCTCAACAGTGTGCGTATGTGTAATCTTGTCATAACAATTTAACTTCAACATAAAAATTGCAAATATCTCGTAATCTTGTCGTAGGCCAGCCTCTATAATATATAGTCCATGATATCAAACTATACTGGCCTGTGACGCCGTCTAAAACCACCACCCTGTAGCCGTTTTGTCTTCCGCTTCTCGGCTCTCGGGACACCAAAATACGTCTCATCAACTCCAGAGCCCAAGAGAGCAAAACAAAAATCAGCAAAGTTGACCGTTGTTACGCACCAGAGTTCGTATTGCCGTGTCGATGTCATGCGATCACTCAACGAAGGCTTAGATGAACCGACTGCGTCATTTCCTCGTCGCGGCACCAATCACACCCTTCCTGTAATTAAAACCGGAAGCGACGACTTTCCAACCGGAACAGAACAGAAATTGCTCGCTTCGTCGGTATCAGGCTGGACTTCGGCGAGAGTTCCAGGAGGGATGAGACTGGATCGGGAGAGGAAAATTTCACTGAATTTCTAGGAGACAGTCGTATCAGTTCCAGGAGGTATAGCTTCAAGACGAGGTTTCGGCGTCATTTCGGGTTCTTCGATTGAGTTGCAGGCATCGTACAGGACAGGACGAACTCAGGGGGTGTCTGCCGCGTTTATGTCTTAGCTCTCGGATTTTCACTTGTTGGGGTCTAATGTCAAACCTTCCACGAGGCCAGACATTGCTTCACTGCCTTCTTCCGCCTCTTCTCCCATGTCTTCGTCCATCACGTCGGCCTTGTTTGTCTCGCCAAGGATCTGGTCGACCATTGCGGCTATCTCGTCCATCGAGGCACCACTACGGATGACGTTGATCATATCGTCGAGACGATCACGATCACCATACCGTATCGAATCAAGAAGACGTTCCAAAAATCCACGGTAATATTGCAGCTGCTCCTGCGTGAATTTGGTAAAGGCCTTGCGACGCCTGTCGGCAGCCTCGTCGTAGACGCACTCACGATTATGGGCAGCGCATTCAGTACAGGGGTTCCCGGTGCTGCACTGGAAGAAGGGTGAGTATCAAACATCAACATCGTTTATTCGAGTGATATTTCATAGAGTTAGAGGTTTCTATCACTGGTCGTGGGGAAGTGCGGATATATACCCTTGTTCGACGTCTCTTGCATTCTTTGCACGCGGTCGATGCCCGTTTGGTTTTGCTCTCCTCAGCAGCTGACGCAGGTAAGTGGCTCTCTGCCGACGGCAGCCGCGGAGCGAGAGCGCGAAGAGGCCTGTTCATACCATGCTGCGCCATTACACGGGTAACGTGCGGCGAGAGGTCTTTGCTAGAAAGAGGCTTGCTCGATTATTATGCTGGGAGAGGTTGCACCTCCTATTCGCACAAAGAAAGAAAAGAAACAATAAAGGCCGTCTTGATAGGGGATGATCGTTTGGAAAACGAAGGGCTAAGAATTGTCACGGGGTAGTTGTGTTAAGTACATTTTCATGCAGGACAGGCTGTCGAGACAAAAGACTCGAGGACGGTTTGTGCAGGAGGCTTGCTCAGGACTGCACCATTCTTTGTCCGCCCCATCCAGCCTCGACAACAGGCTGGTTGTATAAAATGGCAACTTCAGACGAATCAACCGCCTGGAGACAGACTTGTCCAGCGCGCTGTCCAGCATCAACACCTCGTTGGGGCGAATAGAAACCGGGATATCATTAGCCACAGGAGCCAGCCTAAAGCGTGCTTCTGCCAGTTTCTGCCATCAATGTCTAAATCAAATTACCCGAAGCGGGGGGGCCACCGACCGCGCTGAGAGGTAAGGGTCTTGGAGGCTGTTTGGCGGGACCCATCGGTGACAAAAAGCTGTTCCATGGCGGACGAGTGAGTTCCTGAGATAGAGACGGAGATGATTTCCGCTACATAGGCGTAATTTGATAGGCCACGCACACAGAGTAGCCTCTGGAAATGCGGCATCCCGAATTTCAGTAGCAGTTCCTTTCAGGTCCATCTGCGTCTGCAGTTGCGGGGATATAAAAGGGCACCTTGCCTGCCAACAGAGGGACTATCGAGACCATTGTTACGACGTCGTGCCTGTGCCGAGTCGAAGGCGATCTCTTCGGGCCATGGTAGAGAAAGAGTTGCCATTGAGAATCGTAACCAAGCGAGCTGCACTGGAGAGCATGTCCATGCAGACGAGCAATGCTTATTGGAACCCACTCGTATCATTTGGACGGCGAATATTCTCTCTGAGAAGAAACTGGCAACGAGGAGGAAGTCCTGTCCAGAAGGCGATTTGAGGCTTGTCGATCACGTGGCAGCAAGGTTTCCTGTTGGCAAGCAGGATTGCTGCTTCCCTTGGCGCGTAACAATGGCGCTGTCGTTCTTGCCAGGGACAAAGACCTGTGCTCGTTCACATAGGCGGGCTCATTTCCAGCCTCGAGTGTCATGAGGCTTCGATTGCAACAATCTTTCAGAATAAAAGAAAAAAAACCATCCGCAATTGTCTTGTTGAGAGACGTATTGCAGCTCCGTCGTGACTTCACGCCGGTGCGGTCCCTGGGATCGTCTGCTGCTATTATTGCTCTCTGTCCCACGTCGCTCTTGTTTCGGGTCATTAGACGCAATCTGCAAAATCCTGGTGATCCTGGTGCTGCGGTTCTGGAATTTTGGTAAAATTGCCGAGTAAGTCTGAATATGTCTCCATGTGAGCTTGCGCCGCTTTATTCGACCGTTCATAGACATGCCTGGAGAATACAATGCAGGCGTCTCATTTTTTCCCCCACAGAGCCGTGAATCGACTAACACTGAAAATTCATGTCTAGCGCCATTATCCTGCTGCGATTGCTCCAGGACGTCGTGGTCGAGATTCGTCATAGGCAATGAGTCCTTTTCAGTGATATATGCAGGTGTTGTGGATTGGACTGTACCTGGATTAGGACAGGCGTCGTTTCCTCCCTCCGCATTGGCCGACTTATGTGCTGAATTGGTGTCGTGATTTCCCTGTGGAGTCTTGCTCTCCATCGCCCCATTGATCCAATCCAGGACGCAATTGATCTGTGATGCACCGCCGGAAGGTCTCAGAGGATTGAGAACTGTGCGAAGTTTGATAGAATAAAGGTTGATGAAGTTTGCTGGCAGTTGTCCACGTCACCAGCCTATACCGCCAAGCCCCCTGGAAAGGCTCTCGAGCTACGTGTTTGGTACCCGAAGCAGAGAGGTATTCAGGATGGTCATCCTATAAATGCGTCATGTCGAGAAATTGGATGTCCTGATAGCAGACTTGTTTTTTGATCGATGGTTTGAAGTGTCGACCCCTGCTAAAAACTCAATAGGTCATTTGACGCCGATAGAACCGAGATTAGAAGGTTTAGCAGGCAGCCTTTTCGGCAGGACTTCCCGCACGTGGCCACCAGTTGCTTGCGGTTTTACAATTCGCAGCGCGAGGAGGACCTGCTGTAATGAGGACTACAGCTAGCAGTATTTGCTACCATCAGCTGAAGCTCTCACAGTCGATCGATTTCTCCAAGCAACAAATACCGTCTAATATACTCGTACGGAGTACTAACGACGTTTATGCTACGGCCCCTGCCGTCTCCACAATGAGCCATGCAGACGGTTCCAAAAATGGAAAGATCCCATTCCAACACAACCGCAATTCAGGTATTTTTTTTATCAATTATTAATCTACACGCATGGCTCTCATTCGGCTTTGCCTAATAGTGCTTCAGAACCCGAATACATTGGCGATATAAAGGGTATGTCCTGAAGGCGTCTCATACAACAAACTATAAATCAGACTATTGATGTTGATGCGGCGCAGCTCTCCAAGACTGATAGGTTGTCAGTGCGACGGAGACGATGAAGACAAGACGATCTACAGATTACAGAGTATGTTCTTTTACTAAAAACTAGAATCCCTAGTCCTAGCTTTGGCGAGACTAAAGATGGTGGTGAAGATCAGCTGAAATCATGGGAATCTAGGGCGATCCAACCCTGGAAAGGGTTGATATAAACTTTTCATCGTCTCAGATCTCTAATATCTACCTTCGTAGGCGAGATCTTTTTTTTTTTGGCTGTTAATTAGCTAGCATCTAGGAGTTCAAGGGTCAAAGGAGATCCTATAAAATAAACCGTTAATACTCCGTAGATCAGACAAAGGTGATAGAATCTCCCCCACCATACGGTTTGGATTTTTATTTTTAAGTTAAGTCTATATTCTCATGATCCTTTCATCCTTTTCTAACTATCTATCATATTTAGTCTTGTCCATCTAGCACCTGCCCCTTGCAACCGCAAAACGTGTTCCTATGGCCCTGTTGTGAAGAGGACAGAAAGAGTGAAGAGAAACGAAGGAACTATGTCCATTGCGGGAGACTGGGATGGGAATACATATTTCATCTATTATATTGTGCTTGTTCATTACATAAAATTAGATGCTCTATCTCTTTGAACAAAACCAGACCCGGTATATTTTACTACTTGAACAAAAAAAGCACATAACGGAGTCCGAATATAGATAGGAAGATAGTATATACGTACAGTACAAAGTCTAACGACACAGGTATCACATGAAAGAAAAAAAAGAATGCCCTAAGGAAGTTCGCTCCATCTATCTCTTTAGAAGTCCAACTCGTCCACCTGCCCGATAAACGTCTTGTTGTTCCCTTCTCCCCGCAATAGTGCTTCGATATCGACCCGTCCTGCGGTGATGTACCGCTCACTGACGCCGACATTGATCCGCTTCGACAGCATCTGCTTCAGCTCGGCCCTCATGGCGGCTAACTGCTCCTTTGTCACGCTGCTTGCCTGCTTCTCCCGCTGGTGACGACCGAGACCGCGGCCCTTGCCTTTGGCCTGACGGGCTTGTTGTTCGAATTCCTCGCTGTCGTACTCCACGCCTAGTTCTTCGGCCGCGTTCCGGAGCCAGTTTTCCTCCGCGGACAGCTTCTCCTTGGCCATTGTGGATTCTGTGATTCGCTTTGCGAGATTTACCCGAGGGCGGACACGGGAGACGATGCGGCTGTCTAGCTCAACGGACTCGAGTGGGTTCCGTTTGGTTGCTTTGTTGGTGTTTGCTTCGGCGTGCACTTTAGCAACGAGCCGGGCAACGCCAACGACTTCTTCGGGGGCGCAGATAAGTATACTCTTTCCCTGCGCCCCCGCACGGGCAGTGCGGCCGGAGCGGTGGACGTACATGTCCGCGGTGCGTGGGACGTGATAGTGGATGACAAAGTCGATTCCTTTGATGTCCAGACCACGGGCTGCAACATCAGTCGCCACCAGAACGGAGCTAGGATCTGACGATGGAGAAGAGAATTTTTCCACAGAGCGAAGTCGGGCTTTCTGCTCCATATTCGAGTGCAGAGCGATTGCGGGAATTCTCAGAGTTTGAAGGAACTGGACGAGGCGACGGACGGCGGATATCGAATTGGTGAAGACCAGAGTCCGGTGGCCTGGATGGTAAAGCAGAAGTGTGTATAGGTAGAGATCCTGCAAGAATTGTTAGAGAGGGAGACTCTTCTATTCGAAACATGTTATGCAGACACACCTTCTCCATAGCTGCGCATTGGACGATCCCTTCCTTCAATCCTTCTGCCATCTGGGAGACGGGGTTGATATCAATGAACTTGGGCCGCTCTTCACGGAAATTGAGTTTCTCTAACAGATATTCCATTGATTCCTTCTTGTTCATCAGGTCGTTGTTCACAAATCGTCCTTTTCCAGCTAATTTCTGCTGCAATCCCCTGTGGAATGTCGCAGAGAAAACGAGGGTTTGTCTTTGGTTCTGACTATTGTCGTCATCCTCCGATTGCGATTCGTCCGGAAAACCATTGTCCTCTGTCCGATCAAGCGCATTCAGGATTTCCTCCACCTCCTTGAAGTGACCTTCACTGAGAAGCCTGTCGGCCTCATCGACGACGAGGAACCTGATCTGCTTCATTTTCCGAATCAAGCCATGTCCTGTACTGAGGATCTCCCAAACTCTGCCCGGCGTGCCAATCACAATATCTGCATCAGCAAGCAGCCTCTGCTGCTTCTGTATCGACAACCCGCCGGTCAGCAGGGCGATCTTGGCGTTTGCATCTGGAGTGTGGGTGTTGAGAGCACCGATATGTTTCGCCAATTGGTGCGCCAGCTCTCGCGTAGGGGACAGGATCAGAGCAATAGGTTCTGACTCCTTCTTGTCCATATCGGCGTGCTTTTCCCTGCTGCGATCCAAGTACTGCTCCAAGATGGGTATGCCAAAGGCAAGCGTTTTGCCTGATCCTGTCGCGGCTTTCCCGATGACGTCGTGGCCCGCTAAGATCTCTGGTATGCAGGCTTTCTGAACAGGTGTAGGGCTGCTGAACTTCAGCTTTGAAAGACCCGTCTGAATAGACGGCGAGAGTCCCAAAGAATCCCATGCGGAGACGTCTACCCCATCTTCCTCCTCATACTGAAGAGCTTCAAACGACAAACCAGATTGGATACCTTGATTTTGGGGCTTTTCAGCGGCATTTTTCTTTTTCAGCGGCTTTTCACTCTTTTTGTCCTTGCTCTCCTTTGCGACATCCTTTTGATCCTTCTGCGATGTCTCAGTGGGCTGGCTTTCCGTTGCAGGCTCCTCGTCGCTAAATCCAGTCCATTCCTCGTCGTCATAACTTGTTTCCTCTTTTTCAACAGCAGGCTTCTTCAGAATAGACTTTAGGGGTTTATTTCCTGCGGCCTTGACCGAGAGTCAGCTTATGGAGGAGTAAAGAATAAAGGCATAAAGCATGCTTCAGCACTGTAGACCAACCTTGAATTTGACCTCACCACCGCCCTGTGGCCGCACAATGTCCACCCCCTCAATCTCTTCCAGCCCAAAGAAGCCTCCCGCATCATCCAGTCGATCTGGAAGCTGGACCTCCTTCCAGTCGAGCTCGTCTACTCCGAGGAGCCGGTCGGTGTCTGCATCCGCGCCATTCGCAGGCTTCTCCACCTTCTGCCTCTTCTTCGATTTTCCTGTTGCGCCTTGATGATCGCGCTCGCGTTTCGTACCCATTCTTTGTAACTGCAGAAGGAAAATAGACTCAAAATTGGCCGCGTTGTCCTGTCGCTTGTCGGCGGAGGTACGCCGTGGATTGACGTTTTTCTGTTGCGGCAGAAAAAAAGTTGCTGCTTTCTCCGCCCACCGTCCGATCTTATCGCATTTTCCCCACATGCGAAAAAAGAGACCGCCGCATGATCACGCCGCTACAGGTACTCTTTACAATTTACAGGGCAACACAAAAGCAAAATATAGTTGGTTATCTTGATACTCCGGCTGTCAGCTAATCCATCCGGGGGACGATGGGCAAGTCCTCCAAGGACAAGCGCGACGCCTACTACCGGCTCGCCAAGGAGCAGAACTGGCGCGCACGCTCTGCTTTCAAGCTGATCCAGATCGACGAGCAATTCGACCTCTTCGCACATGCAGATCCGGATAGCGTGACTCGCGTCGTCGATCTCTGTGCTGCACCGGGCAGCTGGAGCCAGGTGCTCAGCCGCGTGCTGATCAAGGGAGAGAGCTTCGGACGACGGGCGTGGCTGGAAAAGAGACGGCGGGAGAAGAAGGCCCTGGAACGGCTGGAGAAAGGGGCAGAAGCCGAAGCAGAAGAAGATGAGAGTGAAGACGAGTCGACGGTTCTCAAGCCCAGGAAAAATGTCAAGATCGTCTCTATCGACCTCCAGCCGATGGCCCCGCTGGAGGGCATCACTACCCTGAAGGCGGACATTACCCATCCGTCGACGATCCCTCTCCTCCTTCGTGCTCTGGACCCTGAAGACTACGACGAGAATACTACATCTCCGTCTACATCAAAGCAGACTTTTGCCTCTCGCCACCCTCACCCCGTCGATCTGGTCCTGTCCGACGGCGCGCCGGACGTGACAGGCCTCCACGATCTTGATATATACATCCAGTCGCAGCTGCTCTACTCAGCTCTGAACCTGGCCATCGGCGTGCTTCGTCCCGGCGGCAAGTTCGTCGCCAAGATCTTCCGTGGGCGCGACGTCGACCTGATCTACGCGCAGCTGCGGACGGTCTTTGAGAAGGTGTCGGTCGCCAAGCCGCGCAGCAGTCGCGCCAGCAGTCTCGAGGCATTCGTTGTCTGTGAGGGCTTCATTCCCCCAGAGACTAGTCAAGGGAGCGGGATACGCGCCCTCCAGAATCCGCTGTTCGGCGGCGCTGCCGCACCTAAGCTCAATGAAGACGGCACAGTAGGAGTCGAGATTCCTGACGAAGCCGAACAGGAGGAGCAACAATCCGAAATGGAGCCGTCAGCCACAGACATGACGCACACTGGCCCCAACCATCTGACGCAGACTCGGGTGTTGAAACCCTTGACAGATCCAGCTGACCTCCGCCCACCGCACGAGTCGCGCTGGATTCCCCCATTCATAGCCTGCGGAGACCTGTCCTCGTGGGATTCAGACGCCTCTTACTCCTTGCCAGAAGGCCATGTCAGCCTGGATCCCGTACAGCCTCCCACAGCGCCTCCGTATCGAAGAGCGCTGGAGTTGAGGCGGGAAAAGGGCGGTGCCTACGGAAAGACCAAGCTAGGTACTATAGGGCGTGCCTGAGCCAGGGGCTGCGGTTCAGAAAAAAAATATTTTTCTCTATTACATTTCTAGAAGCGTCTCATCTGCGTGCATTATGATCGCTTACTGCAGAGCGGACAGTGAGTTTATTACCGGAATAGAGAGGGTTGGGCGGATACGAGAAATAGAATAAATACTAGAGATACCCTGGGTGGTTGAAGCCTTGACGAAATGTATATAGCGATATGACAGAAAAAAGGTCGGAATTGAGATGAAAATATATTGGCTGGATGCAATGCAGTCTAATGTGACGTTTTCCTCTTACATGGCATCATGCATGACTGAGGTATCAGCCATCGCTAATGCTCGTACTTGTCAGACGTATATACATCACGACGCTTTTCAGTCTAGTAGACTTCCAGAACGTATCTCTCCTGCTCCTTCAACTTCTCGATCTCCTTGCGAGGCTCCACCTTCTTGCCAGTGGCCTTAGCCTCCGTGGCAATCGCCTCTTCCAGCACGGCGGTGACATCGGGGACCGGCCAGGTCGGACCACACAGGTAGAATGCACCCTCTTCGCGGATGTACGCCTGGATGATCTCCGGCAGGGTCTGGCGCATGCGATCTTGGATGTAGATCTTCTGTGGCTGGTCACGTGAGAACGCGCGGCCCAACAAGGTGATCACACCGGCCGCCTGGTAGGCCTCCCATTCTTCACCGTAGCAGTACTCCTCGCGCTGGTGTCGCGATCCCATGTACAGCAGGACAGAGCCAATCTCCTTGCCCTGAGCCTTCTCGAGGGCACGGTGCTGCACAAAGGCGCGGAATGGTGCTAGACCAGTACCGAGACCAGCCATGATAATTGGCTGAGTCGAACGGGGTGGCAGTTTCATAACGCTGGACTTGACACTGACGGTGACAGGTGCCCCAGGTTGGAGCCTGCTGAGGTACCGTGTGGCCTGGCCAATGCGTTGGCGTCCTCGGGAATCGACCCAGTTCACGACGACGATCATCAAGGCCACACTGGTTGGGGTAACCTTCTGGCAGGAAGCGATCGAATACTCACGACGCTTCAATGGGCCGACAATTCGCACAAGGTCGTGGAAGCTCGGGTGGGCAGATGGGAACTCCTGCAGAATATCCGCGTACGTGACAGTGTCGACTTCGGCACGTTTCTTGAACTCGGCTGCACCTTCGGGTCCACCCAGGGCCAGGAGTTTTTTCTTCTCCTTCTCGTCTGTGGCGAACTCGGAGAGAGCCTCGTAGAAGCGCTTTGGTGGGCGACCGAAGATGTCAACATTCTGCGCAAGGGCCTGGAACACAGTACGGTTCTCCAGGACAGAATCATCCTCACGGCTCGGGACCTCGACGATCTCATCTGGGTTGAGGCCGTAGAACTTGATGAATTCCATGACATCTTCCGCATCGTTCTCAGCGTGCACGCCAAGTGCTTCTCCGATGTCGTATTTGAGTCCGGAATCGCCCAAATCGAACTCGATGTGGAAGATGTTTCGGTCGTAGGTGACAGGAGTAAGTCGGCGGTTCTCCTTGACACGAACAGTGTACGTCTTGGTGTTAAGGTCTGGACGGAGAGCAGCCCGGGTGCCATACGCTTCCTTGAAAGCCAGACCTTTCGCGATCGTCTTCCAGTCCTTGAGGACCGCTGGAGGTTCCGCCTCGTTCTTATCGAATGGCACGAAACTGGTCGCAGAAATACGCTCAGGGGGTTGAGGCGCTTCGGCCGCCTCTTCGGTTGTGCTCCACGACTCAGGAACCTCAACCTGTCGCAAAATCTTATCGAGATCCTTCGTCACATTCACCAGAGCATCGGAGTTCTTGGCAATAGTTGCCAACTTCGACTGCTCAAACGAGGGTACAGCAACCCGCAGGAAGGACGCCTGCAAAACAACGGGCTCCAGGTTGTCTCCAGCAATAGCCGGATCCGCAATGAAGAGCGAGATGTGCCGTTTAGCAAGCGCCTGCCTGAAACTCGCGGGAAGTTTCTTCTCCAGCTCATCATCCTTCACGCCTGGAGCGCTCACAATAACTTTGCCGCTGTCCTTCACAGAGGCAAGGACATCAACATCGCCCAAGATCTTGACGTTTCCAACATATACAACGTCTGCCGCATCTACCGCGTACGGCGCATCCAGGATCTTGGTACTCTTGCGAATGTCCACGCGGACCAGGCCGCCCTGAATCAGATTGTTATAGACCGTACTTGTGGTCACGTTAATGGCAGAATCCGTAGCCAGAGCCTGGCCAAGCACCGCAGCCGCCTGAGCAGATGGGGTGTCGTCCACATCCCAGAAAGTGTACTCCTGCACCGTCGCGGGGTTGAGAAGCTGGAGGGGAGCAGGATCCTTGACATCTTGCAAGATTGGCTTGTCTGCCACGCGCTGGAACGCCGCCGCAATATTGAGCGTCGTCCACTGGTGGGAGCGATCATACTTAATCTCGATGCAGGCAGGGGCCTGAGGGCGGTCACTGGCAAAGGTCAAGGCCGCCAGAATATCATCGTAGAGGGATGAGTGAACGCCCTCCTCTTGGACAGCCTGCTCGTCGCGAACCTGGCCGAGGACACCAACGGTCTTCGTGGATTTTGGAAGCACACGGAGAAACTCCTCCTCCACGAAGGGCCGGTAGACGCGCACATTGACCACACCGACCCGGGCACCGTCCTTTGCTAGAGAACGCGCAACCTGGGACGTCAGGGACGCCTCAACCGTACCAAAGGCCACCAAAACAGAAGTTGGCTCGGCGTGACCGTGGTATTCAAACAACCCATAGTCGGTACCCAGTTCGCTGTTCAGGCTCTGAAGGATCTCCAAAACCTTGCCCTGGTCATCGAGATGCTTAATTCGCGTGTCCGACAAGCCCTGTCGGATAGCCTGATAGCTGCGGTTCAGGCCAGTCTGGTCGAGGACATCAATGACACGAGTAGTCTCGTGGCCAACACGCACACCGTCATAAATGTGGATGGACGGCAAAAAGGAAGCCACCAGGGTCGCCAGGAGCGCCATGTGCTGAGCCTCGTGAGCAGAGGAGCTGGAGATCAGGCCAAGACCGAGCTCCTCAGCGAGGTTCAGTGCCGTGACATAGTCGGAAACAAGACGGTCATTCGCATAGTCACCGGCTGCCACATGGGTCACGACAGGACTAGCAACCGAGTACAGCAGAGACAGCTGCTCCAACGACCCTCGCAAGTACGGCAGAGTGGCCGACGAAGCCAGGATGCTCTGAGGAACATGGCGCTTCTTCAGGTCAAAGTCACGAGAGAACAGGTAACCGAGAGCGATGGAACCAGCGCCCTGGCGAGTCTCAAGGGTCTGGACGGCAGTAGGTTCGCCATTGGCATTGCTCTCGCGACGCGAAGCCCACTCACGGACGGCCGAATCAAGATCGAAGGACTCAGGAGAGTAGGAGAAAATCTTGTCGGAGAGTGCATAGGCGACCTGCTGGATGAGGGTCTGGGCAGTAACGTAGGTCGGGCCAGAAATGGCCGAGAGCTCAGGTGCCGCGCCCATCGTGTCGCTGATATCGATATGGGGGTACCAGGATATCAGGCACGAGTATGGAGAGAGAGTATAGAGAAGAAAAGAGAGCAATTGATGGGAAATTTTTCATACTGGGGGAAAATATTCCGGCAGTACTGTCAGCGGGTCGGCCGAGAACAGGGGCACCTTCCAAAGACGGCTAGCGGCGATCACGCAATTTCTTATCGATAAGGACCGCCCACCAAAGGCGGTGTAAGCCGGCAGTATTGATGACCGTGCAGTAATCACGTGTCGAGCCAGTAGAGCTTTCCCTTTTCGGACGGAGGTCCATTTGTAAGGAGCGCGATGCATGCATGCGCGCGTTTCATCCCTTCCACCCTCTGCATCAAGCAAAAGCCATTGTACACGAGCTGGACATAGGGTCAGTTTCTGGAATTGACTTGTTTAACCATGGCGAACATCTCCCTCATAGGTTCCACCGGCATGGTGGTAAGTTGAATCCCCGTGGTTTGTCCTGTTCCCCGTGGCGGAGCTTCCTAAGCAGCTAATGCACATCATTGATGACTAGGGTTCGCATATCTTGTCTACCTTGCTTGGCCATCCATCCGTCGCCCGTGTCGATAGCATCTCCCGCCGGACACCACCCATTGCTGCATCCGCTCCGCAGGCGAAGCTGACAACCTTTGTCGATGGAGATACTTCCCGCTGGGCGGCCCAGGTGGCTGCACTAGCCCCTCCGCCGTCCATCTTCATGTCCGCTCTGGGAACGACACGGGCTGCCGCCGGAGGATTCGAGAACCAGTACAAGCTCGACCACGACCTCAACCTCGAGCTGGCCCGCGCCGCACGCGATGCAGGAGCCCGGGTGTATGTTCTTATTTCTTCGTCGGGGGCCAACCCCTCGTCCGTGATTCCCTACTCTCGAATGAAGGGCGAGCTTGAGGAGGCTGTCAAAGGACTGGGGTTTGAGCACACCGTCATTCTCCGGCCCGGTTTGATTGCCGGCCAACGTGAGGAGAGTCGTCCTGCCGAAGCAGTATTTCGCTTCGTTGCCGGGGTCGCAGGCAAGGTGCACTCGTCTTTGAAGAATGGCTGGGCCCAAGACGCCGATGTCATCGCCAGGGCCGCAGTCAGTGCTGGCCTCAAAGCACTTGATGGAGATGTCCCCGCTGGTAGTGAAAAGGTCTGGGTCCTGCATGGGGCCGACATCATTCGCCTTGGCCAGACGGAGTGGAAGAACTCGTGAGATCTGATCACTGGGTGTTCATTTGATTAAGTGCGCTGTATACTCTATATCCTTAAGTTTTATTCCAATTGCATACGACGTGATGACATGGGCCGCCGTTATTCCTTGCACCAGACAGACAGACAAATTGTCCGTCTGAGTGTCGGTATGTATGTACAGAACACGTGTTCTTATATAACATGGACGATGATGCATGAACCGAGAAAGATGCCCCTTAGTCATGATAGGCCACGTCTCCTCATCATTCAGTCTTATTTTTTCTGTTTTCCAAATGGAGAATGCAAAAGACTCCACAATGCCAGAACTGCCGCCTTTCTATGTTTCACATGATATGCAACTGCCTACAGCGAAATTAAAAAAAATTAAAAAGAGGATATCATGATTGCTGGACCCCTCCGGTATTCACCGGCCTTCGCTTCCTTGTCCATCCTTGAGCACTTGGGCCTTTTTCCACACCATGCTCCGCTCCGCCCTCCATGGGATCGCGCGCCTTGCTGACCTCTTGATTGCCAGGACTCACATCGAGCGGATTGCTCGTATTCCCGCGACGCCGGGACTCGTGTCCCGCGGCATCGACCTCGTCCTCGGGCGCTGTGTTGTCGGGATCAAAGGCCACCTGGTGAGTGGCCACCTCATCGTCTGTTCCGGACTTGGAGTACTCGCTGCGCAACGGGTTCAGCGTGTTGCGGTCTATCAGGCCCCCTACGTCTTTCTCGTGATGCTCCGTGTCCCGGACTGGCGTTGATGTGTGGAACGCTCGTTCCAACGGGTGGTGTTGGTGGTGGTGAAGTGTTGCTGTCGTAGTAGCAGACGGAGGATTATTGGGTTGGGCGACTTGGACGGCGGTCTGGAGGAGCAGAGAAGACCGACGGATGACTTTGCTGCCGTTGATGGCAGTTTGACGGAGGGCGCTATTCATACCTATGTATGTAGGTTAGGTACCTAAAGGTAATAGTAACTATTATGTTCTGTTGTCTAGGAGGTAAAAAATCGAATAGATTGTAGACCCCCTTCGGTTTCAATTGACGATTTTGTATGTAGAAGAGGGCTGAATTCTAAGAGATATGAATGTAAACTGATCGGAGAAAAAATGAAAGCAAAAAATAAAAATGAGAATTTTGTGGGGGCTCTATACAACAATTGGGAACCAGAAATGATAGGTATTTTCTGCAGACGATAGAAGACGATAACCATTTTCGGCAGGTCATGTTGACGTCACCGCTGCACGGTCAGCGTCGAGACCCTCGGCGTTCCCCTGTTGGTCACGTGCTGGATATCAACACAAGTACAACCCTAGTCAGTAGTCACTGTGTTAAGGATTCTTTGGAGATATTAAACAGTAATACTTTTTTTTGTGGATAACAACGGTGAGATTAGAAATGAATCTATTTGATTCTTACAACTTTGAGGTATGTCGAGCTTGAGCATCTTTATCTCGCCTCATTTCTCACAGTGAGAAGTCTGTTAAAAAGTGGGAGAAATCCTTGGAGGGAGGAAAAGCTACCTAACAATGTTCTATAATGGTCAGGCGGATTTGTACCAGTACTAGATGGCCTCTGGTTAGTACACTCCGTTTACAGACCCTCGAAGATGCCGCTGCAACTGTCTGTCACAGGAACATCCCCTTGAATGTGACAACAGATAGGATCATCATATCATGGTGTCCAATATGAACGAGCTTTCATAGCATGTGCCATCCATGAAAGCAGTGAAAGCCACGTCAACAGAGTTAGTCGAATCCGTTTATGGAGACGAGACTGAGGCTCAAGAGCGTGTGCGTGTCTGAACACGCATTACAAAGCACGCGTTATCGTGTAATCTCAAGCACAGACTAGACAGGCATTGCGTCTGCGGCGCAGTTGAGTCGAAAGACCTGAAGAAGAACGCCACTTTCACAGCTTGGTAAGGGCACATCCGAATGATCCGACCATGCTACGGTTTGCCATGATATTAGATGTCCGAATCCACGGTGATGAGAAATAGAATTCAACAGACTCAGCGTGTTCGCATCATGTGTGCTGTGACAGCTGCGCCCAGGGCGAAAACGTTGTACCCGTAGTGGTACGCCAGCTGTACAATGACTTCAGGCTGGAATCCCTGTCCGCGCCGCTGTTACAGCTGCAGGGCTTAAGAAAAGGAAAGAAGTTCGGGAGAAATAGAGGATTATGTGGCTCCAATGAACATCCACTAACAACGACGCGTTGGTGACTCGAGAAGTTCTTGTTGTCCCACGCGCTTCGGCGAAGGGAGATGCGAGTAAGTGGACTTTGTCTGTCTTGGGTGTTAAGTATACTCCAATGCATATACCCTGGAGGCATCCCCGCAAGCACCTGCAGGGAAGCTCGTGAAGATAGGTTCTCTGATCGGTAATGGAAATCCACCATAGTGTTTGGGACTGGCAAGGGGAACATTTTTAGCTGCATATCTGCGGGAAGGATCAGGGTCATGTCATCATTGGACACTGTCGTGGGGCGAAAGACGACATGGTCACAAACTGGGAACCAATCCACTGCATTACACGATCAGCCAGTAAATGCACTTGCACCTTAAATATTTCTTGATCTTTCTGACCTATACTATTTGTCACGGGTAGAGGGTTTGCATGCGGGAGGTGCGGGAAGCCCCGTTCACTCTCCGATCACGAGAGTCAAACAACTCCGGCCGCTCGGAGTGATGCAGGTGGAGTTGGAATCCAAATTCAACGTTCAAAATGCCGAAACGGATCCAAACCTCCCAGGGAGGGCAACCAGACACTGGTGTCCCATGGTCTTTCCAGCATTTCTTGCAAAGCAACTTCCAATTGGATGATAGGTTCTCATTTTCCTGCAGCATTCTCGGCCGATGCCCGGGATTCTAGATGCAGGCAGTCCAAGAGCACAGGGTTAAAATTCTCTGAAAGAAAACGAACACCCGAGGCAACGCCAGAGGGTGGCGAATCGAGTAGGTGGTACTCGTAACCGAGACAGATGGCTTCTGCATACCTCTAAGGCCTGGTCATTTCTATTGTCTCACTGTTGCGAGCCTTGCAGAGAGGCCGAGCCAATTATCAATCCCGTTATGGTAGCCAGTGATGAGAGCCCAGCGCTCACTGCTCCAGAGTGATATCAACATTTCGCAACAATGCCCTCGCAGGAACAACAATCAACGACTCGTAAAAGCGGGGTGAGTGTTAGATTCACAACAGGAACAGATTGGGTTATTCATCGTTGACATCGCGTATCAGCTAGATAATGGAACGACCATCTCTAATGATTCTGATGAAATGCGACCAGGAGAGCTCAAATCACACCTCCTTGACCAGACGTAACCTGCCACGTCAGAGAGCGTCCAAGGTCTAGCGCAGATGCATATGATTTGAACACCAGTCGTCTCATTTGAGAGACGGGGATGTCCGCTTTGCCCCGAGCCGCAGCCTGGCCCGTGTCGGACAGGGTTGTGTCAACAGGGAGAGCGCGAACCGTGCACTTGAACAGGAGCCCATGCGGGATTACCCATGTGCAGATGTCATTGATCAGCTGAAAGAGTTTGCCTTGGATGCCTGCATAAGGTTTCCGTATCTCGCCATTGGATGTGGAAACCAGAAAACCAGCAAGGACGGGGGACCAAGGTGGTGACAAGACAATATCCTCCGTGGCTGGGATCACGAAGACTAGTTCGCATATCCACCATGAAGGTTCACAACAATGGTAAGACCAATTGATAGCGATGGGACTTCCATGTGTCCGATGATTGGAATAGGATGTGCCATGACGATAGAAGTCACTGCTCGGTTGAGCATGCGTTCCACATGGATGAACACAACATCGGTGTTTCTGAGGTCACGAAGTTTGGGACGCGTTGCATCCGGTTGTCACCGATTGGAAAAGGGGTTTCGACTCAGTTCTGAAGACTAAACCAAGGCTTGCCATCTCATAGCACTACCCAAGTGTAATTGGCCACCAGAGGAGGGGGGAAGAACGAGCGAACGGGTTAGGGCATGAGAGTGGGGGGCATTAGATCCCAGTTCAGAGATATTGACTATCATTCATTGAAAGAAATGATAATGTGGCTTTCGTCGGTCGAAAGAGCAAGGTTCACCCCTGACAACAGGATTTCTCAAACTTTTAGGAGGAAGACACACATCAACAGCGATCATGCAGGGTGACCTGACCAATGCGATCTCACAAGAGAAAGCCTGATCACCGGTGAGCATCTCCATTCGGAAAGCGAAGACATTGACAGTGATGATTGAATTGGTGCTGCGACGGTCACATCCCGCAGGTAAGAGGTTCACCGGATATTGAGGGATTTTCAGATATGCAGGCGGAAGAAAAGACTGGACACCGCAACACCACAGTCTGCTAGACATGCATATGTGAGGCAGCCGGTAAGATGATGATGACGATCAGAACCAACGATATCGTTTGGTGTCTTGCGACTCCACCCGAACAACGATCACTGCAGTCGAACTAGATATGAGTAACAAACATGGGAAGCGTAAATGATGGTTCGTGATAAACACCCACACAGCTTGGGCACGCGTCGGTAAACAGCGGGGGGTCGCGGGGACAAATGGCAAATGGACTGAAGGTCTCGAAACATAAATATGGCGAATGAGCCCACCATAGGCAGAGGATTCCCTGTTCATTCATCGAGTCCAGTTTCAGAAAGAAGACTCTTAGCATAAATCACAAATCACAAAGTCAGGTCCTCGCCATAGAGCTTCATCCCCAAACCTCAAATACAAAGCATCGTCACCTCAAATACAAAGCATCGTCAATTGACCTTCGTCAGTCTTTGGCCTATCAATCTGTAGCCGGGGAAGAGCACCGGCAAGTTTAGCCAATAAGATCTTCACGAGAGGCTGAAACGATTACCTTCTGTCACTCGCCAGTAGGTGTGATCATAGAAAAGCCAATCCCACTACGACGCTGACGCAGTCGCAAGGAATGTGCTTCTACAACCAGAAGAGATTCGCATGCGGGGACTGGAGCTGGACCAGTTTCGCCCACCAGTGCAACTATGAATACCGGACTGGCGAGACGTGTGGCATGAGACTTGTAAACATGACGGAGTTTGAAGCCTCGAAATGCCGTCTTTGCGAGAAGATCGAGACGAAGTATCGCCGCCGCAGCGCGGAAATGGAACGATTGGAACGCTGGAGGCGCGAGGGAGGCAACCTGGTGGCGTCCATGGCCAAGTCACAGAATATCATCAAGGAACTCGACAGAGAAATCTGCCAGCTTCAGAATGAACGGGAGAGTCGACGGAATGCACTATCCTGAGAGGCGAGTTGTGGAGCGGGGGTGGTGCAGACATCAGAAGCATCATCATCCGCAGGAAAAGCTGCATCTTCATTGTATGATTGGGCGCTTGTTTCCATTGCAATTTGATGACGATTTTGTTTCCTTTTCTTTCTGCCTTTCGTGAATGACATCTTGTGGGAATGTCAAACATCTCAACCCCGCTGTGTTTTGAATTGCAACGGGCACGCCAAATCGCTGGAGAGCCCAGGAGACGGAGTGGATGGCCAAGGAAGGGGGTTTCAGAGGAATTGTCACATAATAAGTTTCAAAAGCAATCTCTTCCAATGGCGTTTTTCTTTCTGTGTTATGTTTCATATTCGTCCCGCTTCCTCATTGAAGAATTGTCCCTTGTAAGCGCCCTTCGCACCGACGAGCGGGTCGCCCAAGTAATAGTCGACCCCAAGTCGGCGCCTATTGTAAAGGACGGGCGGTAAACCCGTGCTGAGCTCTTTCTCATTGTTTTCTGCATCAAACTGTTGCACATATCAAGTCTTCTGGCCCATTGGCGGAAAGCAGAACGAAGTCAGAGAAGGGAGACGCGGAGGAGGCATGTCGCAGCAGAGCAATAGTCCGGAGTAGTGGGTCGCGCACTCCGCGTCGATCGACGATCTGGAGGGCGCCACGTGAGTCTCTGGCGGTCACGTGGATGCGCAGCCATTGTTGACATTGTTCGACGACAATTATGGTGATCAGCTTTGAGTATTCTCTTATGATTTCTTCAATATCGACAAAAATTGGCGTTGGTACACACCTTCGCTCTTTGTCGTATTACTCCGCTGCAATTGTCGGAAACCTGGCCCACCAAGCATTGGACTTTGTGCGATGTCCCATCGTCCACATCGTCCAGAGCACAAGCTCGCGTAGGGAGCCGGCAAATGCAAGTTTTGCTGGCGGGTGTCACTAAAAGGATATATTGATTCCTGGCAACTTTTGAATGGGGATTGAAACCCGCATTCCTGGTGGAAGAAAGATTGTCTAAAGACGGGCTCTTTGATGGCGTAGACCAGAATTCAAGAAGCCTAGGTTTTCTCTGAAGCTTTATCAGAGTCTACCTAGCAATGTAAATTTTACCGCCGACGGGAGAAATTAAACGTACGTGGATCCATTGACAAGGATTCATCGACCTGGAATTCTCAGATGGACTAGTTGTGAGCAAGCAACAGGCGATAAATGCGATCATTTGTTGCAATTGAGGCTGTCATTGACTGCCACGTCACTACTAACAGACGCGCTCCAGTTGATACGTCTATAGAAGGTTCATGCCTTGATCTATCCAGACTTCGCGGGATATATCTCAGCAAATGATCCTCGCTGTAGACGTCGATGAATACAATTTATTTTGGTAGCATGCTAAATAGTTCACCTCTCAGACTGCAAGGGAGGGAGGCTCTGATCCAGACATTACATCTCGAAATCGCGAACGATACGAGGGGCGGAAACAGAAATTTTCATTGCACTTCGTCTATCCAGTTTCAGTCTCTTCTTCCTTGGCCAGGCCGTGTTGTCTCAGCAAGGCGTCGATTTCCTCAGCGCCCCAGAGGTGGTGGTAGATCCTCCCATCCTTGGTCTTTCCCACGGTTGCAAACTCAACTGCAGAGGAGCACCTATCAGCATCTCGAGCCAACATAAGGGAAAGGGTGGCACAAGAGGGAGGGTGGCATCACTCACTCTTCTCACTACTCAGATTCGTTGAATCCATCGTCTTGCTCAAGATCTTCACCGCCAAGGCACATGCCTCCTTCAGATCACAATCCTCCTTATAATCCTGCTTCAGAAGGCTCTGAGCAGCTGCGTTGTTGGCGCCAACGCTGGTAGCCTTCCATCCTCCGTAGTTACCACTGGGATTGCTCTGGTACAATTGAAACTGCCGATGCGGGTCATATCCGGCGTAGATGAACGATACACCGAAGGGTCGGAGACCGCCATGTTGGGTGTATCCCTGCTTCAGATCGCATAGACGACGGACAAGCTGCTCACACGGGATCTCTTCATTGTAGGTGAGAAGATATCGCTGAGCGGCCTGGCGGGCGTAGTTGATGAGAATGTTGGCGTCTGCAGTCATGCCGGCGACAGCGCATATCATGTTGCTGTTGCCAGATCAGTCACACAGTGCAAGCTTAACGCTTTACCAAATATACATACTCGTTTATTATGTAAAGCTTCTCGGCGGACGTATCCTGCTCCAGCAGCTTGCTGGTGACCTTCTTCTCTGCAGCAAGAACGATCCCATCCTTCGCGAGAATTCCTAGAGCTGTTCCGGCGTGCGAGATGGCTTCGAGAGCATACTCAACCTGGTAGAGACGCCCTTCAGGCGAGAAGATTGTAGTCTGTCACCGACAGCGAGGTCCCAAGATTAGCTCAAGCTTGCAACAAGGGAAGGACAGGGCGACAATACCCTTGAATCGTAACGCCTCGACATAATGCAAACCCCTTTTCAGTAACTGAGGATAGAAAATGAGAGTCCCAGCCTTAACAGCCAGGGCGTGGTACCAAGGAATGTGGTGTAGGGCAGAAGAGTTGGCCGAGAGCAAGCTGGACCTTGTAATCGCTGTGCTGCTGAGCTTTGGACGGGCCAGGCAACTCGGTGTCGCGCGTCCCGCCCAGCGCCGGCCAAGGTCGGCCCCGTCCAGATCTCCAGCTGACCCGCGCCATACAAAAATAATGTCATAGATCAGAGCTCCTGCACCCGCCGCATCGCCGTTCCACCACTGCAACGCATATCTGGGTTTCAGTCGCAATTGGCCTCGACGACATTCTCTGGCTTGGATTGCTCTGCAATAAGGGATGCTCAAGTCTACCTACACTCCTCCGCCTCCGTTACCTCCAGGCTGGACGGAGCATAGAGCTCCTTCAGGTCAGTTTAAGCTTCCTTTTTATCGGCGTCTTGTTTTCACCGCTGACGGCGCTCTTTAGGTCATTTATACTATTACAACGCTGAGACTAAGCAATCAACCTATACGAGGCCAACCGCACAGACGACTGCACCTGAACCGCCACCAGCCCCCGCTCAAACAGTCCCTGCCTATGCGCCCAGCAATCTTCCGCCGTTCTCCTCTACACCATATGGACCGTCTGAATTTGGTCCTGGAGGCGCGTATCATGGCGCAGGTCCACATGTTCAAGGCCGTGGCGACAGAGACTATCACGACCGCAGACACCGGCAACCGGAGGATAGGCCCAAGTCTAAACACCCAATTCCAGGCTGTGAGCCCTGGCTCTTAGTGAAGACAAAGTTGGGACGCCGATTTGTACATAATCCCGAGACAAACGAGAGTTATTGGAAATTTCCCGAGCATGTGTTAAAGGCTGTGGTGGAATTCGATCGGATTGAACGGGAAAAGAGAGAAAGGAGAGAACGTGGCGAAGAGGAAGAAGAACAAAAACCACAAGCTCCAGACACAGAGGGAAGACAGCGCCGAGCGTCTGCCGAGCGACAAGCAGAAGCCGCAGAAGCAGACACGGCTGCACATGGTGAAGAAAGCGATGAATACGAAGAGGTTGAGGTTACAGATAGCGAAGCGGAGGAAGAGCACTCGAGCAAAAGACTCCGGACTGAGAGTGAAGGGCCTGGTGAAGATCAGCCAATCGAGTTCAATGAAGAGGACATTGAATATCAGCTTGCCGCCATGGGTGAGGAATACGGTTTAGACCCTGGCGAGTATGGTGAGCCTGGCGAGGAGGGATGGGAAGAAGGTGCAGAGGGACTTCCATTGACGGACGAGGATGCCACGGCGCTTTTCCGAGACTTACTCGACGATTACCAGATCAACCCATTCACGACCTGGGAGAAAGTTATCGAGGAGGGTCGTATCATTGACGACAGCAGATATACTGTCCTGCCCAACATGAAAAGGAGACGCGAGGTGTGGTCGGCCTGGAGCCGTGACCGTATCCAAGAACTTAAGGAGCGCAAGGAAAAGGAGGAGAAAAAGGACCCCAGGATCAAGTATCTTGAGTTCCTGCAGGAGCACGCTACACCAAAACTTTACTGGCCTGAGTTCAAGCGCAAGTACCGGAAAGAGCCCGAGATGAAGAATACGCAGCTATCTGACAAGGATCGTGAAAAATATTACCGGGAGCACATTTCGCGCTTAAAACTTCCCGAGAGCACCAGAAAATCGGACCTCTCAGCGCTGCTGAAATCCGTTCCGTTGCAGCAATTGAATCGATCCTCGAACGTTGCAGCTCTCCCACCCATGATTCTGACCGATATCCGATACATATCTCTGCCACCAAAAATCCGTGACCCGCTCATCGAGGCATACATTTCCACCCTACCACCTCCTCCAGAGGAACAGCCCGGCGATCTCTCGGTTGAGGAGCAGGAAGAGCGCGAACGAAAGAGACAGGAGCGGGAAAGGCGCGAAAAGGCTCTCGCAGAGCGAGAACGACAGGTCCAGGAGGAGAAACGGCGGCAGAGAAGCGACCTCAGGCGCGGAAAGAATCTGCTGCGACAGGGGGAGGCCGAGTTGGAGCAGGCGATGAAGATCAGTGGCAAGGAAGGTCTCAAGAGCTACATGGAATTGGATGAGGGGAGACCAAAAGGAGGAGGAGCCAGGCAAAGAGTGAACCCCGAATTTTGATATGACCTCACGTTGTACTGTATGTATATGAAAGGGAAAGCGGTTATGTGCTGCAATACGATATATATAATAATGAAATACGAAACGATAAACACGATTGAGAACAAATTCAAAGATTATCCCTCCTTTTTCTCATTAAGTTTTTAATATTCCAAGAATGGTAACAACGGGTACCTAAGTTAAGGGGTATCAATAGTGTACATATATAGAGAGCACGGTACATAGAAGAATCCCCGAACTGGAAGCCAGAAACCTCATTATTGCTTCGTTTTTTTTCCCGTTCCGCCCCCCCTCCATCCCTAATACCTCTCTCTGATAACCCTTTAGATTTTGGAATGGTGAAAAAAAAATATCCAGGACAAAAGCATGATCGTTACCACATAGAATAACTATCGGAACCTCCAGTCATCCCAGTCCTCATCTTCCTCTTCCTCTTCGCTCTCCTCATTCTGCTGCTTGGTTTCTGTCGATTCTTCTTCTTCTGGGGCAGCCGCATCGATATCGACGTGCTGATCCTCCTCCAATTGTCGTTTTCTGATCTCCTCACGCTTCTCCTTCAATCGCTTCACTCGCTCTTCCAACTGCTCCATCTCATCGAATTCCTCCTCGAGATGACGCGCAGCGTCCTCTTTCTCTCCCTCAACGTCCGCCTCTCGGGCCCTGGCGAGTTCTTCTTTCTCTTTGCGTTGTCGTTCCTCCAGTTCCTTTGCAGAAACGGGCGCGGCGGAAATCGTGGCAGGTGCCATAGCGGCTTCAGGAACTTGCGGGACGCGAGTGGGCGCGACAACTTCGCGTTCGAAGGCAGCCCATTCGTCTTCGTCGATTGTTTGAGAACCATTCGTGGCTAGTGCTGAAGAGGCAGGCACCTGGGCTTCTGACGGAGCTGCTGTCGGTCCACTCACGTCATTTCCTGCTTCTTCTGCTTCTTCGTCCTCGGGAGGAAGTTCAGGCCCGGCTTCTTCCTCGTCGAGAGCCTCTCGTTCTCGCTCCTCATTCTCTGGCAGATTTGATTTGGGTGCCTGAGAGGGCTTGGCTTCTGCAGAAGGCGTCACAGGACTCGGCCCAGCGGCTCGCGACTTTTTGCGCACGGCGTCATCGATGGATTCGATCTTTCGTTTCTTGGTAAGTCGAGTTCCTGTACTCCCTGTCTGGGGTGCGGCTCCACGCGCGGCAAGCTCGTTGCGAAGAAGGGATCGGACGTCTGCCATAGTCGCAGGTAAATATTCCTTGGAAAGTATGCTTAGGAAAAGAAAAGTGGAAAAGTAGTGACCAAGAAGTGTGTAGGAAGTTAGATCGTCCCTTTGTTGAACTAGGTGCTCAGCTCCTGCACCGAGAAGCGCGCGCTATGACGAGATGCAGCTGTGTGGCGCATTAGTAATTACTGTTCTGGGAGCCAAGTGTGGCTGGTGCATTTCTCCGCATCGGGCGATGTCACGTGTGCGCCGCGCTAACCCGTCTGGTCACGCCTGCGACTTAAATTCCATCTCCTTCAACATCATTCTGTCCCTCCTTCCATCCACGCCAACAACCGACATTGCATTTTGCTGTGCACAGCGCTACTGTCGCACTACTTCCTTCAGTTTCCGGGTTGTTCTCGCATAGCTTCTTCAACCCCGCTGTTGTAGAGGCGCCATCTGGGCTTCTGACCCAACGCCACCTTAGAACGCCAAGATTTGACCTTCGCGTGACTAAGGAAAGGCGGTGTTTCGCATCTGGAGCGCGACGTGGGTACGAGCACCAGCAGTCAACGCGTGGATAGCTCGCAGAAAACGTGTTGAAGAAGTAATCTTCGTGTACGCTGGAGTTACCATACCACGTCCAGGCTTCCGATTTGTGTATTTTAGCAACCCGATGTCGTAGAGAGACCGTTGGTTAGCGCGCGCATCCCGCTCAAACCAACTGTCTGATATTACAACGGGTCGTAGAACTTTGCAGTACCATTGCGTTTCTGTTATTACACATCCACCATGACTGGTAAGCCGTCTTTTGTCTTTTTGTCCCGCACGCCCAGGGGCGTTCCATGGGGAACGATCAGTTCCGCTGGTGGCGCTACTTGGGTGGGCATGAATTCGTTATCTACTGGAAAATGATGCTGACCACGTGAAAACAGAGGAGCCTCGAAGGTCAGGACGCGCCACGAAGGGCCAACACAAGAACCTCGACTTGCTCCAGGAGGTTCCGACCAAGAAGACCAAGGCCAAGGCCCAGCCGAAAGAAAAGCCGCCGAAACCTTCCGTGGAACCCACACCGGCCCCGAGCGAGGAAGAAGAGATCATTCGATGTATCTGTGGCGAATATGAGGAAGAAGAAGACATTGAACGTGATATGATCTGTTGCGATAAGTGCTCGGCATGGCAGCACAACGATTGCATGGGACTTACCTTCGCAAAGGGCGAGGAGCCGGCGGAATACTTCTGTGAGATATGCAAGCCCGAGAACCACCAAGTTCTCCTGGAGAAGATTGCTCGTGGGGAGAAGCCTTGGGAGGAGGCTGCCAGGCGCAGGCAGCAGGAAGTCGAGGAGAAGAAGGCTGCCCGACGGAGGAAAGGCAGGAAGGGCAAGAGAGGCGGTGCCAGGCAGAGCGATGCTACTAAGGTCGAGGGGAACAAGGAGGTTGTTCCACCCACTCCTGCTCCTCCGGCCGCCGCTCCTGCTGCAGCACAGACGCCTGTTCAAGAAAACAAAACTGTCGTGACGAGCGAGCCTCCGCCATCGAGCACGCAGAAGCGCAAGTTTGATGAACACCAAGAGTCGACAGTACCCGAAGCGGTGAGTTACGATAATTGCCCGCCACGCATACAAGACATGGCTAATATACGTGTCCAGGGTCCCAAGCAGAAGCAGCAAAGAGTGTCAGTCCAGGGCAATAAGGTGGCGGATCAGGATAAACGGGCGTCTCCCGCGCAGGCCCGGAAAGGAAGCACTGCTGAACCCACGCCTCGTCAAGGCTCCGTCACGGAGAAAGCAACGGCCGAGGTCGCAGGGACTCCGGAGGAGATTGGAAACGCGGCTCGGAGGAGTTGTGCCAATGCCCTAGTCAAGCTCTTTGTAGATCAGATTCATGAGGCCCAGAAGCAAGGCACCTACCAGCTACCAGAAGGCAAATCAGTGGAGGATGTCGCACGGCCGCTTGGTCTCTCGATCGAGCATGCCATGTATCTGAATATATGCGGCGGAACTGGAGAACCCAATGAACCCTATAAGTCACAACTGCGGACGATCCTGTTCAACGTAAAGAAGAATACTTCTCTACGGGATCGCCTGCTCGTAGGTAGCCTGGCTCCTAATACCCTGTCTACAATGAGCACCCAGGACATGGCAAGTGAGGAACTGCAGCAGAAGGATGCGGAGATCAAGAGGGAGGCCGAGAAACAGCATATCATCGTGCAAGAACAAGGGCCTCGCATCCGACGGACACACAAGGGCGAGGAATTGGTTGAGGACGACAACCAGGCCGTCGCATCCGAATCCATCTTCTCGTCCGCCGCGGCTCGTCGTGCCGTCCTCGAGGCGGATGGACATTCTCCGAGCACCGCCGGTGCTGCACGCAGTGTCAGCCCTAAAGTCCAGCGACCACCTGAATTCGGCGAGGCAAAGGCGTCCGAGACCAGAACTGCGACCGACTTCAACGGCACCGCTCGTGCTCACTCTCCCGATGGCACTGGTGATCAACTGTTCCCTGAAGCACCGGTACATCTCCATCAGCCTCTGCCCACGGGCAAGGTGCAGGCTGATGAAGAGATCGACAAGCTTTTGAAGGATGAGGATGCAGAGTCGCCACCGTACTCGCCCAAGGAATACGAGAGTGGCATAATCTGGCGTGGGAGAGTGTCCATGCACCCTGTGGCAGAGTTCACGTCCTCTGCCAGACATGTCGGAGGCGCTGATCTCAGTGGAAGAATCCCATGGAGCCAGCTGGTGCCCCCAACGCTGCTGGTTGACGGACGGATCGACATCCAGCTGGCCGGCAACTACCTCTGCGGCCTGCGGTTCAGCAGCTCGACCGACGTGACGGTGCTCTCGATGAGCGCGCCAGACTCACCTGCCGAACGAGCTCAGTTCGACAAGCTGTTCAACTATTTCGTGGACCGCAAACGGTACGGCGTCGTCGGGAAGCATCCATTGCCGGCCGTCAAGGACACGTACATTATTCCCATCGAGGCCGGTGCTAGCAAGAAACCCGAGTTCATCGAGCTGCTGGAGAACAACTCGATTGAAGACCCGACCCCGGACCGGATCTTGCTGGCGGTGTTTGTGGTCAAGACCAGCGAGATTATTACCTCCAACTCGCCTTCTGAGCAGCAACCGACCCCATCGCATCCCAGCCAGAACAACCACGCCATGGCCGCCGCAAGTCCCTTAACCTCCACGCCGCTCCCACAGCACGCCCAATACACCAACCCGGCGGTCAAGCCAGCATCGCAAGCATCTCCTGCGCCGTCGACTCTCGCTGGCTCTCCTCATCCTCCATATAACAATGCTGTTCAGTCGCAACCACCACAACAACCGGGCTATCCTACTGCTGCAGCCCAATACCCGCAGTACCAGTCTCAACAATCCCCTCCTGCTCCACAGCAGGTGCAGCAACCTCATCTGCAACAGCTGCAACAGCCACAACCACAGCCGCAGCCACAGCAGCAGCTACAGCAGCAGCCTCAGCAGCAACAACAACCCCAAGCACCACTGGTAGGAGCCGCAGCAGCTGCCCACGTCCTTGGACCGCAAGCCAAGGCGCCCGCGATCGAGCAACTTCTGCAGATGGCGCCAAATGCGGACGTCGCCCAGCTTAGTGTCGTCCGAGACATCCTGGCGCGCAATCCCGCGGCAGCGAACGACTACGAGCAGTTGATGCAGGCGATCATGCAAGCTGGACAGCGGTCTGGATAGGTGGTGAATCCACACTCTTCTTTTGAGACTGAGAACTCGCGATGAAGGAGAAACTCTCTCGAGACAGTTCAGCTGTCTACCTGAGGTTAGGTAGGCAAGGGCCTAGCCTGGTTGGAAGGGGGAAAAAAAAGAAAAAAAAAAGACCTAACTGGCATGGAAACGGAAACGGGAATTTTTTTTAATATTATATGTGTGTATGTACTTTGCGCGCGTGTCCGTGGCGTGTGTCCGTGGCGTGTGGTTGTGTTTGTGGGTGTGGTTGTGCTTGAGCTTGTGATTTACATGTAACCCTCAGTTCTCTCAGTCTGTTTCAGGGCGCGTGATCGGTATCTTTTTTACTCCCATTTTCTTTCTTCCTTCCTTTCTATCTCTCCCCTTTTTCTTTCTTCCTATTTTATCCTTTCTTTTTTCGCCTTTTCCTTTTTACTACTTTTTTATTATCTGTGTCTGATATGCGTGTACATAATACCACTGTTAGTCTGCTACGGTATTCTGTATTGATTATATGATATTATATTATAGTAGTTTTGATTCATTTCATTTCGTTTCATTGAGTCATTTTTTTAATACTTCATTTTTTATTCCCTCTTTTTCCCCTTTCCCGTAATACTCCGTAATAATAAGTAGGTGCATGAATAACTTGTGGTTCCTCGTAACAATTAAACACACAGACAGATCAGGGATATGAAACGAGAAAAAGAAACCCTCTGAAAGCAACAAGAAACAAACGCCTGCGCTATGCAAGTAGAGGTACAGATACAAAAATAGGACGACAGAAAGAAGGGAAGGAAAGATCACCACCTCCCTCCTCCCTTTTTCCTGTATCCACCACCTCCTGACCGATATCCTCGTCCGCCACCGCCTCCACCACCTCGTCCACCCCAGCCGCCTTCATCGCCGTATCCACCGTCATCATGCCTGGCTGGCGGCGGCCTTCCTTTCAGCTCCTCGCTCAGCTTCTTATACGTCTTGCGCATGTCAGAGTATCCCATGTGCATCTTCCCGTAGAAGTGATCCGCCAGCCGGCGATCATTGTCGAGTCGACTCAGATAGGCACCGCAAACGTCGCAGACTTGCAGCTTCTGGTGGCCCGACGGGCCGGACGTGTCAGCAAGGTTTTTGAGCTCGCGCTCGCAGGACTCTTTCTGGTGTTTGGCTGTGCGGATCTTGAACAGCTCGTTATAAGCCTGGGAGACGCAGCCCATCTCGCCCAGGACAGAGACCTCGAGCAGGCCCGTGTTAATCGTCTTGGTGAGCTCCGAGATTTGTTTCAGCTGGTCGCGAGGGGGCAAGGTTAGCCAGATGGTAACAAAAAAAAAGTAGATCTAGATGAAAGGAGCATACCAGATTGTTCGTCTGCCGGATCTCGTCCGGCGTCTTTTCCAGTCGTCGCTGCGCGGCCTCGATGCGCCGATCGCACTCGTCAATGTACTTTTGCATGTCGCGCAGGTAGTCGTACTCGAACCCCCATTTGGCCTTTTCGCTCGGCGAAGCGGCTTCGTACTCGGCCTTCAGGCCCTCGCTGTGGACCTTCGGACAGGGGCCCAGGTCTTGCTTGGTGTTGGTGAACTGGTCGTGCGGACACGTGCCCACGAGGTATGAGCGACAGACCTTGGGATCAGTGATGGAGAGCTGCGCGTTGCGGGAGGCGGCACCAGTGCCCATGAGCTGGTCCGCTGAAGGCGAAAAACGATCAGTTCACATTCCTCGCATTGACATGAAATGTCTATACAGCAAGCAAGAGGGGAGAGGGATCTGCGGGGAGAAAGAACATACCTCCCATGAGCTGCTCCAGCAGCTTTCTCTGTTCGGCCGCCATGGCGCCTGGAGTCTAGTCGGGACTAAGCTAGCAAATCTCAGCCCTGATGCGACGACAGGGAATGAGGATTGGCTACCAAAGGGAGATCTCTGGTGTTCTGGCGTCGACGGAGGTGTATAAAAGCCGTTTCGCTGCAGTTCAGCTTGACGGCGCTAGTGGCGGCAGCGCCTGTGCAGCCAATCAGAAGCTGCGGTGTATAGCTCTGAGATACAGCAAGTACTGCACTCTAGATAAGATACCAACCAATTCCAGAATTGATATATTTCAGAATTGTATTATTACTTTATTCGTACTTTTCTCTATCAGGCTCTTTCAGACTCTGCTGGCATTCTTGCCTGCGCAGGTGGCTGTCTTATACTGCTGTCCAGGCTAGCCCGATCGGGAGACCCGCAGATCGGCGTCCGCATCTGCAACGCTGGCCGGAGCAATCTAGACAGTAAACCATCTCAGCAAGGCAGCTTGCTGTGCTTGATTCCAGCAGGCCAACGACGGTGGAGCCACCACTGCTACGTCCCCAAGAAGCATGCCGGCATGACGCTCCTCCTCTTCGCCGTCCTTTGCGTCCTCCTGGCATCGCTGTCCGGCCGCACCCACGCAGCATCCGACTACCATGAGCGCCTCGACCTTCAGCCTCTGCCCGGCTCGTCGCTGCTAGCTTCGTTCAATTTCCGCAGCAATTCGTCCGTCTCGTCGTTCGAGAAGCAGCATTTCCGCTATTTCCCCCGCTCGCTAGGCCAGATTTTGCAGCATGCTCACACCAAGGAGCTCCATCTGCGCTTCTCCACCGGGCGCTGGGATGCGGAGAGCTGGGGCACCAGACCGTGGAATGGGTACAAGGAGGGAGCTACAGGGGTAGAGCTGTGGGCATGGATTGACGCACCGTCCGAGGATGAGTACGTCTGTTTCCCCCATGCTTCCAGGAACCATGCGTCCTAAACTTGGTCTTTCAGGGCTTTTGCGAAATGGGTCACTCTGACACAGTCCCTCTCGGGCTTGTTCTGCGCATCTCTAAATTTCATTGATTCCACTCGCACCACGCGGCCAGTCGTCTCATTCGAACCCGTTGGGGATCATGCTCCCTCCGACCAGCTGCACCTCCTGCATGGCACCCTCCCGGGAGAAGTCGTCTGTACGGAGAACCTCACTCCGTTTCTGAAGATGCTCCCATGCAAGGGGAAAGCGGGAATCTCGAGTCTTTTTGATGGACACAAGCTGTTTGATGCGTCGTGGCAAAGCATGTCCATCGATGTGCGGCCGACGTGCCCGCCCGGTGAGCCAGAATGCTTGGTTGAGATTGAGCAGACGGTCGATATGGTGCTGGACATTGACCGGTCTAAGCGACCACGGGGTATGAACCTTCTCAAGACTCTTTTGACCTCTATGTCTTCTATATGTATGGTCACTGACGACCTCCAGACAACCCGATTCCGCGGCCGGTTCCCGCCGATCAGCTGGTGTGTGATCCATCCAAGCCGTACCACTCTGACGACACATGCTTTCCGTTGGAGAAAAAGGCCGAAAAAGGGTGGACTCTGACTGAGGTCTTTGGCCGTCCTGTCAAAGGGCAATGTCTGTCGGATGACGAAGGAGCAGGAGACAAAGTCATCTGCCTAAAGGTGCCTCATGAGAGGAACGTCTTTGTTACTACGGAAGCCTTCGAAGTGAAGAATCCAGACGGTGTCTCCAGATGCTTCAGCCTCATCAGCTCCAACGATTTCGACCTGGTTCTTCCCGAGGAGGAAGTGCAGACCAAGGTGCCTCTGGAGCAGCCGGTCCTGCATGCGGAGCGGACCATCATCGGCCACGGGCAGGAGCGTGGCGGAATGCGGGTGATTCTGAGGAATCCTTCGAGCAGCAAGGCAGTGGACTTTATCTACTTTGAGTCGCTGCCGTGGTTCATGCGTCCCTATCTGCACACGCTGCAGGCGACGGTCATCGGCAACGACGGGGTTCCCAGACAGGCGCCGGTGTCGGCCATCATCAAGGACATTTTCTACCGGCCGGCTGTTGATCGCCAGAGGGGCACGCAGCTCGAGCTGGTGTTGTCGGTACCGGCCGATTCGACCGTGACGCTAATCTATGATATTGAGAAGACTATCCTGCGGTACACAGAGTATCCCCCGGACGCCAATCGGGGGTTCAACGTGGCGCCGGCTATCATCCGGCTTCTGGACCAGGAGGGGCCCCCCCGTCTACCTGCGCACGACCAGTCTGCTCCTCCCGTTGCCGACGCCGGACTTCAGCATGCCATACAACGTGATCATCCTGACGAGCACGGTGATGGCGCTGGGGTTTGGAAGCATCTTCAATCTGCTAGTGCGCCGGTTTGTGCCTGCTGACGAGCCGGCATTGCGGACATACAGTCTCAAGGCGAAGCTCTTGAGCCGGTTGATAGCGGCACGAGATCGATTTGGGAAGGCGGCGAAGACGGAGTGATAGATACCAGAGCTAGTAGAGATGGATACCCTTGATTGAAGCTTGAATATATATGTACAGTAGAAAGTATACCTGATAATGACAACCAATATTCGTCTCATCCAAACATTTCCCATATATTTTCTCTTCGCTAAGCACCACGTCCATACTTCGTCGCCCTGTGCAAGAAAGAAGAAAAAAGAAAAAGGCAATCAGCACTATCCACAAAACCCCAGAAAGGGAAGTCAACTAACCTCTCCCAAGCATCCTTAATAAAATTCGCCCCAGGCAAATTCTGCGGACAACCGGGGGTATGATACATAAAACTATGATCCTCCGACGCACAGGTCTCTTCACCGGATTCCGTCGTCGCCTTCTCATAGCCCGCCGCGCGCTCGAACTGATGCGCCGAATGGTACTCGGCAGCGTGCTTCTGCTCCTGCAAGCCGAGGAAGTTCCCGAACGAGGCCGCTGGGTTGGGCATCGGCGCGTGGCCCAGGCCCTGGCTGGGATTCGGCGAGCCTGTCCCTCCGCCCTTGTGGAAGCCTTTGTCGCCCCAGCCTGAGCCGCCGCCGGCGTTGTTGGCGGGCGTGGGCACGGCGCTGGCGCCTCCGGCTGTGGAGGTTGTTGGGTGGTTGCCGACGTCTTCGCCGGTCGTTGGGGAGGTCGGGTTTGACATGGTGGAGTGTATGTATGTAATGTACGCAGTGATAGTAGAGTTGATGCGGAGGGGAGATGATCGATCTAGAGGGTTGATTGCGTGGATTTGATCAGTAGAGGTTGACAGTCAGTAGGTCATTATCAGACAATAAATATATAATAATATAATCTTATAAACTTAATAACGAAATCGAAAAAGCCAGAGGATATACAGAATAGATGTCTTAAATCATGAAGGTTATTTATTACTCACCTGGGAGAACTATATTATATCGTTAATATCGCCAAGAGATTCGTTCGATAATAGATAATCTACTATCGAAATGGAATGATGACATTAATTTAATTTAATCACTATCTTTCGTTTCTGGCTTCTACTTGTTTTGGAAGATAGAACGCTGGCCGATGATATCACCGTGAGCAAACAACCGATAGGATAGGATGGACTCCGCATTGCCACTGCGTATGCCAAAAGGTACATGTACAGTACATGTACTGTACCTAGCTTGTATCTTATCTATATTTTTATAAAAATAGACATGGACTGACAGGATATATATCATTCTTCCCTTTACCATCACTCAAGCCGCATGACATAACTCGTAACCCGAAAAATAGAAAACAAGCATATAGTGAGGGGAATATAGATACAACTGGGGTATTTGTTTATTTATTTTCTGGTGCCCGCTCCATCTGCTCCGCCCACGTTCCCTCTGACGGTGACAAGGGCGAATTGGGCGATGAGACCTTTGGCGCATCGGGCGCCGATAGGTTGGTGTTGTTGTCGTTGGCCGTAGCTTCAGAGGCATTGTTTGTAGCGGCCTCGCCCTCTTTCTTCGACCCAGGAAGAGCAGGGAATTCGCTCTCGTCGCCAATGCCTGGTGCAGATGGAGCAGTCGTTTCGGCCGTCTCGCTGGCTTCACGACCGTCCTCCCGGTTCGAGAAATCTCCTCGGCCGCGATGACCGCCTCGTCCCCGTCCTCGACCACCACGTCCTCGTCCTCGACCCCGGTAGCTAGACCCGTCCTCAGCAGGGTCAGCCCCGTCATTGTCACGTCGCGAGAAGCCTGTGACACAGCCGTGCATGCCTCTTCGGTATTGGCTGCCGCCGCGACGGCCTGTAAAATCTTCTTCTCGCTTGTCGGCATCCCATTCGCGCCCCGTCTGGGCGTTGAGTTTGCGCAGTCGGTTGCGCTCTCGTTCTCCGTCCATGGCCTTTCGATTCAGGTATTCCTGGCGCCGCCTCTCCTCCGCAAGCTTCTCCCGCTCCTTGAATGATGCCTCGTCTGCCTCTGCGCGCGCATGCGCTGCAGCGATCTTGGCCGCAGTCAGCTTCGCAGCCGCCATGCGTTCGGCGAGTTCCTCTTCTGTAAGTTTGGGCTGACCAATGTCAGTCATATATGCACGTTGTGTAACTTAGCCAAGCGATGCCTGGGGATTCTGTCCTGCGCGTCCATACCTTTTTGATGCCTCCTGTGCCACTGCGGTCCCCCCGAACGGCCTGGACACGTGGTGTGTCCGAGCGACCTGATGGTTTGGATGGGGTCGCAGTGTCTTTAGCCGGCTGTTCTTTACTCTCTCCTGCAGTTTGGCCATCATCCTTCTTGTCCCCTTGATCTACTTTCTCCCCAGATTCGTTCTTCGGACCGCCATCTCGGCCACCGCGCCCTCCCCGGCCTCTCCCCCGGCCTCTCCCCCTCTCGCCTCCTCGATGATAACCACGGGGTCGTCTTGACGCGGACGTCCCGTCCTGCGCGTTGTCTCCTTCAACCTTTTGTTCTGCCTCGGGCACATCTTCCACTTGCTGCACCTGCTGCTCGGCGGAGATGGGAATGATCTCGTCGTCGAATAGATCATCCGCACCGCGGGTCTGGGCAAATTCGTCTACAGGAACCGTGTCGACGACAGGTTCCGCCATGTTTGCGGATTGGACTCGATCAAGGAGACGATACACGGGAAAAAGAAGGACAGGCTATGCGCGCAGGTCAATGCGACAACACAGCTCGAGCTCCGTCGTCACGCCAGCCCAGGAAAGAGTCACAAAAATCGCACTGCAGCCAGGCACGAGTTAATTGTTCGAAACTACTTGATGGAGACCAAAGCGGGACCCCGAGCGGTGGGGTTGCGCAGCGGTCGAAACAATAATGACAAGGCTCGTCGGCGAGTTAAATCCACGTACCGTGCACGTATTCACCAATTTTTGTTTTCCGCGATTGAATAATGGATCGCGTATTGACGCTCCAGCAGGGAGTATCCCGGTGAATAAAGAACGCAAGGGCCTTCTATTCGAAGTAAGAACGCCAGTCGTGTCGCGGTCGCGCCGTTCCAATTGTGGCAACCAAAGGCGGTCAACAGGGCTAATAATAGTACGGGGTATAGCTCGATGTCCTAGTTGGCTGCTAGTCGTGGCTCCGATCACCGTGGAACATAATGAAAGAGAGAATCAAGGCAAAGACAATAACCAGATTATTATCCACTCTCTTCATTGAATGAATTGGTCTGGCTGGCCTGGAGTCGTCGCCCTTGGCAGGAACGCCCATTCTGCCGGCTGTCACCGCCAACCAGCCTTACCTAAATCCAGGCCTTAGGACTTACAACCACAGACTCGCGCATTCTAATGTGTCATATTGTGTCTGTCAAGTGTCAATTACCTCATAACGCCTCTCAACTTCTGCTTTGATTCGTTCGCCTCGACTCTTCCTTTCCCAGACTGTTAATACCCCGCAATCTGGACCGCGGTGGACTGAGATCTATTAATCATCTGGACCAGTTTCCCCACACGGAAGGACATCATGATCTTCCTCTCTACACGTTGGAATGCGACTAATAAAGACTAGATCACAATGTTATATGCTGGTTCTCAGACGATGATGCGAACCTTGCTTGATCGACGTCATGCCGATCGCTCAGGCTAGACGACGCCGATCAGTGACTACGATTATAAATAACATTCAGAACTGCGATGTCTCTTTGGCATTGACAGGCATGTTGATGGTCTGAGTTGCCATTTTCAGGGAAGAAAAATGACCCCTCGAGAAAGAGGGTATCTACAAAATCCTGCCTGGCAATATCGCCTCAGCCTCACCAGCTACAATCCTGACGGGTACTTGCCATGTGGCCACAGCTGTGACTACGTTGAACATGTGTCAAACCACCTGGAAGCAGGTCGCCCGGAAACTATCCGTATAGTGGACAATTTTTTTGTTCCGGTAATAGTGGTATACCAGGATGTTGGTGAATACCCTGTCTCAGGGCTACTTATGCAAAAGGGCAAGCCCGCGAGTTCCAGGACATGTGCAGCACCAGAACCGAAATTTTGAACCTCGCTGCCCTGGAAGTCCACCTTGTCTTTCAGAGTATGGTACTGCAACCTAGCGATCTGGCCCAGGAGTTTGCGCAAATAGTGCAAACGTCCCAAGAGAAATGAAGCCACTGAGCTACATCGGCCATAGCGAACCAAGGCAATCTGTGGTTATGTGCTTGCATCTAGTCCAATTGACAATCTGTTGAACAGAAATGATCAGGTATTTGCCTTTCCAATAATACAAATAAATTGATGAGATTCCTTCTAGGCCTGGGAATTACTTGTTTGGGTGGGGATCTATCTATCTACCCTGAAACTCCTCAACACGCAGACAGCCCCACTTGCTCGCATTGACCCCATCTAATTAATATAATTCAATTAATACAATGCTGCCGATTGATTTACCGATCCGGTTCTTCAGAAAGCCATACGATGATATCCTCCGAAGGACTCGCCGGAAACCTCATGTGGGGAAACCGTCCGGTCGGAATGTGGATCCCCCCGCATCCAGCTGTCGATTGACTATTCTCGTGAGCATGCTCAGGCACAACCAGGCCCTTGTGGAGTCTCCTCGATGCGGAAAGATGATAAAGAAGCCAGCAGGATGACCTGTGGCGGATGGCGGCGCGTGAAGTTGTTCGCTGCGCTATGACTGTTGTCTAGTGATACTTCCGTCTGATATTGACGTCTGGATATTGTTCGAACAGCGAGACTGAGATCTCTAACAACGTCATGACAGTCACTACTAGCGTGAAAACAGTGCTGGAGACACTTCCGTGCACTCTGCCCACAGAGAAGATCCCAGACGATGTCGATCCCGCGGCCATTGCGACCACGTTCGCCCAGCGCATCAACGACCTGAGTCTCGAGGACTTTACCTCTGATGCTCTCTGGCGTGATACGTTTGCCCTGACAGGTTCGCTGCGGACCTTCTATTCCGCTGTCTCGATTATCCCCGTGTGGAGGAAGCTCTGCCATTCGCGAGGGGCGACAGCGTTTGCCCTACTCCCAGGGACCGCTCACGTCCGTCGAACCGGTCCGGAGGTGTGCTGGCTCGATGTGTCGTTCACTTTTGAGACAGAGAATGAGCCCGCAACTTCCTGCTACGGGTTTCTGTCTTTGGTCCCCGACCCTGACCAGAGTGGCAATTGGAAGATCTGGTTGCTTCGTACGGTGCTCGAGCAGTTGCAGGGGAATCACGGCAATGTCGATCAGCTTGCTCCAGTGATGTCTGATTCAGCCAAGCTGAATGGATTTCCCAAGGCCGTGGATGGAGAGCAACATTTTGACTGCGTGGTTGTTGGCGCAGGACAGGCCGGGCTGAGTACGGCCGGCCGTCTCCAGGCATTGGGGGTGTCCTACGTCCTTATCGAGCGAAATGACCAAGTGGGAGATAACTGGCTGCTTCGATACGACTCGGTTAAACGTATGAGCTCGCCCTTATTGAATGTCGAGTTTTTCATTAATTAACATGACCAGTTCACACAACGAGGGAATATGCCCATCTCCCTTTCGATCGAACCTTTACGCCGGATTACCCCGAATGGTTAACCAAGCATGATCTCGCCAGGGGGTACAAGAAGTGGGTGGCGAAGTATGGGATTGTAAGACAGCCGTTCTCTTTTTCAGGGTCCACATTTCTACTGAATGCACGCTGACTTCCAGCAGAACGTATGGCTGTCTACCAACTTGGAATCCGGCGTCTGGGACGAGTCAAGAAAGCAGTGGATTCTCAATCTCCGAAAGCGACACGCCAATGGTGACTGTCTGCAGTCAATTTCATGTTCACATGTAGTCATGGCCGTTGGGGGAGGGTGTCAAGTGCCCATTATGCCTTCTTACCCTGGACGGGTATGCTGATTCGTCCACGGATGCCTTTCAATGGTTCTATACCGATAACGATGATTAGGAGAAATTCAAAGGCGTCGTTCTGCATTCTGCAGACTACAAGAATCCATTCAGCTGGAGAGGCAAGCATGGCGTCGTGATTGGGACGGCGAATACTGGTAAGTCAGCAGACTCTTGTCATAGTGCACACTCACTGATCAAAATGCAGGCCATGATGTGGCTGACGACATGGTCGAAGCCGGCCTGGAGTCTGTCACGATGGTGCAGCGGGGACGAACATGTCAGGCCCATTGACAGATCTACCCAGTTGTCAGTGAGGATTACTAACGCTATTTCAGACGTGGTTCCACAGGAAGCATACAAAAAGGGAGCCGATGGTAGGGTGACGCCTGTGTTGATAAACTTTCTTTCTTTCTTTCTCTAAGAAACAAACTCACATCGACAGCATTATACAACGCCAAAATCCCCTCCGACGTCGCCGATCGAATCGCCTACTCCAGCCCCCTCGTTGTGAGCCGTCAGATCGGCCTACTCCATTCGCGATACCTGGCTGCTGCCGAGCCGGAGCGGTTCGATGCCCTCGAACGGGTCGGATTCCGAGTCGATCGATACGGCGAGGTCGTCTACCAGCTACACGAGAAGTTTGGCGGACATTACATGGACGTTGGGACCTCGCGGAAGATTGCGGATGGATTGGTAAGATCTCATTTGTTTGTGGTGGTAGATTTGATTCTTTCCCCCCTAACACGTATAATGTATCTATCGACAGATCAAGATAAAATCCGACGCCCTCCCCGTGGCATACACCGAAGACGGACTCGAATTCAGCGACGGAAGCCACCTCAAAGCCGACGTGATCGTCTTCGCGACCGGATTTGCGGGTAACATGCGCGATGTGGTGCGCGAGATCTTTGGCTCGGAGGTTGCCGACGTCGTGGAGGACTTTTGGGGGCTGAACAGCGAAGGCGAGTTGCGGGGGGCGTTTAAGCCATCTGGACGTGAGGGCCCCCCACTCAATCTTTCTTAGAAGAAAGAAGCTCTACTAACATATGACGCTTTTTAGACCCCCGTCTCTGGTACATGGGCGGCACCGTCGGCCACGCGAGGTATTTCTCGCGCTTTGTGGCGCTGCAGATCAAGGCTGCGGTGCTGGGAACTCCTCTTCCGATCTTTGAGAGTCGGGGCAGTCAGTCGATACTATAGATGGGAATAGTAACGGTAATGGTAGCAGTAATGGTAATGGTAATGGTAAGCTGGAAAGGCAGAAAGCGAATATATAAGAATGGATGAATGAGATGAGAATGAGAATGAGAATGAGGGCTTAGCTGAGTTGTATATATGCGATGATAATGTCATTCTTCTGTCTTTTCTTTTCTTTCTTTTCTTTTTCTTTTTATCAACTCAACTCTTAGCTCGTCTATGTACTTGTGATCAAATCAATTCGAGGATAAGAAAAGAAAAGAAACACTCTCTTTCTAATAAATCCTAAAATCCTAATTTGACGAAAGGAAGAAACCAAACGAGTGGAGGTTAAGCATGTAGATAGATCAACATCAACTTCAGCTGTAATCCATGCCCTGATACACCCTATCCCTAACAACGACAAATATCGATCTGACCTTCCCAAGTCGACTATCATCACTACTCCATAATTAAATCTCACTGTTCTACTCTATCGGGTAGAGTTCGCTGAGGAGCTTAATAGCAGCAATCTCGATCGAGCTCAACTCAGCAAAGCTGACCTTCTAGACCACAGAAGGAGGCTGGGGGCCGACAAGGGGGCCCATGCAAGTAATCTTCGGCCCACCGGCAGCAGCAACGGCGCCCTCGACACATTCCACGTTGATCTGGAGCGGGAAAGCGAAGGAAGCCCAGGCCACGGAGCCGTCATTCACGTTCCAATCCCACTCGGTCAGGTAGCCGCAGCTGTTTTCGAACTTGTACAGCTGCGATAAAGGGTCGTCTGTGGCCCAGCCTTGGATATCGGTCACGTTGAACAGGTATTTCCCCGGGATGAGGTAGTAGTTGCACTCGGCTGTGCCTGAGCTGCGAGACAGAGGATGAATGGTGGAGGTCGAATCAGGAGATCGGATTGGGAGAACGCTGGCAATAGAAGAAGATGGCAGCAGGAGGAGGAGATAGGCCACAGCAGGCAAGGAAGATTTGAGTCCGAGCATAGTCGATATTGAAACAAGTGAGGCAGTAAATAAGTGAACAGAAAGAAAGAAAAATCAACGTCCATAGACTAGGGTGGTACTGTACAGTACACAAACAGCCAGGCTCATGAGAGAAAAGCAGGTATACTTATATACTAGATAGAAAGCAGAGCAGCAGCAGCAGCGCTATTTCCATTAAGCCAGTAGTAATTGTCATCAATCTAACAAGCATACCTATTAAAAGTAAGTAGCTGTACGTACGGTACATACGTGCAGGGCAAATCGCAGAGGACGCCTAAGAGGGCCTGCTGTATTATTAGCAAATAACAGTATGGAATAGTGGTCCGAAAAGTGTGCCTGTACGCAAGTATGTATGTATGTACAGTACGTACGTACATACTGGTACAAGGCTGATTGATGGGGACTCCCGTGAAATGGAGGAATCAATAACTAATAATAAATATTATTTATTGTTAGTATGTTGTTTGTTTGTCTGTTTATTTACTGACACACTCTAATTTTACATAGCAGCTACGGCGCAGCGCTCTTCCCGGCGTTGGATATGTACTGTACGTAAGTGCTTGCGATGCTTATCCTCTAGTAGACGGGCCGTGGGCTATCTACTTGCAGAATCAAGTTGACTATTTCTACATATATATATCTGTTAACATGTTGAGTTTGGGAGATTTCTTTATTGTAACTCAAGGCGAGAGGTCCGGTGGTATAGTATGATGATTGTTCGCTGCGGTGATGCTTGCATTGATTGATTGCGAGATAGTAGATTGTCAATTATCCAAAAAAAAAAACAATTGAGATCCCTCACACAATCAATCCGCATGTGTCGTTATTCCGTCCCGTTCAATCCTAGCACGTTGCAATGCGCCAAATCCGGCAGCGTCGAGTAGAACGACGTCGGATACTGGAGATTGGCTACCCCCTTGCCATCATTCCTGGCAGCGTACTGCGTCCATGTCCACTTGGAGAAAAACTCCTGCGTACTTTGATACCCCCGCGCTGCGAGGTAATCGTCATCGACGTTCGGATTGCCCGTCCGCGCAAACGACGCCCACATGTCCTGCACGGCGTTGGTGTAGTAGATGTCCTCCGCCACTCGCAGCGGGAGATCGAAGAGATAGTACGTGCCAAATATCTCGTACAGGTCGCCCGAGTGGCAGCGGTAGTACGGCGTCTCGGGCTTTCCGACGGGGAACGTGCACAGGTCGTAGTAGTCGTAGAACGACAGACCGTAGGCGCGCTGGTGCAGGTACACCCACAGGCTCTCGTACGCGTCCGCTGCCACCCCCGCCTCGACGAACTCCATCGCGTAGCAGAGGATGATCGTGTCTGTGGCGATGTTGACGCTCGCGTTGTACACGCTGCTGTAGTCCGTCGGAACCTGCCACAGCCCCGACGCAACGATCGCGTCCGCCTGTGCCTGGTCAATCTGACCAACTTCAATGAGCGTCTGCAGGGACGCGTTGAAGCTCGAGATATTCGGTGCCAGCGTCTCTTCCAACAGGGATTGTGCCTCCTCGGGCATGTACCCCGTCATGAAATGGACTGGGTTGATTGCGTCGCGGCCCTTGCTCACCTGAGCCACAGGCAGGTCGGTAATATAGATCCCATCCACAACCGTCTCCCATGAGGTGGCTTGGCTGATATTTAGCAGCGTCTCGGCCGGGAGAGCCTGTAAGCACTGGAGTCGTTCCACCCCCGTGTTGTTGCAGAGCGGCTGCAGGTAAGGGAGAATTTTGGCCGCTGCGGCGCTCTGGTTCGTGGTATGGCCGCCGATGGACTGCGCGATAGCCCCCTGAAACAGTCCCTTGGCCTTGGGCGAAGTGACCAGATCTATGATCGAAGCACCCCCGGCAGACTGGCCAAAGATGGTTACGTTGTTAGGGTTGCCTCCAAAGGCGGCGATATGCTGTTTGACCCAATTGAGGGCAACGATCTTGTCTGACAGGTCGAAGTTTCCGGGGACGACATCATCGCCCAGGCTCAGAAACCCGAAGATGTTGAGCCGGTAATTGACTGTCACCAGGACGACGTCGGAGCGGCTGACCAGGCTGGCGCCGTCAAAGGTCGAGTCGCTTCCAGTGCCGGAGACCTGTCCTCCGCCATGGATCCAGAACATGACGGGCTTGAGAGCGTCCTCATTCGCGACAGAACCTGGCGACAGTGGAAGAGTGGAGGTGAAGACGTTGAGATACAGACAGTCCTCGCTGTTGCCCCAGGGGTTCAGCCCGTCCGAATTGCCTTCAAACCAGCCAGTCTGCAGACAGGCAGGCCCGTAGCGAGTCGCTTCGACGTGAGTCTCATTCCACGGCTGCGCGTACTTGAAACGGAGGTCCCCCACAGGCGGCTGTGCGAAGGGAATCCCCAGAAACCGGAACGCCATGTGGTCGCGGAGGCCTTCGAAGGTGGTCCCATCGACACTCTGGGTCTTGACACGAGGGAAGGCAGAGTAGTCTGTGTCGACCTTGCTGACGAATGGGGCACTGTTGGTGCACAAGAACGGCAGCAAAGGGTGAGCAGCTGTCGGTACGTGGGATACATTTCCCTCCCAGGTGGTTGGGGCAGAGGAGCTGCAGGACGACCACAGCAGCTGATCACGGTCAATGTTGTGAAGGTACTGATGGTAGGTGAACTCGTGGAAGAAGTCACCATAGCTGCTGCAGCTCAGCAGGGTTTCGTTGTACGATGCGCATGTCCTGACGGCGTCTTCGTAGGTCGAGGGCTGGTTGAAGAAGAGCGCGCTGGGCTGCTCGCCATGCCGCGTCCAGTTGCCGTCGTTGCGGAAGAAGACCGTCACCGTGCTGCCTTGAGCCCATGCAAAGGCCACAACACTGGCAGCAATGCTTGCTCGAGTGATAATGGTCATGGATATCGTGAAGTTCAAGCACGAAAATTCAAGTACCGTCCACCAGGTATATATGCAATTATAAAGAGGTCAGTATCATACACTCGATTTCATCTATGTATCGCACATTGGTCATTGCTCCGTTTCTCGTAAACATTGTCGCGGATTATCGACAAGATCTGGGGATCAATGTGATGTATATGTACTCATTAAGGCGTTCAATAACCCCTCAGCCAAGCAGTTCCAAGCTAGGCAGGTATATCAGGATCCCCACAGAAGATCCTCACCCCGCATGCTGGCGTTCGGCACAGCAGTCCCCTTGTGCCTGGTTTCTTCTCCACGGGGTAATAGAATAACTAATAAAAGCGATGATATCTTGGTGAACTAATAACGAGTAAGCCCACTTGAAGAATCAACTTTGATTGGTCAACTGTCATGGAGATTATTTACCAATTTAGCCAGATGATAAATGCTCCTGTATAACCGGAAATATATCCGTGTCAAAATGTCCTGTAAAGTAATTAGTAAGATCGCAGGTCAGGCAATTAGATAGTGACGTAAGATTTTGTAGATTTATTTAGTTTTCATGAAGCTGATAAGGCTGCTAGAAATGTCTATGTATTGGACTTAGGCTGCAAGGTATTGTCCGAAGATAAAAAGTCAGAATCGAAACTTTTGTAGCTGCGCTCAAATAGAAAAATCAGAAAAAGAAAGTTCAGAAGAAAATCTAGCAGGAGACAGTGGGAAATGTTAAAAAAAAAACAAGTCATGCATAATCATCAGTCGTCTCGTGAATGATCAACTTGAGCTGGTTCCAGAGTGTCAAATAAGATAGATAGATGCCAATAAAATATGCCCGAAGATATTATGATAGAATGGCAGAATGTCTGTAGCAGCAGAAATGGTGACAAAAAGAAAGGAGGGAAAATGATAGAGCCAGCTCCCGGACAAATACTGCTTGATAGCAAATCTAAGATGTCTGGAAAAGGAATGGAAAGATATAGACAAGAAACCTAGACGCAAAGAACAAACCTAATGTTGAGAGTTGGAGTCAGCAGAATTATAACAAGACTGGAAACAGTGATTGAACTTACCACCGCAGAACACGACTAGCACGGCCGCTTTGGGATTCTGCACCGCGATAATGGCAAATAAAAGGGAACACAAGGTCCAAGGAGATAACTTGATCCCCAAAATGCCGCTTAGCACCGGGAGGTCATTGAATCTGACGGCGGTATCCTCCAGCACGGTTTCGAGATTCGCCGCTTTTGCGGTTAATTGGTCTAGCAGTGCCTGAGCAACCTTGGCGCTAGCTCCCAGAGCTTCTTGGACCTCTGACTGTGTTGCCAGGGCCTTGGCTTGTAACGTCTGTGTTTCGAGCAGCTCTTTTGCCTTGGATCCAGACTCATCCAATGCGCTCTCGAACGACTGAAGGCGCTGAAGAGAGTGAGAACGACATCACCGAAAACCAGACGGGATACACACCTCCAGTATGAGATGCTCTTGTTGGTGGATTAGAGAAAACCGCTCAGCAAACCATTCCTGTATTCATCAATATTCAGGTGTCAGAGGACATTGTTGTTGCTCCTACCAGAGCTCCATCAACGCCAACCACCCTCTCAGACAGCCTCGCCATGTCCTGTGTCACTAACGCGTCCAGAGACAATCGCATGGCAACTGCCAGCTCCTGGTTTATTTTGGCCTCGCGTTGCTGTGTTTCTGCAAACTTGGCGTTCCGGCTCATAGCTTCCTCGTGCATTTCACGAAGCCGGTGTTGCAACTGTTCAACGTCGTTGGAAGAGGCCCGAATACCCTAATCCAGATTAAATGATATTCCATCCTGAGTAGCTGGCGCATACCTCGCCTAAAGCAGTAGAATCTGCCTCGACATCTTTGATTGCTGACATGACCTTTGCTACGGAAGATCCAATCACAGTCTCAATTTCGTTTAAGAGACCTGAAAATATCCCTCGAGCCCGTACGGTACTTTTCTCGAGCTCGCGGAGCAGCTCAGCTCGCATGACCTCTGTCGCTTCCACAAAGGCTCTGTGTTGGGCCGAATCAGTAGCAGCGTTCCGAAGGGCTTCCTGCAGCCCCTTATTTAACTTGGCAGTGTGCTCTGCCAGCGACCTGTGAAGCTTCAGCATATCTTCCTTTTCCACCTCGCTGCGCGCCGCCTGGCATATCACAATCGCGTTTTGTCTACTGTTGCTATAGCTCGTCCACCACTGGGGTCGTGACTCGAGCGATTTCAGGCATGCGTCAAGCACTGTCGACGGAATAGGATCGGGTTCTAGAATGTCCATATTCGCGGATCGACCGCCGTTGCGAGTCTTCTCTGAGACAACATGCAATGGCGAGCATGCGGCAGGAATAGCTGTACCAGCGCCTGTAAGTTCGCAAATGGCAAGTCTCGCCGCGTATAGTGATTTGACCCGATCAAGGGTCATGGGGACATCCGATGCTGGAGCGTTTGCATGGTCACCCAAAGTTTGGCATGACGTGAGTAATTTTGTAGCCGCAATCCGGTTGCATGAAGGAGACGATTTCATGGATTCTAGCAGTTGAATAGCTTCTGAAAAGACAGAATCGCGCTGCAGAGTTCTTGCATTAAGAAACTCGACCAGATCAAAGTTCTCAGCCGACATATTAGGGTCGGATGGAGGTACTGTGGTGATTAGCAAGAGATATAACCTTTTGGATCACTATGCCCATACCACTGGAGCTTGAGGTTTTATAGTAGTCGAAAAACGAGGCCAGCGAAGGCATCCCAAGAAGGGCAACGCATATAAGGAGTTGGGGGAAGGCAAAAGTGTTTTTCATTATCGCAGATTATACGTAAAATAGGTATGATGAGTCAAGAAGAGTGAGAGCAGCAGCCTCGTGCGTGACGGGTAGCGCTCTCTCTACTTCAGTTCCTGTACCAGGAGACTTCAGAAAAGGAGAAAAAGGCCAGTAAAGAGCAAAAGAAGACGCGATAGTGTATGTTACTTGAGCTTATAAAGAAGTTAAGGTCCTCCCTTGAATGTATCTTGAAAAGATTAAAATGCAGCATTGGTATGAGGGGTGGAAGTGGAAGAGGGAAGTCGTGTCAAGAAGAAGGCCTCTTCCATATCAGCGGGAAACGGATGCCATCACGTGTCAATTAAACACCAAAAAGGCCATATAACATTGGGCGCTATCTCATGAAATCTCTCACATCATCTCAGGCCATGAATAGTTGGTCTGATGGAAGCAATTATTCCCAAACTACTAGGTATCTACAGCTACAGAGAAGCATATATATGTCACGTGACAAACTTTATCCCGATCAGGTAACTGACATGCGTGACTTCGGGAGAAATTCGAGATGGAATTTCGGAGATCCGCGTCTCGACCATCAATCGACACACACCATGTCCTGCGCGGCCTCAAGACGCTGCTTGACGCAGCTTTTACGGGACCCGGTCCGGTCCACTTCACTGCCTACGTTTCTGGTCCCTGCCTTTTCCCAGCCATTGCGAGCACAATGGTTCTCGACAACCTCTTTGACGCATTCTCGTGTCGGCGCAACCCCGATAACAGTACCGCCGGAGGTGACGCTGAAATTCATTGATCTCCCTCAGCCGAAGTCGCGTGGCAGGGCGAAGGAGATCCCCAAGATGGCTGTTGAGGTGAACGGTCCATTAGGTATGCTCCGCTCGTTTCTTGTCTTCCTGATGCCGACATGTCTTTCTGACACGGGACCGATTGCACTAGGTCAATTGACGCTCAAGGTCCCCCCCTTCGTGACCATCAAACATGATGAGACCCTGCGGAAGGCGACTCTTTCGGTGGAAGATCCTACGATCGCACATCAACGGGCTATGTGGGGTGCGTCCAATTCTGTCACACTCCCCTTGTCAGTTTGGGATCACAATCTGACAGCGTTCACCTCCAAACAGGAACAACCCGGGCACACCTGCAGAACTACATCCTCGGCGTTTCGGAAGGCCATATCTGTATTCTGAGTCTGGTCGGTGTCGGTTACAGGGCATCCATCGAATCGACCGCGACCACCGTGTCCCCCGAATACCCCGGACAGCAATTCGTCAACCTGAAGGTCGGGTACTCACATCCCATCGAGCTGGGGGTTCCGAAGGGAGTGAAGGCCAGCACGCCTCAGCCGACCCGTATCCTACTTGAAGGCATCGACAAGGAGGTTGTCACCCAGTTTGCCGCCGAGATTCGGGAATGGAGGAAGCCGGAGCCATACAAGGGCAAGGGTATCTTCGTCAATGATGAGACTATCAAATTGAAGTCGAAGAAGATCAAGTGATCCTTCTTTTGTGTCCATGTTATTGGTGTGTTCTTTCTTCTATCAGCTGTATATCTAGGCACGGGTGTTCCGTTCTGCATTGGTATCCATGTACTCTTGAATAGATCTAGTCTGGGAGCCTTTTTTTAACCCTTCCGAGATCCATCATTTAAGTCCTAAGACTGTTTATAATGCAGATATCCACTATTTCAGATTCAAAACTGCCTGGACTGCGTCGATGACTTTATCCTGAAGGGCTGCAGGCGCCGCAACTACTCCCTTGTTGTCAGATAAGGTCCTGCCTTTGCTGAAATCCAGCCGCTTGCCGTAGATGTCGGTCACTTGGCCTCCAGCCTCACGGACGATCAGGTCTCCAGCAGCGTGGTCCCAGATCTTTTCTTGGTAGTCTTTCCGGACTGGCAGTCGCAGATAGATGTCACCCGCACCCCGCGCAATCGAGCAGTACTTCGCCTGCGAGTCCAGTCGCACGCTGGGGGAGGTGATACCAAGACGTTTCGCAACTGCTGCGTTATCATCTTGGTTTGAGTGAGCCGCTTCCACGCCTTCGCAGAAGACTGCCTGGGAGATGTCGGGCACCGGGCGCATAGAGATGGCTTTGCTTTGGGCGAGCCCGGCGTTGGTGAGGGGGCGGCTGACTGCTCCCTCCCCTTTCACCGCAGATATAAGGACACCTTTCCCGGCACCGTCGGTCTGCTGGCTGCCAATGTCGGCCGTAAGGGACGCAGAATCATCGACGGGCAGATTTGGACATCCAATCACTCCCACCTTGACATCGCCATCTTCGATCAAGGCGAGACACACGGCATATTGACCGCCTCTCAGGAAGCCCTTGGTGCCGTCAATGGGGTCCAACGCCCAGATCCGTCCCTTCGCTCCACCGGCTGAGTTCCCATGGTCAATGATATCGAGCATGGCCTCCTCGCTGGGCAATGGACCCCCGAGCAGCTCATCACTGGCCTTGTCCTCCAGCCGGATGTCCTTGACCAGATCCCAGATCTCCGAGCGGAGCGGGGCGTCTTGCCGCAGGGAGCTCGACTCCTCCTCCGCGACAATCTGGTCCTGAGGGAAATTTTTCAGAATGGCCTGGATGATCAAGGCCTGAGCGCCAAAATCGCCCTTGGTGACGGGAGATTTGTCGTCCTTGGCCAACTCACCCTTGGCTTTCTCGTGGAACACCTTTTTGGTAAGCAGAGTTGCTCGCTGCACGGCGAGCTCTGCGACACGCCGCTCGTGTTCGTACGCCATCACTGCGACGTTCGCAACAGAGGGTGAGTGATGTAGGAAACGAGAGGAGAATGCGGCAAGACGGCGACTCGCTCCGGCCACGATACTGAGGGCCAGGATGAGGGTGGAGATAATTATGAAGAGGGAGAAGACGCGCGTGTGCGCTGACGGAGCACAATGCAGATCTGCAACGCTGGAAGAGCGGAGATAAGCCACAAACACACGCAAGCCAATCAGAGGCAATTGGCCATAACAATCCTCAATGCAAGGATGCGCCGGCAATCTTATCAAATCAAATTTTCATGAATTGATAAGGCGATCAAGGGGCCTCGAGGGCCTCCAGGGAAGCTGGCGGTGGGGACGGTGCTCCGTGCAGAACGAATGAGCGAGATCGGGCTTCGGTGCCTGTCCCGCCCTAAGCCCGAACGGGGAGCGGCACGAGGGGCAAGTCACGGGCTGGCCAAGTCCCGTGGGGAATCCCATGATGGGCGATGCGAGCTTTGTTGCTGGAAGAGCAGTTATGACACAGGAACTGCCGAGGCAGGTGGGCGTCATCGTCAGCGGTTGATCCATATCGTCTGCTCATCTCTGTCATTCATTGACCCTCCCGCTCAGATTCGATTGACAGCGCTCCTGGAACAGCATTTTTTCGACGGGATTCTCTGTGGGGCTCGTGTCCAGCTGGACGACCACCGTGGCATTGCTCCCCGGATTATTGTAGCAACAGGCGACGAGCACATCAGGAGGTCCAATTTCCTGGTTGCAGAGGGACTGCGAATCTTACAGTTGTCCTGGTCGTCGACCAGTGCACGCGAAGGCATCTGGGCATCAACAAAAAGTACCTAAAAGACCCAAATCGAGACAGCGCAATCTGGCACTCAACGTGTGGGCATAGCGGGGAACCTGTGTTAATTCCCCGATCGCAGGTCGATTCTGGATAACACTGGTAGGGCTTCGATCGCAGTCACGTCTCTCTGTTGTCAAATTTCGTTCTGACATGAGGATCAAGGGTATATAGCTCGTCCGGCTGTCGTGCGCACCATCATGTTCAGCTCCTCGGTAAGATATTATATCTCTGCATGGAGACTTTTGTTCTTATCGCATACTGATTGGAACTCCTTTCTGTAGAAACCTTACACGGCCGTCACAGTTCAGATCGAGCGGCTCACCGGTGAGCAATACGAGGTGGATGATTCGAGTGGAATCGTGGACCTGATCGAGGTCATCCGGATACAAGCTACAGGGCCAAGAGAGGCGGGTCGCGCACTTCGAAAGAAGCTGTGAGTGGACCCCAGACTGGGTGTTTGTGTCTAGTCTAATGCGACATGCCAGGAAATATGGAAATGTCCACAGGCAGTTACGGGCTTTGACCATTCTAGACTACCTAATTCAAAATGCTGGAGACAGGTTTTTACGAGAATTCGCAGACGAGCCTCTTCTGGAACGCTTACGAATTGCGGCCACCGACCCGGTCTCGGATCCCGAAGTGAGAGCGAAATGCAAGCAGCTTTTTGGACAGTGGGCGGCCACGTACAGAGACAAGCCTGGAATGGAGGGAATCACGGCGCTCTATAGACAGCTTCCAAAACGGAAGCAACCCGCGCGACAAGCACAAGCCAAGGTTCTCCGGGAGACGGCGCCCCAAGAGGAAGTGCCGATGGGGCATTCTGTGTCAATATCTGTCGGGGAGGGACCGTCGACGCTTCTGAGTTCGCCAACAACAACAAAGCCCAAGCAGTCCAAGCGCAATTCGACATCGAGCATTCTCAGCTCATCATCAAAGAAGAAAGACAAGCGATCTGGTCCAAAGCCATTCAATTTTGAGAAGGAGAAGCCGGAAATCCTGCAGACGATTGCATCCGCCTCGGTAGCGAGCACCAACCTGTTGAACGCACTCAAACTGGTCAACAGGGAAACCCGCCGGGTAAGCGACGACCCAGAGGTGATGACGCAGTTCGAGCGATGTAAACAGCTGCGGCGCCAAGTCCTGCGATACATCCAGCACATCGAAACGGGCGATTTACTCGGCAGTCTGATCCATGCCAACGAAGAGCTGGTCTCGGCACTGATGGCGTTTGAGGTTCTCGACAAGAGCGTCGACTACGACAGCGACAGCGAGGAGGAATACCAAGGGCGCTCGCCCACGCGCGGTCTCAACGAGGGCTTCGCTGGCCTTGTCATCAATCCGCCCAAGCCCCCACGGCCGCCACGGCCGGCCAGCATGCCATATTTCCCGAAACAATCCTATCAAACATCCCCGTTCGTTGGAAATGAGCTGGAGAGCGCGAGCGAAACGGACGAAGAAAAGGAAAAGGAAAAGGATGACGATGACGACGACGACAACCCGTTTGGAGACAAGAATGCAGTCCACACGCCTGCTGTGGAAATGGCGCAGCCAACGTGGTAAGTTCAACCAGCTTTGGTCCAGTTGTAATGACAATCCAAACTCACATTTTTCATAGGCAAGAAGCGTAGTGTGATGGCCATTGCTTTTTAAACTTTTTTCTTTTGGCGCTCCCTCTTCGAGACAACCCGTCTATGGATTTGCCTCTGCTTAGGTACAGTACAGTACATTACACGTATGTCGTCGGAGCTTGTTGCGTTTTTTTTTGGATCCCCTTTACATACCTCCCTCTTATTTTCTTTCTTTCCTGCCTTCTTTTTCTTTCTTTCTTGCTCTCCCTTTCTATCCAGAGACGGTTTTTTTTTTTTTTGATGATATTGGCAAGCGGTAAATGAATGAACGAATTGAATGGCTACCTAGATATGTGACAATGTGATCTCAAATAAATATAATATTTACAATACCTTCCTATCTGCTTTCCTTCCTTGCTTGCTTTCTTACAGACAGACAAGAAAGAATTGATTCCACCCAGCTCAATGCAATGCAATCGATTTATGGTGATTTTTTTTTCAAACTGTGGGTAATGGATATTATTGGGACAGAGTACAGAAGTAAACAATAACGTCTCGCCTCTTGTTTTTTTAACCCTAATGGGATAATAAAATAAGAAAATATATTATGAATCTTGGAGACGGAGATGGAGATGGAGATGCGATGCTATATAAGTAATATATATTATAGCTGGAACTAGATAGATATAGAACTGGGAGAAAAACGCACAAGTTCAAAGGAAAAAAAAGGGGTATATAGTATGTACTGTACTGTCCTAATAAGTACTTCCTCTTAAGACCAAAAAAAAAAGCACAAAAAAACAAAACCAGTAAAAAAAAAGGTTTTACTTAGTTTTTAATTCTGCGATAAAACTTTCACCCTCAACCATTCACTTGTCCCAACTCCCAGATTGAGCCCGTTCCGCGCCCACCACCGTCGAACTCGTTCCTCGGCGCCCGACGTCGGGTCTGCGTCTTCGAGCGCCTCTTCGATGTCGCACGTCTTGAACTCGACGCGTAGGCCGCTGCGGCGCCACCATTCGAGGACGTCGTCGTGTCCGTTCTTGGTCGCGCCGACCAAGACCTGGTTGTCGAAGATCATCTTTGGCCCCTTGAGACGGTGCCACAGGTCGAGCACGTGGACGTGGCCGTGGGTGCTGGCGATGCGGGCGACCGATTCCGAATGCGTGTAGGGTATCCCCGACGCATCCCACCAGGCAAGCGAGGCCGTCTGGCCGGACTGCGCGGCCAGAAGGACCGATTTGCCCACTTTCAGCGGGATCGGGTCGGAAGGTGGCGCGTTGAGAGATGCGTTCTTCCACCACTCCAACACCGCGACGTGACCTTCTGCACTGGCCGACTCGAGTGCTCGCTCCGTATATCGAAGCGGCAGACCCGACGTGCGCCACCACTCCAGGACGTGGACAAACCCGGCCCGGGACGCACCGTCCATGGCGTCTGCAATATACTCCTTCGTCGGCAGAGCCGCTGAATCCCGCCACCACGTGAGAATCTTTGGGTTACCGTAGATGGCAGAAGCACGGTACGGGAGGTTGGTCAAACGGGCAGTTGTGCAGAAGAGGTCCAGGTGATTCTCCGACAGATACGTCAGGATGTCAGTCCTCGAGAACTTGAAGATTAGGTGACACGCCAGGTCCGACAGCGGCTTCCATCGGGGCAGCGCCTCGATTCGAGACTTGATGGCGGCAAAGGAACCTCGGAGGATCGTGTACTCCAAGGATGCAGGGGTCGACATCTTCAGGATGTGAGGCTGCCACTCCTTCGGAACTGGAAGTTTGGTGGGAATGCCAACCGCTTTGGCAATCTCCCAGTCTCCGAGGTGGTCCTCGAAAATACTCAGCCACAGCTCAAGAGGCAGCGTCTTGGGGCGTCTGTCCTGCAGTTTCTCCGGCTTTCGGGCGGCCTGTCCTGAAAGCTTCCCCACCTGGGCACTACCACTATCACTGGGCTTGTCAGGCTGTATTGATTTCGCGATCTTGTCTTCTGGTACAGGCTCATGGCAAACAGCTGCATCGCCGGCCTGGCCGCCTTCGCTTGTTGAAGACAACCCAAGCGTCTCGCGCACGACTTTTTCGAATTCATCTCTTCCTTCCCAAGGCAGCTGCGTCATTTCCTCGGGGCCAGCGAGTTTCCATTGAATCGGAGATATAACAATAACCCAGGGCCAATGCCGTTTGATCTCATTGAGCTGCCTCTCACTCAATGGATTCGTCCACTCGGCGACCGTCATTCCGGGAACGAGGAGAACTGGCTTCTTTGAATCCCAGCCACGAAGGAGGGCGAGGGTCAAAGTACTGGTGAGGCCAGACAGCATCGCTCCCAAGGTGCCCGCATCGATAGGGGCAACGATGAGTAGGTCGGCCCATTCACTCAATTCCGCCGCCTTGGCTCTCAGCCATTTCCGAGGACCGGTCTTCTTATCGAAGGTATGGCAGTCTACCGAGTCCATGTAATGGGGTATTCTGTTCGCCCCAGCGAGCAGGGCCGACGGCTCCTCATCCGTGATCAAACGGAGCTCGACATCGGGATTCTGAACCAGACATGGAAGGAAGTTGTCGACAAAGGCGCTCTCCGTAGACAGCAGCACCCGTTTCCGCCGCCGGGAGGAACCTACTTCATCAGTCTGCGGAGAAGCGACTGTTCTGAGGCCCTTATTGGGATTCCCGCATTCTCCAGCACTATCGCCATCGGAATCGCCATCGACGGCCATCTCTCGAACGCATACTCGCTTCGGACTGATATTCTTTGATTCCTCTGTCACAGCCAAATCCTCGGCTTTCAATCCAACTGCCATATCACAATACATATAATATAACCGACAATGAAACGCACTGCTCTTCCCCTCTCACAATCTTGTACGCTCCGTCGAGTAGTCACTCAAAGGTCGATCCCTGCTGCTCCCACTCAAGTTGTCGTAATTGCTGCTCCAGTACCGGTAAATTCAGCTCAATATGGGGACGTGTAGGACGGTAAAGACAGGAGGAGTTGGGCGAGACTCCTTAAATCCCGACACCCGGGGAGGCGGGGATAACGCGTGCGGTCTGGCCAGACGAAGGTAACGAGCGAGGTCGTACGGTGCCTGACCGGGAATGACAAGCGGTGTGTCGAGAGCTGACTGGGCGTTCGTCGCTAAAGGATGCTGCAGACCGACAGGGCTTAGCTGAGTTTGTTGTTGTCCTGCAATAATGTCTGTGCTTGTTCTCCGTCGCCACGTTTCCCTTGCTTCTGGATCTATCGCCACAGCGCAGTTCGGTAAGTCGATGATAGTTCAGCCAGCCAACCAGCGTGAGCGGATTAGAGAAGATTCATTCGAAGGGTTCAGGAGGGCAAGGAACGGCGTAGAACTGGGCTGGGAAGAAGGAGACTCGAATTGACCGCGTCTTCCATTCCTCGCAGGCCAGCGCGAATGCTGCAAGCATAAGATCCAGGTCGAGAAACGGCTGCGACTGACAGACAGCTTGGGCCTCGCCGTAGCGCTGGGCGTGCCCGATTCGCGGGTGCTGGATGGCCGGGGTGGGCCAGGGCGGTCAGCCAAGAGGCCTATCACAGCAGCGGGAATTGCCGACAATAAGCGAGCTGCCCGCAGTCACGAACTGCAGTCTTACGGAGTACTCTGTACAGTACAATCCACAAAGTCAGATGGCGAGTCTATCGATTTCCAGTTACTCTATCAGCCTCTATATGTGCATGATGATGTATGTGTGTACAGTACAGCACAATGGGAACCCTACATGCCGATCTTGGGGATATGATCTGTCTACTAGGTGATCAGCCAGCTCTAAATGGATCATCGCCGTGCCAAGTTGGTGTGCAATTTATGTTGCTTCATGCCCACACTGACAAGCGCAGCGAGCACCGTCAGCGCCAGCAGAGTGATGAATACCGCGCGCAGTGAGTCCTTATAAGCGTCCAAAACCCCCTGTTGCCAGTCTGCCGGCACCTTGCGGATCTCATCGAGGCTGTCGCGGAGCTTGGGGATCAGCTGATCCGCTCCTTTGCGGCCGCCGAAACGGGACCACAGCCCCAGTTTCAAGACATTCTGGAACACAGCGGATGCAATGGTAATGCCAATGGTGCTCCCCGTGCTGCGGAATGCATACGAGGCAGAGGTCACGACCGAATGGTGCTGGTGGTCGACGGCAGAGATCAGTGCCACCAGAGTCACGGTGAGCATGGACCCGTAGCCGACTCCAAGGACAAGGAGGCAAGCAGACGCCAGCCACGACGCGGAGGATAGAGTAAAAGTGCAGGTTACCGCCGTAGATCCGACCAAGAGCGCCATAGAGATGTGACTGAGCAGCAGATACCGGCCAGTAGTCCGCATCAGCATCCCGGAACCTAGGGATCCCAGGGAGGTGCCCACGGCCTGGGGGACGAGGCGAACTCCCGAAGCCGTGGCAGAGTGGCCCTGAACTTGAAAGTAAAGCGGCACGTAGTACAGCAACCCGAAGACCCCCATAGTGGAGAACCAGTTGGTCAGGCACGCAGAGAAAACCGTCCGATCCAGCAGAAGGCGGACGGGGATCACCGGCTCCGAGGCAATCTTGTCTTCAACGTAGATGAAGATGATCAAGAACACAACGGAGAGAGGCAAGCTCGTAAGAACCAGAGGATGCGTCCATGGCACCTGGTTGCCTCCTGCATTGAGACCCAGCAGGAGCAAGACCAGCGAAATAACAAGAGTCAGAGCGCCTAAGAAATCCACCCTCTTGATCCTCGACTTGTCCGTCTCTTTCACCGGAATCTTCACTGTAAACGCAACGAGGAGACACGAGATGGCGACGAAAGGGACCTGGATCAAAAACGCCCATCGCCAGCTGAGCACATCGTTCATAAACCCGCCAAAGACTCCGCCTAGCCCCATGCCCGCTCCGTAGCAGAGGTTTCCAATCCCCTGCCAAACTCCTCGACGACGGAGGGGAACCAAGTCTGACGTGACGAACGTAGAGATCGCAGTCAGGCCACCACCACCGATCCCGGCTACCACCCGTCCTGCAATCATCATCCATTCTTCCGTCGCGAGCCCACAGATTAAATTGCCAATGCCAAAGAAGATGTTGGACACGACAAGCCCAGCGCGTCGAGAGAAAATATCCGTCAGCCTGCCGCTCAGAGGCTGGAAGGCAGCGTTCGAGATCAGGTAGGCAGTAGCCAGCCAGGAAAGCAGGGAGAGCGAGTTGAAGTAGGACGAAATCGGCACCGAGAGAGTCGCAATGACGGTGCCATCCAACGCAGCCAGAAAGACTCCCAGCCAGATGCTGCTCAGGACCAGGATCAATTCCTTTGTCGTGGGTTCTTTGACGAGGGGGACACCAGCGCCGTCTGCTTCCCCGGTTCTTGCGCCATTCTGTCCTTGCTGAGTTAAATCCTGGCCGCAAAGAAGCGGTGTCTCCTCCGTGGGTGTGGGCGGAACACGCGCGAGGCCGTCACTGGGTTGGCCATTGGATTCTGGATCCTCGAGCGCCATTGTGTGTTGAGAAGAGGTCCCAGCAGCAGAAACTCGAGATCGAGAGCGGTGTTCCTACAGCATCGCGGTCAATCGCGTGGAATGTGGGACATGACGTTCGCCATGGCAGTCCGAGATGCTAGTGCTGGTTAGTGGCAGACCCTGCACTCCACTTGTCAGTCGCCGATGGCGGGGAAAGCGGCAATCGAATCGGATCACGGCTTTGTTGAAGTGAGGTCTCGTTCCAAAGCTTTCATTATTGTCAGTAACCAAGAGCCACGAACTCGAAGATATCCCTTTTTTCTTTGGATCATTAGTCTCAGATCAACTTTTCCTAATGCACTTTTGCTCTTCTCGACGGGTTCATCACTATACTCCGTATGGTCAGTGGAGAGTATACGGAGAGGAGTACTCCGGAGTAGTACTGTAGAGTATGGCGTTCGCCAATGACAGAGATGCTTTCTTCTAGGATATGATATATGCTGTTGGTTTAAATGGTTGATTGGCAATGCTCGACTGGCGGACACTGCAGCGATCAGGAGATGTGTGGGCCGTCACGCGACTGCAACGTACGTCACCACACTGCGCATTACCTCGGTTGCCTTTCCCCCGAAGTCTGGAGACCTGGCTGGCACGCCTAGCCCCATCAATTAGCTTCGAATCCTTCCAGAGCTTCTCCACGATGTGGGGGAGATCCGGATGTTGCATCAAGGCTATTGCCGGCACTCCTGCCGGGGTAATAATTAAGCAGGATGCTCTTTTCCGGATGAACGGCAGCTGCTGCCTGTCATCCAACTTGGCAGATAAATAATTATTATTAAGACACAGGTATCAAGACAGATATCATTTTCGAACCCCAGATTCAATCGTCAGTCCATACTCTTGTGTCTTCTGACGAGAGACCATTTACGTCATAGCCACTCCGCTCAGGATGTCGCTATCCGCAGCGCCCTCTGGTCAAGGACCATATGCAAACCGTCCTAGCCCGGCTCGGGGCTTTTTCAAGATTGGACGTCTTGGACGGCTGTATGCTCTACCTTGGCGTTTACAGTATTAATACTTGGCTCTATTAATCCTGTACTGACTGCTGTTCGTTGTATCTTAGATGTCTTCCCGTGGCGGCTGTCATAGGCATCGGTTCGTCTTGTCATATTCTCGAAAATATAGTCATAAAAAAGTCTTAACTCATAGGCAATAGGCGTCGGTATATCGAACTACCTTGACGGTCAACGACTTCAGAGGGAATCCTTTCTCATCCAAGAAGAGGAACGTCTACAGCGAAATGCCCAGCTGATGGACGCGTATGGCGACAAGGACAGCTTGGAAGATATTCAACGTGCGCTGGAACACTACAAGGTGCGAACGGCGGTGATCTCCCAGAATAATTATTGTTTTTTTCTTGTTCGTACTGACTTCATGCTATTTCTAGCAGAATTAAGTAACACGCATTACGGACGTATTCTACATAACATACCCTAACCTGGAGTTTGGAGTTTAGTTTTGCATTTCGAAACTGCATTTTATGGACATCGTTAATTGAGGATTGAGGCTATATTTTATTGTCATCTGGTGGAAACCAGTGATCGCAGGTTCTTGGGATTCTCCACTGTCAACTAGAATGAAATGCAGGACATTTCTTCCTCTCTGACAGAGAAAATAGAAAATATTCAAGAATCCCGGTATTTGACTTTTCTTAGAGATGGTAGTACATTTGTCATCTGATTTTCAGTCGACTTGGGCTTTTGCGTCACTGAGTTGGTGTCCATGGATGTATTAGGCTGATTCCTAGAAAGGAAGGAATCTGTTCGTGACCACTACCCAGGCAGCAGGATGTGACAGAATGGAATGTGCCGGCTACAATTCTATCCCTCAACTCAAAACATGAACCTTCTCTGAACCTGCTTCTTGAAACCTCTATCTACTAAGGAGCCCCTATTTCCATGTTCTCTTCCCTCCAGCAATTTCGTCTCTTTCAGAGATGACTTCAGCGCCCACAAGAATAACCTTAGTGCCGCACTCACATATTCAGAACGCCATTGCAGAAGCGAAAAGTGAATGGAAAGAGACTTCTCGCTTCAACACGGCCCATCACACCAGGGATGACACCATCGCATGCCGTCTTACTACCCCTCCCGGATCAGCCATTGGATCCCATTGATCTGCTCAAGCCAAGGAATCTCCATCTACCACGTTTTTGAGATCTCGAGATTTTTGGCCAGCGAGATCGCAGCGCTCTACGCGGTATGGTACTCTCGTAGGCAGTTGGATGCTGATGCTCTACACGACCTCAAGTCTCTCTTTCCCAAAGCGACGGCAGCCGGGATCCCTACGGAAGAGGTGTTCCAAGGAGAGAAGAAATGGTTCCTACGAGTGGATTATTGCAGCGCCAAGGACAGTGAAGCGGGTCATTCTATCGTCGAGAATGTCGAAGATATAATCGATCGTCTATATACATCCATGAGAGCCGTTCGCGCTATTCGTGATGTCCTGGAGGAAGATCCTCTCGAGAAGCCCAAAATTATCTTGATGCCTTTCAATCCAGCCATGAATCCCTCACGAGAAAGTCGCGTCTTTCAAGACCCGCCGCTATTTCTCAGTACCGTTGGTGGGCGCCTCTTGATCTCGACAATCAGACATCCGCCACCGACCAAGCGTTGGCTATTTACTCAGCTGCATGCAACATCTATCAAGAAATCATGAAACATGCTGCGCAGCTTAGTGACCGTCGAGTGCTCGACACGATGAAGGAAGGGTTTACATTCGACATATTGAGGACACCTTCTGGCCAGATACAACTGGTAGAAATCAATCCATTCGGTGCAATTGGCGGGTGCGGGAGCTGTCTCTTCCAGTGGATCGATGATGGGAGACAGCTCTACGGATTAGAATCAGAAGTGGAGTTGCGATACACCGTTTTGGACAGATGAATCACTGCACTATCACCGAAATCGAATACACGCGTTGATCTCGTGTTGGAGGTGAAATAACAGTCTGCCAAGTCTAGTTTTGTCATTAAATGTTTTACTAGAACGCGATTTGAGTCTCACCAAGGTACACTAATGGGCAAAAAGTCACATTTATATAGATATCATCCTGCAAGGTGATATGAATTGAAGACGCATACCTTATTCGCTTCGAGCCTTGTGCATGCATCCTGTTTGATTTTCTTTATGGACTATCGATTACGACCTCTAGCCAAATGCCGGCGTCATCGAATACGAAACAATGAGTTGGTCATCAGTTTTGAAGCACTGAATAAGCGTAGTATTAATCAGTATCATTCTAAAAGTCGCAGATGAAAAAGGATCCCTTGAAAAAAAAAAACTTACTCTCCACAATCCTCCTACGCCTTCGTCCAGACTCGGAGCAAAGACGCTATTGACATAGCAGAAGACGGAGTCGGTGTCTTTGCAATCCAGCTTTTTCCGAAGGAATTTGACGACTGTCTCGAACTTCTGAGAGGCACTAATCTTGAACACGCGGTTCTTGAGGATCGGTGCCGATGGTAAAGGTTGGAATCGGACGGTCACTATTACGCGCTATCAGTGAGAAGATATACACATATGCACAATAAGGAAAAAGATAAACTATAAGAAATATCAACAATAAGAAATATCAACACAAGAGATAAAATGAAAAGAGAAGTATAGTTTGTCAAAGTGTATAGCCACTTGAAGTAATGACAAAACAAAAACAGGACGAATAGTCCTTATGCAATAGTCAAAAAAAATACCCGATAGATAATTCAGAACAAGCTAGTGAAATTACCTTTCCCTGTATCTACAGCTTCTGCGTCAGCCAGAGCCTGGTGGGCATCCCGCGGAAGGCCCGTCAGGACGACCGAAGCGGACATCGTCAGCGGCATATCGGCACCATGTTCCTCGTCTGGAATCGGCGTCGTTCCAGCGCCAGTTCCCCCACCTGCATGGGTATCGACGCTAGATGCTGGACTGCTGACTCGAGGCCTATGTGACAGGCCAGACGAGGAAGTTGTAACTGGTGGCCGGGGGGAGTTACGACGAGATCCGTCTGAGGGCGGGGAAGACGGGTCCATCTTGCGGGGTTGAGGACAGCGCCTTCTGCGATCCTGACTGACAAGTGAAGATCAGAGTGTACTGGTGAGAAATCTTCTACTCGAAGACATGTAGAGCAACTATGATCTTGTAGATGCAAGATGATGATCAGAGCATATGAGGTCTTGGCAATGAGTGTGGTTCGGAGAGGGAACCGACTTGCAGCTCAGCGAATCAGCTTCCGGCCTGCTCATCTGCATCAGATCCCAACAGTAACTGGGAACTGACAAGATATGGACCAGAACTGGTTTATTGTTCAAATTGCAGTTCTGATTATTGTTGATTCTGTTGGACTAGATACTGTTGGAGGCCAGATAACAATAATAATGGTTTGCAGCAAAAAGGTAACAAAATCACGCAATACCCTTTATTGGCGTAGTTTGTGATCATAGTTGGAATAGTTAGAATTCACTCAAATATAAGTACATTTCCCATTATTCATGACTGTTTTGAAACTATCTGGGTATTTTTAAATGACCTTGAGAAAAGAAATTGACATGAGACATCCACACTTGGTTATGGCAATATTTAATAAATCACGCATAAAATATCATATAGGTTGCAGTAATAGGCTACAATCGCCAAATCCTGTTACAATTCGTATCTCCATTGGTGAAAACTGGACTGCAGGAGGAATGAGTTGTTCGTGTAAAATCTGGTGACTGTTCATAGGCAGATTGTGTTACAGCCACCTGGCCATTGATTCTCCTATTCCATTCCTTAACAATATAGCTGAACTTCCTCATAGCTCATCTCACATGTAAGATGGTGCATGAATTTAGTGATTCCTAAGGAGAAGAAATTAAAATGAGCGGAGTGAGGTACCGAGAATAAACTCAACATAGAGATCATGCAGAGTGATTGGATAGTATTGTCGACAATTATTGCCTCATGTTGCCCTATTTAGCTGCCGTCCGTCTGGGCCAATCGATCGGTGAAAATTCGGCATCCAGAGTGATGTCCTAAGGATCCCTGGAGATGAGGACAGAAGGTTGCAAATCCGGAACGACTAGTTCATTTAATCAGGCCTGGATGCCTGTCATACTATGGATATGACTCCACGCTCCACAAGGCCTTGGCACCGATGCACCGTTAGCCGTTCCATCCGGAATCGGAGGAACGTTGAAGTGACGATTGATTGCTGCAAACTCGTGATTCATAGGAAAAAGAAATATCCTGTCCAATCAGTAAAACAGAGATTCCTGCGCTGTTTGAAGGCATTACTGAGTTGAGAAGACGTGTTCTGCGCAGGGGTCGATAACAGCGGACCAGTGGGGCACATGACCAGCTGGCCGTGACTACGGGCTCCATCCGCCGTGCCTATCGCCGACTATATCATCATCGTCCCTCCCGCCTTCTACTTCCCTTGCCTTCCTCCTCCATTCCGACCAGCGATCACTCCGTACCCGCCTCTCGCAACAGCTCACTACTCAACTCCCACTCACTTCGAAACTCCAAATCGCTTGCCAACCTTAATACTCTCGCCTTCTTAGTGCTCGGTTGTCAGCTCCTTCCGGTTTACCCCGCTCGCTCGTTGCCACCTTGGGAGAACAGCCTCTCCCGATCCGACGTCGATTCTGCGTTTCTAGGTTGACCGTCTTTACGACACACCTACCAAAACCTCTATTTTCCTGTTAACGATCTAAACAGCTGCACTCAAGCTTTCCAAAATGAGCAGCCCAAAGCGGAGGATCGAGACAGATGTAAGTAGCGGTGGATGAATGGCGGAATGGAGTCAATAGAATAAAAGGTCGAATGACGGAATCGCTAACATATGACTTTTTCTTCCTATTACTTGTACAGGTTATGAAGTGAGTACAGCTCTATGTCAACCATCCCAGCTAGAGTGTTACTAACCTTCTGCTTAGGATGTATGTCTAGTCCCAGTTCGCCACGAGCACGCTCTGCCTTACGCATCGACTCTCATCACATGCTTTCGGGACTTGAGGGGCACAAAAATGAATTTGAACCGCTTGATGCTGATAATTTCGCAGGTTGATGAGTGACTACGAAGTTACTCTTGTCAATGATAACAGTGAGTCTGACATAGTTGTCCTGTAGCCTGTACTCTGCTTGCTGACCTCCGTACTCTCTTAGTGTATGTGACCTACATCCAGTCAACCACATGAGAGATGTTGGCCTTGAATTGGTATTGACAGATTTGACGTGCAGGCAGGAGTTCTATGTGCGCTTCAAGGGTCCTGAAGAGAGTACGTTGAGCACCGGGGATACACGAATTACAATGGTTATTGACCAGGTTCACAGCTCCGTTCGCCGGTGGCCACTGGAAAATCCATGTCGAACTGCCGGATCAGTACCCTTACAAGAGCCCTAGTATCGGCTTCGTCAACCGCATTTTCCACCCCAACATTGATGAGCTGTAAGAAGAATCCAGGCCTAAATGCATTCTGGCATTCGCTAATTATTGTCAAAGCTCGGGATCCGTCTGCTTGGACGTGATTAACCAGACGTGGTCGCCCATGTACGACATGATCAACATCTTCGAGGTCTTCCTGCCGCAATTGCTACGCTACCCCAATCCTTCTGATCCTCTCAACGGTGAGGCGGCAGCCATGCTCATGAGGGAGCCAAAGAGCTATGAGTCCAAAGTGCGGGGTATGTAGTGTCCCCGAACTTCTTGCAGTGGGGCAAAATTTTGACCTGGGCGAACTTTTACAGAGTACGTTGCCAAATATGCCACCAAGGAAGCCGTGGATGAGGCCGGCGAAGATAGTTCGTCTGAAGACGAGCTGAGCTCTGCCGGTAGCTACGAATCTGACCGAGAAGAGCCTGCTGGTGAGATGGACGACGTCTGATCGCGTCACACAACCTCGGTGATTCGGCCTGCTTCACATTCCAGTTGGACATGGCCTGGATGCGTCACGCATATACCTGCATACGTGCACTATTCCCACTTTACGATGCGATCTGATTTAAGCCTCTCGTGATCTTTTCGACTAGGTTAGCGGGCGTTATTGTGCCGGAGTTTTGTGTCTTTTGTTTTGTTGTTTCGTTTTCTGTGCTCTTTTTCATCAGACGGAGGAGGCGACTCGCGATTATCATGGGAGGGAAAGGAGTCAGGGTGGAAAGCATCCTCCTATGCGATTAAGGTCAGGTGCGTTACGGTGTCGGGATAGTCTGCTATTGCCGCCTATTTTTTACAGTATTCAGGCATCGTATCATACTGATTGTGATTTTACATATCGTGTCCGTCCTTTTTCTCCCTTCTAGCTGCTTTGAATTTCAGCTATTGTGCAGCATTTTGATAGCCACATTTCTGCTAATTCATAAGATAGTGATAAATTTCAATGATATAGTAGTATACCTAGCTGATAGTAATCGGATGTTTCTTCAGCCCGTATATGCGTATATGAATCTCATTCTATTTATGTCTGTTGGATCTGCCATCTAAGGTAACTTCCTAACTAACTCGATAGGACGACGTTAGAAGACTTGACAGTCTTGTGCCTTGCCTGCATTGTTCAACCCGGTAAAGGCATGATGGAAGAAACAGGAAAAGCAAATGGCCAGGCTGTAGATTATTGTACTGTATATGGTACATTGTCCGTGCATGCATACTCTAAACAAGAGAAGAAAAGAAAAACCAGTCAATGGTGCGAGGTGCAAGATGAGAAAAAAAGGAAAAGAAAGAGGGTCTTGACGGCGAAAGAGAAAAAGAAAAAAGAAGGGAAAGGTGATGCAAACCGGGGTATATGATGATGATGGTGAGAGATAAAGAGAGAGAGAGATGCGTTGCCCAGTGTCGTTGTATTAAACCAACCGGGTCGACACCTTTTCGTCCTTCCGACCCTAAGTAACCTTCAAAACGCCAAAAAAGTCATTCCCATTATCCTGATCCGCGGCTCGTGATTTCTTTCCTTTTCTCGATGATATGACCACTTCCCCCCAGTGCTTTGGGAGCTTCTTCTGATTCGGAGCGATGGTCGCGGTAGCAGGAGCTTTGCTAGGCTCGTGTTGAGTTCCCTGCGCGTCTGCAGGATGGTCTGGTGCGTTTGCGGCTGGTGTCTCGCCGCTGGGGGCTCGCAAGGATATGGCCGATCCATTACTTCGTAGCGTTGCTCGTGGCTGCAGGTGTGGTTGCGGTTGGAGAGCCCAGATGTCGATGACAGAGCTGATATGGAAATCCATGGTTAGTTGCGTTACGGACGAAGTAAGGTAGGTAGGTTCCTTACTCTGACGCTCTTTGACATATCGCCTCCAACGCCTCCCTCTCGCGCTTCAAGTCCTCTGGATCAGCCTGAATCTGGTGCGCCTGATTCACGGAGCCGTAGCCGTATCCCCCGGGATAGAGATCATCGTCTAGGAGTCTCGACGATTCGGACTGTTTTGGAAGAAATCAGTATAACGCTGAACTCGGGCAACAGCAATCGCGTGACGAGCATTGCTCACATCATGGTTATCTCGGCGTCCATAGCCAAGACAGGACAGACACACGCCCATCTATCTCTATCCAGGACTCAACTCACTCACTCACTCCACTTTTTGAGCGATAGCCGATCGCGATCGCGATAGCGATAGATAATAGGTCCGGAGGCAAAGACACAAAGGAACTGTCAGAAAGAAAAAAAACCCCTGGAGAGTCGAGTCACGTTCGAGTGGTCAATTCCAGAGGCGAGCGCATCTCACAAAGGAGTGTGTGTGAGATGTCGAGTGAGGCATTAACAGCGTTGTACCGCCATCGATCGCTGCGGCGTTGGCAGGTGACGTTTGGAAGTGGCAGGCAAATGGCCCGTGCACAGCCCAAATCGATTGATCATCGATCTCGCCCAGCAACAATCCTCGCAAGGCGCGTGTTATCTCCGGACAAGTCATTTACGGAGTACGGTACATATTAATTCTGCAGAGGTTAATATAAAATAAAATAAAATAAAAATCCAACGAACTATTTGCTGTCTGCAGCAGACTGGGTCTTGAGAGCAGTCTCACAACGTATGTATCCTGGAATCAGCACGATTTCCTTACTATAGATCTGCTAAGCATGTAATAGAAGTAAATATTTTCTGTTCGCTTTTTCTATGACTAGCTTTGCTAATGAAGATTGCTCTATAGATATGATATCAATGCCATCACCTGTCGATAGTCGATACTGTTATGTTGGCAGCTGATTGGCTAGCGCGCAAGGACTTGGCCGTAGCACCTCCGGGCTGTGGAAACAAAAGTCAAGAATTCAAGTCCGCCCTCCAGCAACCTCGCGGGGCCAGCGAAGCGGCTCCCATATCTACAAAACTAGCAAGACTGCATTTGGGGGACGTGCTACGGGGCGATCACGATGTTTGAAGTTCCAGAAGCCAAACGGTATGTTCAAATGCGTTGGAAAAGAGGATTCTCAGAACCTATCTTGCAACATTCCTTTCGTCAGGTCAGGTCAGATCAAAACTAATGCTTGAATTTCTACAGCGTTCGTCGCGATGAGATTGTCTCTCCCCCGTCGTCAGTGCCCTCGTCACCGGAGCCTCTCCCAGAAGACGGCCATGCGCTGCTAGGGAAGCTCCTCGATTTCGATACATTCACCGTGGAGGACCGACCGTCCATTGAAAAAGATACCGAGCAGACCGCGCAAAATAACGGCAAAGATGCTGCCGCCGAAGAGCAAGAACAAGAGTTCGAATTTCGATTATTTGGCAGTGGTCCAGCAAAGCGCACACAAGATGACGGCCAAAAACCGGATGCGGTGGACAGCACGGTTAACAAAGATGGCACGCGCAAATTGCGAATCCGAATACGCTCTCCCACCCCGGGACCGGTCGATCCCAACGAGGGCAAATTCGTTAACCCGTTCCGCGGGTGGCAGTACTACTTCACGACTCCGGCGTTGATGTCAGGACAGCATGCGGAGTCGGATCCTACAATAGCTGCCAAGCGGAAGGAGTATGAAGAGGTTGCTGTGAATGGGAGACAGCTGCTAGAATTGGCCGGGAAAGGGACATGGGTAAGTCTGTCGTGTTGGAGATCTACAGTATCTTGTGTATTTGTCTTATTTTGCTGCCATGGAATTGTCTAAGTTGCTAACAACCTGCCTTCGTCAGCCGGGCTGCCATCTTCCCTGGCGGGTCATACACCTGAAACCCTCCAATGTCAAACTTCCTCGTGCTCCTACCGGTTCGTCCTCCGCCACCAGTCTGGTTCCTGCAGACAGCCAGCAGTCCAAGTCACGAAAGAAGAAACCCGGCAAAAAGCGCCGTATTATGCTACGCAAGCGGGCCGCGGCAGCTGAAGCGGCCAAGCGAGCCGAAGCCGAGAAGCGCCATCAGAGAAACAGAGAAAAGAAGATCAAACGGCGCCAGAGGGAGAGGGAGAGAAAGGCAGCGGCAGCAGCAGCAGCTGCTGCTGCTGCTACCAGTAATACGTCAGGTGAGGCACCAGGAGCCGCGGGCGGTTCAGGAAGTGGTACAAATAGCGAGTGATATGGGATAAGGTTGTTGAGCTGGTTGCTTGGATATTTGTCAATTGAGAATCGATACCCTGGTTTATTTTGCTTGTGTGAGAGATGCAGAGAATATAGACTTGGTGGTCACCATATAGACAAACCTCAAGGTCAAGTTTTAGCTACAGTCATTTAATAAATAACTCCCCGTCGAGATGAAGGTATGAAAGATACCTAAGAGAGCAGCCTAATAATCTCTCAGGGAACAAAAGCACTTAGCTGAGCAAGCATCCTTATCGGTGTAACCATTACTATACTACCCCCACCGCGCTACTCTGCATGTAGTCTATACTCCGTAGTCCTGCCTAGGAACCTTCTTCATCCGTTTGCTCCCTCCCCGAACCAGCAAGTCGAACCGACATACTCCACAGAAGGTGAAAGTCTGGACAAGCCTCACAAATACGGAGTACTCCGTAGTATGTCATCACGCAACCGTCAAATAGTCCGTAGTCTGTCTAGCCGTTGTCAGTGTCACCAGGGGTGTTCGAACTCAAGTAAGTTCGGCTGCGCTAGACTAGACTACTGCAGGATCCACCACGAGGAGACTAAAATCAGCCATGGCGCCCGAACCTGCCAGTCATCGAGAGGTGATCGACGTCAGGGATCCTTCTGTTGGTGTCAGTGCGTCAGGCATGCCATGATACCAGCATATTATCTGATAACGAACGACAGCCGTTTAGCGACAGCAACAGCAGCGGAGAGTTCATGTAGGGAATATATCGGCTAACTTCGGGGAAAGGGGGTCTGACAGGTCCACCGAAATTACTCCGTACAGGTAAATTGACCGTAGTTAATTTTGTGGCATTTACATTTGCATGTGAAAACAAAAAAATCCTACCAAAACACCTCTATTAATACTGAAATAACTGGATTTTTATCCTGAAATGGTTGAATTTTGAAGCAAAGCTGCCTAGTCAAAACGAAAAAAAAAGATATCATAAGGTACCTACATACCTACCTACTACCTATATAATATGGATACCTAGGTACAGTACCTAAGCATAGAAAGTTGAAGAACTGTACTCTGTACGAACAGAGTATGTAAAATTGTAAATACATACGTACCTATTTGGCCCCCACGCTGTCTGTCTCTCTGCATCTGTTTGTCATGAGTATGTACAATACATACTCTGTGTATACTCTGTACTACTATCAAAAAAAAGGGGCGAGAACTTTAATTCAAATCATTCTAGTTTAGATACTTGGCTGATGGATCCCATCCTGGCCGGTCCAGAATGTGTCTCTGTAAGTACATGTACATACATGTACTGGACATAGATGTACTTTGTTTAAGGCCTTATCTAGCATGTGCCTAGTACTTTGTACTACTAAGTACTCTACCATGGTTCGCAAGGGCTGCCAACCCGCAATATTGACAAATACCTACCTAGGTAGGTACCTTTTAACGACTTTCTACAAAAAAGATCACATGATCAAGATATGACGGCAAATTCCTTATGCCACAGGATATCAGACAGTGTCTGAGAATAGTATAGAAAGCTCAAAAATCTCAAACCATTTTAAACTGTGAATACCTTGCAGCATGCAAGATCTGGCCGGGCTTTGTGATACTATTCCTATTCTAGCCTTGCTTTTTTTGGAAGCCATGGTTCTATACACAACGCAGTGAATCGACTAGACAGATCAACAAGTGAGTCACAGTGACTGCTCTGCCTGGAGCCAGGTATTGAACCATCTTTGGCTTTCTCTTTCTCTTTTTCCACTCATCTACCTGTTGTATCTGTTCTCATAGGCTTTTGCATCTAGTTCTCTTCTCAGATGAAGTCGTCGGGTGTGTCTGGCAACTAGATCTCTTTCAGAACACTTGAAGTCTCTCCCTTCTAAAATTTATCACTCAAATCGACCAGGACTCGATATGGCTGCTTCCGTTTCCATGCGCCGCAATCGAAGCTCAGAAGTGGAACTCTGCTACGTCTCTCCATCCATCGATACTCCGGGGGCTGTCGTGTCTGCACCATTTGTTGCGCCGTCTCCTCCATCACACGCCCGCGATGGGAGGAGATGAAAAAACCGAGGTTCAAGCGATGATTCGGGTGTGGAGCTTTCTGATGGCCTCGTGGACGAAGACCTTCGCACCGGGGGGCCCTATCTCTGCGCCATTCCCACTCGAAGTGTGCCTATCCCTAAGTATCATCCGCTTCAGCCGCGGCTGGAGGACCGCGACGCACGTCTCCTCAAAACAATCAACTCGATCCTACAGTCGCATGATGTCGATTTCCAGTCAATCGACCTCTGTGGGCGCAGATCGGAATTCGATCCAGAACCGGATCTTGTCCCCACCGTCCTCGTCCTTGCCAAAAGACATGCCCTCGATAAAAACTGGCTCGAGGCATGTAGGGAGATTCGAACGTTTCTAATAAATGAGAATTTGTCGAGCGTCTCTGTGGAGATTGCCGACTTGCGGGCCTTTGAGCCGCTCCAATACTCCCCAGTCCTGCCAACAGATACTATCTACTACATCTGGGACAAAGTTCTTGATCGCATTTTGACGCAACTCGACCTCGCTGAAATCAAATGTGTTGAATGTTTCCGTATGGGCACTAGCGACAACCACAATGAAAACCCGCCGACAGTGATACTGACTGTTGCCAAGCAGTCAACAAAAGACTGGAGACCTGTTCGTGAAGATATCATTGGCATTGTCGACAGTTTTCACCTTCCTACTGTTGGCGTGAGCATAGGGCCAGGCGATATAGTAAGACAGAATGGTGTTTCGGTAGCATACCCGTTGAATGCCTATCAGGACGGAGCCCAAGCAGGCCTAAGCCTTGGGATTCACGGGTCGATGCTCTCTGCGGGCACATTTGCTGGTTGGGTTCAGCTTAAGAATCCTAGAACGGGAGAGTGGGAAAAGTTTGGCCTTACATGTTTCCACTGTGTGGACCCAGGCACGAATTCCATCTCAACTACCGATCTAACTCGTAAGTGAAAGTTGTTTTCTATTCCCTATATATGCTTACAGAAACAAAAATTCCCATAGAACTACAAGACTGGCATAAAAATGGGATATCTCCGAACGACCAGAGCGCGCGGCGATTGCTTCAACTTGATCAGCCCTGTCTGAAGGATATCAAGAGGGATCTGAATATGCTTCAGGAACAGATCAAGACTGTGTCAGAAGATGGCGAATTCATTCATGTCAAAACTGCTGTGGAATCTGGCAACTTTGTTACTCCTCGCGATAAGAGGCGGTACGACCAGGACCAGCAACTACTCCAGAATTACATGGACAAACAGTCCCTAATACGGGATTTTCTGGCCAGTGATCGCCATATTCCGGGTCATGTCCTTAGTGCCTCTGGTTACAACACAATCAAAAAGTGATGAAAATGATTCAGCGATTCTGGATTGGGCTCTCATTTCTGTCCAACCATCTCGCGCATTGAGCGATAACACAGTAAGCAACACCTTTGTGCATCTCAATGATACTAACGTTGAACAGATCCTGGGATATGGCACTCCGCCGCCTTCAATGTCGTTGCTACCAGATCTAAAACTGGAGAACTTTACCAAACCGCCTTGTAGGCATTTCAGCATTGAAATACTTTGGTGCGGGGCGAGTACGATGGGTAAGCTGAAATATAAATATAAAAATGATATAGATAATACATGATCATTTTGTTAATAGTATCCTCTTCAGGATTGGGAGATATGCGTCCCCACAGAGAAGCTAGAGGAGGCCTCTGGTCTCCTTCGATCGGAGCCCTATAATCAGGTTTACGTGCCACAACCACCAGACCCTGTGGTGCAGCCTTACTCCTTGTACCATACCTTTCCGCGGTTCAAACTCAAAGGTGTTGATCTCAAGTTCCTTCTCATTCCATCGGAAGATTGCCATCTTGATTGTGACCCTTCTCAAATGGAGCGGAGCTCCGTATCCAAATCTTGAAGTTTTTGCCCAAAGTCTGCTCGATACCCAACGTCTAGTTGACTTGACGGATTTGGTCGATGGCATGAATCTGACAGAAGAATGGGGAGAGCAGCACTTGGATCTGGATAAAACCAGTGATGTTCTCTATGCAGAGAAGAAGAATGAGAAGATCAGGGCATCAGTACCTAGGACAATAATTTAATTGTGATGGAGCTTCCAGTCCATCCAGTTAACCTGCGAGAGACATGGCAAGAGATCGTGAGAACCAAGGAGAGTCGAATAGGGCCCGAATGTCCCAAGGAGTTCTTTGAAACCAGGTTTTTTGGTCGGGGCCGACCAGATCCACGCTTGCTAGATCGGCCAGGTGTTTGAACAACCAGTCAAAAGTGGTACAACAACTTGACTGATGACTCTGATCAATGATCTCATATCCTTTTCAATACAGCGTCCCTAACCCCCCTTTTTTAAAAGAAAGTGGCAATTCATATGGCCGTAATCTCAAAAGCCACGGCTCTCCACGCCATTTCCGCCGTCACCCTGTTTATTAGATACCTTAGGTAGAAACGAAAGAAAGCTACCTACCTAAGTAGCTAGGTACTTAACTAGGCAGGTAGCTTACGTAGGTAGAGGTACGGTAGTTTAAACTACATACTCCGTACCTACATCTACATACCTCATACCTACCTACCCAGAATGACATGACCTCCGAACCATTACTAATACTAATGACCCAGGTCCAGAGAGTCCAGACATACCTAGGTACCTTAGGTACATACCTATGTAGGTGTAGTATTAATTAAGGTTAAGTTTTTAACTAACGCATTAACCATTTTTTTGTTTTGGCCCCCAAGTTTGGCTTGAGCCACGCTTGAAGTTTGTTTGATAGCCGAACGGCGAACGCCACTAACTACCGTACGGAGTATAGAGAGAGACCCGTGCTACATAACTACCTAACAGGTAACTACGGAGTAATAACTATACAACTACCGATGCTTAGGTAGGTACATACATAGTTTAGCTAAACTCTATGTATGTACAGTACATACGGACGGAGGATTTTATTTACCTGCATAAGATACCTAAGATGTTGACACTTTTTTTTTTGAGTATGTTGTTAGTCAGCAGTTAGGAGTAACTATACGTTTCTCACTACGACAGTCATGGACTAACTGCTCTATGTATGCTGAATGTATTCTCTCTGCTCGAAGTGACTGGCATCAGGATTGATTTGAGGTAATTAATTGATTAATTTGGTAGTGCTGGTAGTCTAGACATAGTCATATGTTCATATTGCATATGTACAGTACATACATTACATGCATCCATACAAGTTCGACCTCTATTTCGGCGGTTCTGCCTCCTCCAGCGCCTTCACAATCTCCTCCGCCTCTTCCTTCGGAATCGGATACGTGTACTCCTCCGAAGGGAACGCTCTGCTCTTGACCTCCGTCCGGTACTGCTCAATCCCCCTGAACGCCTCGTTCCACACGTTCGCGTACTGCTTCACGAATTTGGGCAGCGGCCGTCCCGGCGGGAAATGGCCGCTCATGTCGACCTGCACCAGCACCTGGCCCGAACAGCCGTTCCCCGCGCCAATGCCCATGGTCGGAATGCGCAGCTTCTTCGTGATGATGTTAGCAATCTCCGACGGCACGGCCTCCAGCACGACCAGGAAGGCCCCCGCCTCCTGCACGGCGTACGCGTCCTGCAGCAGCTTGACTGCCCCGGCGACGTTCTTGCCCTGCACGCGGAAGCCGCCCAGCGCGTTCTGGCGCTGCGGCGTCAGGCCGATGTGAGCAACGACCGGAATGCCGGCCGTCGTGATCTTTTTGATCATGGGCGCGATCTCCGCTCCGCCCTCCATCTTGACCGCATGGGCCCGGCCCTCTTTAATGATGCGGATCGCTGACTGGAGGGCTTGCTCGGGCGACACTTCGAAGGACCCCATGGGCAGGTCGCAAAGCTATCATCGTGTATATTAGCGTCTGTCGATTCATTAAACAAGTACAACACGTACGATAAAAGTAGACTTGGCCGCCCGAGCTACACTGCGGCAGTGCATGATCATCTGGTCCAGAGTCACCTCGCTGGTGTCCTCCATCCCCAGCGCCACCATGGCCAGGCTGTCGCCCACCAGAATCATGTCCATGCCGGCGGCGTCGGCGAGACTGGCGCTGGGGTAGTCATGGGCCGTGATCATGGCAATGGGCTCGCCCTTCTTGTACATGTTGCGCAAGGTGTTAATGGTGACCTTTTTCCGGGGCTTGGGCGACGAGTCGCCGCCCATGGGGGCGTAGGAGCTGTAGCGGAGCTGTGCATGGGAGGTCGCAGGAGCGAAGACTGTCGTTCGACCCGTCTGTCGAGAGCAGAAGACGTGCAGCGACGGCCTGAGGCGCGCAACAGCTCTGGGCGAGGGAGTCATAGTCGGTCGTGCTGCCTGGTTCGGTTGGACGCGGGAAAAGCAAAAAAGGCGGGTATATGCAGTATGACGTAACGGCACGCCAGAGGAATATCAAGGATATCAAACAGGACTCAAGTCCGCCGCGCGGAGGATTGAAAGGAACTGCAATGCAGGCAAAAGAGAGGAATTGGCCAGGTCGCGGAAGGCAATTCGTGAAGGATTCGCCCTGCGCATTTTATATCGACAGTCCCCATCCACTGTGCTGGTATATGCAGCGTAGTCCGGAGCATCTCTGCGAGCAAACACCGCAACGCACAATTCCATGCTGGCTTTAGCGCGAAGCTTGGGCCCCTGTCGATCTAGCTGTTGTTTTCTATAAAGTTAGGTAAATACCTAATTTTGTGCTTTTCTCTCCACCGATTTGCAAGACCTATTCAGCACGACATGGCAGAGTCATATCCCGAGGCATTGGGGCTTGACTTTCACATCAGCTTCAACTTTGCCATTGTAATGTAAATAGTAAATAATGTAAACACCTGGGAATTGTTTATACAGCAGAGCAAGCAGTCACTGGCCAGAATTCGGCATTCGCGTGCAGGCAATCCATGCAGCAAGTCAAGGTACCGGTGGATCGGAACGGGAGCAAGCATCAATCAGTCAATCCTTCGGCTAGCCCAGGATTGCGCAACGGCAGCCTGCCAGGTACGCCGTAGCCATGGCACTGCTAGCTGCATGCACGATGCATCTACTAACTACTACTACTAACCTTATGCTATCCTGTCTTTGCAAAACGGCAACGGATCCACCGTTCGAAGGATTTCACCGTTTTACTAGGCCTGTCGGCGAATGTACTCATCCTCCGTATTTCCTATACGATACAAGGTTCTTATCTAACGGTTAGCTAGACAGTCGAGTTAGAGTTGAAAAATACATGTATGTACCGTGCTGTACTTTTTCCTTTATTACATGCAGTATACAACGGAGTGGCATTTCTCTACACCACAACCAGAAACGAAAACTACTAAATAGTACTGGAGTCTAGATAGATTAGGTAGAATAGGAAATTAATCCGCATTCTACAATTCTCCCTGAGACATAATCTTATAGAATGAAATGGTTCAAAGCTAGTCTCTGGGAAAAACAGTAGTTATCTGTAACAGGACCTCGTTTTTTAACAATTAGTTATCTTTACGAACAGTGAAGCTTTTATTACAGTTATGTACTCCTGATCAGCGCTTCTTAACTTTAAACTCCAGTGGCTGATGGCGGATGCACGTGCGACAGTTGGCTAATCGCCTAGCTATATGCTTAACCTATCTACCTACAGCACCGATTTGATAATCGTCTTCAAATCCTCGTCCGGCAGCTCCAGCACCGCGTTTGAGACCTCGCCTTTCCGGTCCCAGTCGTTCTCCGTCCGCTCATCCAGGTTGGCCCCGTAGATCAGCTTGCCCGCGCCGCTGAAGTCCCCTTGCTGCAGCCGCTCCTCGGCCTCCTTCACCTCCGCGTCCAGGTCGACCTCGTCGATGGTCCACTTCTTGCCCGTCACGTCCTCGAACGCCGCCAGGATGGCCGACTGCGACGTCGTCACGCTGCGCACCCGCAGGATCTTATTGGCCGTTTTGGGCGCTATCGCCGGCGCCAGCGTCTGGGCCACTGCCCGCCCGACCGTGTCCAGCGTCGTCGCTGAGAACGTCACGTCCTTGTATTTCGTGTAGATGGTGGCCTTGTGTTCGGGGATGCTGAAGCCTGCGAAGCCAACCTTGAGGGCCCTGAGGATTAGTTAGCTATACACTGCATATACTGTACGCTACATGTACTGATTAGGAATGACGGAGGACTACCAGTCAAAAAAGAACCCATTGTAGATCACCGTCCACTCGATCTGATCCTGCTTGCTCTCCAGGTACTTGCGGACCTGATCCTTCTGGCTCCAGGGCGGGAACCGCTGCCGGGCGACGGCATTGCTGGTGTTGCTGCCGAATTCAGACGGGATGAAGCGCTTCACGCCCGCGGCGATGGCGGCATCGATGACCTTGATCTGGTCCAGGAGCGCGTGTCCAGCGATGGCAGAGACGACCGCATCCTGGCCTTGCAGCGCGTGGACGAGCGAGTCGTGGCTGTAGTCCGTCTTGAGGAGCTTCACGCCCGCTGGCGCCTGGTAGCTGGACGATTCGCGAGAGAGGACCGACACGGTGTAGCCGTGAGGAGAGGTGACCAGGGCGTTTAAGATGGCGGGTCTAGAAAACAGTCAGATAGTTAATAATCAAGCTTCAGCCATTAGATGGCTGTCTGTCAGCGAACGGACAACGGACAACGAACCCGAGGTTTCCTCCAGCCTGGAGAAATCAGATAGTATAGGTCAGTCACCATTGACAAGTCCACAGAATTGGAACGTAACAAGTACTTACCCCAATAAGAACCACGTTTCTGATCGACATTATGGTAGATATTTTATACTAGGGGTATATAATAAGTACAGTACAGTACAAAGCAATACAATAGATGATACCACAATCAATTAGCACGAAGAGTCTGTCAGACTTTTAATCCTGAATTAATTGCAAGACGTAGGAGTAGATATCGATATATATACCTCCACCACCCACCTCCTCGACCATATATATATCTACCTGTTTATAATCATGCACAGCATACCTAATACAGTACTCTCCCACTCGGCCCCACCCCCGCCGTCGATGGCATCATCGCGTTTGTCAGTAGTAGCAACAGATCCATCCCGCTCGGAACAAAGTCAAGCATTACATTATTATCAGCTTTGAGCGACGATGGCGTGATTGTGATCTGATTAATTGATTATGGTGGAATGTTCCAACCTGTCGTCGCAATAGCTGTCCCCGCAGAGGGCCCTCCCTGATTAATCAGATATCAGATAAGGTGATATGCTGCATATACACGGTATTATTAAGTCCGCTGGTTCAACAAAGCCATAGTTATGACCAACAGAGTTACATTTAACAAGTTATGATTGCTAATGCCTGATTAATCATCCGTGGGATAATTGCTGATGCAACTCATCCTAAGAATGAAGCCACGTTCAAAGCTAAGAATACACTGCATACACCACCGTACAGTACATGCACCCAAACAAGAATTACAAAGATCGTGTCCCCCACATCCCCACATCTCCCCGGTCACACCAATCGTCCCCTGCTCTAATTCTAAAGCTTGTTCACTTGCGGTGGGATATCACAAGACTGCTGATGACTGTCCATGTTTATAGTTTTTATACCAACCATCCGCCCATGTGATCCTCCCCGTGTAGCTATGTAACGCGAAGAGCCCCGAATGGAGACCTTCACGGATGCAATGACATCAACGCAATGCAGAGACCAGCAAAACGAGAGAAAGAACATGTGTTTGGAACGATTGATGAAAATTAACAGCATCAAATACGTCGCTAATGGAGATCAGTTCCTCTGAATCCTGTGACCTGTGAATTGAACCGTGTCGGAAACCAGAACCAGAATCGGAACGCCGCAGAATGCTGCAGAATGTCCACAGTCAAATGCAAGAAATGACCTCAGAAACACAACGCCAATATAAATAGCAATTCCATCTTTTTTTTTGTGCAAGTCAAAAAGGAGCGGGGGACGCAGCGACAATCACTAGAGAAAGATTGGCATCCGCTTCAGCCTATATATTTTGGTATTCCGGTTTCAAGGGTCGTCGAAGCTTCTCAAGCAGCGCATCCAGTTCAGCCCAATTAGACGCTGTGGTCGCGAATTTACGGTGCTTCCTCGACACAATATGCTAATGAAACAGTCAGCACAGTCTCACGCGACAACCGTAGAGAATGACTTACCTCGTCAAAGTCATCAAACTTCTCCCTGCAATTCTCACAATAGCCCGGTTTCGGATCGCGCTTCTTCTCCTTACTCTTCTTCTGGCTGCTGCTTTTCCGACTCGCTGCTTGCTGCTTATGGCTTCCGTTGTCCTCTGACTGTGTCGTGTCCTCTTCGTGTATATGACCAAGTTTTTCGGCTGGTCTCTGCTTACTGGACCGGGTAGATGCACTGGCTGCTGGTTTCGTAGTTTGGTTGACATCCGCTGCACGGTGTGAGGACGGGTTGGCGCTCGTTGAAACGGCTCCATTGCTCTTTTCCAAGACCTTCCTTTTCAGTTCATGAACCTCCTTACTCACACCTGCCTTTGCGCCAGGTGCAGCGGCCGTGGATGATATCATCTGTGATCGAATCGCAGACGTGATATTGGACGGTTGCACCCCAGACGCAGCAGGTTCCCGCCCCAGGTGGAACGGTCCAGTGCGGATGAGGTTAGGAGCGATGAAGCTTTCCGAGCTCTTTCGAGGGGAGACGGGTCTGACAGGGAACACCTTCTGCAGCTCTACCTGCGTCGTCGGGGCAGGTACATTCTCTTCGACTTTTGGAGGCTCGACTTGTCCCTCGTTCTCATGTTGAAGGGAGTTGGTTTCAACAGAAGGCTCAACCGGGTCGGGCTTCTTCACTGCGTTCTGCACAGTAATCATGGTTTCCGCAGCTGCCTTTTTCTCCTTCTCCTTCTCCCTCTCCCTCTCCCTCTCCCTCTCCTTCTCCTTCTCTTTTTCCTTTATCCGCGCCAGCTCCTTCTTGGAAGGCGGTTCGTCAATAAAAGGACATTTGCCCAGAGGAGCACTGCGGAACTGCGGCCAAGCCCCATCCTGTCTTCGTGCAACTTTGGGATATTCTCTGACCATGACCGGCCTAGTCTTCTCATCCATGTCATGAACATAGATGAACGGACCCTTGAACATAACCATTTCCTTCATCCACATGGATGGATCACGGTCTGAAGGCCCATGTAACAGCTCATTCCGCAGAACTTGAGAAAGATCTGCATCGCCGCGACCCTTGCTACCGACGCCGCCATTGCTAACTCGACCAGATGCATAAAGGGAAGTGGTGTCGGAATCATGAATTGCTGCTAACATCCGCTGCAGCTTTTCTACAGCCCATATTTTCATTCCCATCTGACGAGCCCTATACAAGACATCCATATTGGAACCTTGATCTCGTCGAGCGTCGATATCTGGTTGTCTGTCGTAGGGATTCCTCAACAAGTGCGAGCTCGTATCCGTACTCTTCTCTAAGAGAGACGGATTCACTGTCTGGACCGGGCCATCAACCGAAGACTGTTCCATGCCTGATGGCGTCGTCGTCTCCGTAGGATCGGGGATATCGACCCCTGGAATAGGACGGGAGGTAACAACATGAGTGACTAGACGAGAAAAAAACCTTTCTTCACGCTGGAGTTCATGTAGTCAGATAGGTATCCCCGAAAACACCAACAGGAGTTACTAAGTTGCAATTCATGATAACGTGGCGGGATTCCCAAAATATCCCCATTCTAGGGCAGTGAAGGGTTGGGGGAAACGGGGCAAACAAAATCACTGCATAAAAGCACTTACAGCACCCAATGCAAGAATCTCTCTGGTGCACCTGCTTCGAACATCTGCCGGTATACTGTCGAAGTAGAAGACAAAGCTCGGAAATGCTTTGCGGTAATGCTTTTGCCATTGCCGGATAGTGTCCAAGGTCTCGGCAGACGCCTTCTCATATCTTGACCCCTTTGACTGAGTTTGCCTTTCCTTGTCTCTTGCTGCGACCAGCTTCTTCTCGAAAGCGGTAGGTTGGCCATTGTTGCTCCGTCGTGAAAAAACTTTGGCTTCGGCAGACTGAGAGGGGATGGTGGTCCTGCTCTTCGTAGGAGAACGCGTCACTACCTCGTCCCGGTCTACCAACTGCTTCTTCGGAGGAGGTTGTCCGTATGCAAGATCCAGCTGGGACCCGGTTCTTGGACGCTTGGAGGCAGTGTTACTGCCGCGGTGAGGGGAGTTGGTAGCATTGGGAACGCTGGCGAGAGGAGGCCGTCGGGTCGACATGGCATAGGCTGTCTGGGAGGAAGGAGGTACAAATACAGCTGCCATATGGTAATAATAGGTGGAATTGGCAGGGACACGAGCACAGAGAACGACAGGGCCCAGCGAGGGAGGGGTACTGGACCACTGCTAAGAGCACGCGACGTGCCACACGTCGAGGAGGCTTGGAAGGCTAGAGAACCATGATGAAGAGGAGAGGGACAATGGACGAGGAGCTCTATGGATAATATTCAATAATGAGACCTTGGCACTTCCTGAGAGAGACTGTGGCAGGTGTATCACGCTTCCTCGTGAATGAATTGGTGACGAAGAGGCACAAGGAGGCAGACCGAGCGAGCGAGGAAGCTTGTTGTTTGGTGGAGACTCCGCGAATTGTTTTGGGAGAAACCCGCCCGACGACCAACCACCGCGCGCCCTGTCAGCCAGACCTGGCCCAAATCGATGCATTTCAGCGCGCTGCACATTCTTAGCCTCCATTAAGCGCGTCTGACAGCCTTTGCTTCTGATCGCCTGGCAAAATTCTGGTGTCTTTATCATACAAATCACGCGCATTTGGGTCCACGCTCTGGCTGAGCAGTTGTGCGCGCGCGCTGCTGTCTACAACCTAAGTAGGTAATTTGTAAACAGTCGGAACCGCAGACAGGTGAGTCGTTCTATTTCACACATTTTAACTACAGATATCTACTATATATATATACAGGATGAGCTGGGTATCTTTTTTCCGTTTTTCTCTTTATCCACGCAGAGCTTCGATGTCATCGACCTGGTGATTGTTAGGACTCCCAACGGCCACGATCACCAGAATGGAACTTTAACCACAACATACCTCTTTCACAGCTTCGGGCGAAAGTACAATGGGGTTATCTTCTCCCACGCAGACGCTGTCCTCAATTCGTATCCCCATTCCACGGAACCTCGCAGGCCATCGATCATCGTCGGGAACATAGATACCGCTGCCAAGGATTAGCTTTAACGCAACCTACAACGTTCGTTTGGTACACGTACGGCTCGATCGTAATGCACTGGCCGGCCCTGAGGTTTACGTTTCTAGGAAAACCGGCTGCGTCGTGGACATCCAAGCCTATGTAATGACCAACGTGGTGTGGGAACAGAACTCTTATGGCCTATGTACGTAACACACCTAGTCAGCAAGGAAGGGTCCTGGACTGCAATAAGTGGCACGTACATCTCCTGAGACGTCAAAGTTGAGCTGCTTCAGCTGGTCCTTCAGGCCCTGCTCGGCAATTCCATGAATTCTATCAAGGGACAACCCAGCACTTTCGCGGCAAAGGGATACACAGCTACGATGCACATTCAACACGGCATTGTAGAGGTCCCGTTGCGCATCGGAGAACTTGCCATTAACCGGCCAGGTTCTCGTAACATCTGAGATATACCCGCCATATTCCTTTGGTCTGTTAGAATGTTCGCATCTAGGTGTTTTCGCACAGGGATACATACACCGCCTCCATCTACCAGGACAAATTGACCATCCCTGCAACCCTGGTCAGCCGATGTCATCTCACTCCCTTGATTGTATGTACCTCAGAACGTCATCATTTCTGGTGTAGTGAATGCTCAGCGCGTTCTGTACTCATTAGTAGGAGACATCTGGACGGTAGATGGACTGTGGGAACCTACACGTCCACCGGCAACAACAGGAACGAAGGCGCTCGTATCACAACCCTGGACCTTGAACTGGTATTGAAGGAATGCAGAGAGGTCTTTCTCCAGGGTAAAGTTTTTCTTCATGCATTCGGTAAAAGCTCGCCCTGTAGCCTGGCCGACTCGCCGCAGGTTTACTACCTCACTCTCGCTTTTAAAGACCCTCAGTTCGTTAAGTATCGGACGTAGCGGCTTGATTTTGCGCGGGTTGACAATCTTTTGTATCTCAGATTCGCCAGAAGTGCCATATAAATACCGAGCTAGGACCGATCTTGAGGGATCGAACGTCGTGATATCCGTATAGATCTCAGTCGCCTCGGAGAGAATGGGGGGCAGAATGTCTTTGATCCGTTCAATGTCGGCTGTCTGCAGGCAAAACTTAGCTTAGTCTTTTCCTTTGAATAAAAGACAGCAAGGACTTACTTCATCCGCATTGAAAACATCCATGGCTGCTTGTGTGCCAGATCGAGCGCCCTCCCAAAGTTCGGCCTTTGGGTCCTTTTCCCGCACATAGAGATGGAAGATATGATTGTCGCCAGATCCGTCGTTTGCTATTCCTCGTCAGAGATTTCCTGCCTCTCATAGATCGCAATGGAATGCACTCACCAATGATTGCCAGGGCACTAGGTTCAGTGAAACCTGTCAAATAGAAAAAGTTCGGGTCTTGATGATATTCATAAAAGATCCCTGGAGCGCGGTACTTGACCTCCGCCGCGGCCAGCACGGCAATCGCATTCCGCGGGAGTCGATTTGCGAGTCTGGAGCGACGATGGGCATATTCAAGTGCAGTTATCCCTGGCGTCACTTTCCCCAGTGTCAGCAACACAAATAGTTTTTCTAGAACAAGTGCATCTGTGCAAGCTATGCGGACATTCACCAGGATTTAGTATATGTGGATGCGTTTCGTGCACAGGCTGGCCAAACTGCAATTCCGCCGCGGAGATAGTGGCATAACTCCTACGACGGGCAGCTTGCCTCGAGCTTGCGGACAGCAAGTCATACTGGCCATGACGAAATTGAGCGGCGGAGCATTGAGAGCCGGAGAGACAATGTCGCCATTGGCGCAGAAATGATGTACGCCGCAACATGCTCAATCAATGCTGAAGGAAGGACCGTGAAGGCAAGCGATAACCTTTCGCACGTCTATCAGATCTGTCAACCAAGCCTTCGGTTGGTCGGCCGAATTGTTCCTCCGCAGCGCGGTCAGGCCCTGTCGGAGCTGCGGGCCAATCAGAAGCGCCATGATAACGATTATCGGCTGTACCTGCTCCGCGCGGGAAAGGCATGCAATCACCTCGAGGCTGTTCGCAATCCATCTCGGCAAAGTGACACGAGATCGATGTCTAATTCTAATGAAGTGTGTCTACGGGGTAGCTGGTGACTCAGAAGTCGCTAGCTGTGCGGCATGACCCCTGCTAATCCCAGGCTATACCTAGAACAACGGATATGTACTGTAGATATATATATTGCGGTTGGCCTCCGTCTATATATCTGTGTGTAATGAATAAATATATCGAGGTCCTCAGAGTGCCAGTCTATTAGTACTCTCGCGTGAACCATCATCTCCTATCCACATAGATCTATATTGCTTCATTTTAAACGGCAATATCCATACCACCCTGGTCACCAGGATGGGTCGAACGCTTGTGTATCCCAAGCGGAGCTCCAATACGGTCAGGCGGTACAGCCAGCGAGGTAAGACTTCAGTTCCTGTTCTGCAGGATGAAGGGCTGAACTCCTCCAAGCAACATACGATGTGCGGACAATTCACTCCATTATCAACTCGTCCCAGGTCCTTCATGTCTCCTTCAGTCCTGGCCCCTCTGACCCGTTTCCGGCTATCCTCCCGATGATAGGACAGATGGGGAGCTTCGAATATCCTTCCGCTGACCTCGGTGAACCGTTGGATTGCTACCTTCATGGCTACGTCAGCGCGCGGATAATGAACTTGGCCCGCAATGCGGAAGGAGAGGGTCTGCCTGTCTGTATAGCGGCCACGAAGGTTGATGGGCTGGTCCTGGCGCTTACGCCTTTCTCCCACAGTTACAATTATCGTTCGGCAATCCTCCACGGATATGCAAAGCTGGTTACTGATGAAGAAGAAAAACTTTATGCCATGAAGTTGATCACGGACTCGGTTGTTCCCGGCCGATGGGACAACAGCCGTGTGCCGCCGGATGGCGGCGAGCTGGCCTCGACAGCTATTCTGAAGGTCAAGGTCGTCGATGGCAGTGGCAAGATCCGCGACGGGGGTGTATCAGACGAACGCAAGGATAAGCAGAACGAAGAGACGACTGCTCGTGTCTGGACTGGCGTAGTCCCCGTCTGGGAGACCTTCGGGGAACCCATTCCAAGTGCTGAAAACAGGGTGAAGGACGTGCCTGAGTATATCGCTTCCCATGTGGCGCGGTCCAATGACCGGAATCGCACTTATGCAGTCGATGCAGTGAAGGTTGAACCTCCCAAGGAGGATTGAGTTAAGGGATAGCTTTCCCGGCAACTGGGTCTCGGATGGGACAATGTGAGGAATCAGGAACCAGAGCAAATGGTAAATATGACTCAAAATTGGCATGTTGAATGCAATTCCACTTGAAGAATTTAAAATCGTAGTCTCAAGTGTCACGGTGGAGTTGATATGATTTATGGAGGCAAGATTGCCCCGCGAACTCGATCGAGTATATATATGCAGGTGCGGGGCTAGATGCTGGAGAATGACATCTGGATTCTCAACACTGCAACAGCTGCGTTAGTGAGCCTTTCAATTTGAAATCATGTAGGCCCTTGAAGAAGAAATTTAATTTAACGGATACCTGTAACCATATTCCTTGACCTTCATAACAAATAAGAGGTAGTTAAATTGGTGGGCGGTTGGCGATAGCGCGTTTTGGTTCCACGTCATAAGTTTACCTAGGTGCATGCTGCAGCTCAGCTCTGCTTGTTATCTGCCTAGAAATCTCACGCGTCCAACGTCGCCTCCACATTAGCTTCTCATAACGCGTCTTCATGTGTTACAGCTGTCACATCTCAAGAATTTTCATAAACTCACTTAATACGCGTGTTCTGCGTGGCCTCCTTTCCTCCAGGAGACTGCATAGTCTCCGCGACCGACAAGCTCCCATGGCTTCCATCCCCGCCGCAGATCTTCAATCCTTTTCTGAATATCTTAAGGGCTGCACGCACATTCTTGCCCTTTTAGGTGCTGGCCTCTCTGCTTCGTCCGGTCTGCCTACCTTTCGCGGGGCTGGAGGACTCTGGAGATCTTATGACGCTACTTCATTGGCGACTCCGGAGGCCTTCGATGCGTCACCGGATCTCGTCTGGCAGTTCTACAGCTATCGGAGACACATGGCGCTCAAAGCAAAACCAAATCGGGCTCATTACGCGCTTGCGGAACTGGCAAAGAGAAATAAAAACTTCATCACACTGACTCAGAATGTTGATGGTATTCTACTTCCATTTATTCTCGCTTGAGAACTACGTTCCTGAAGCTAAAAAACTGTATTGCATTGCAGGACTTTCACAACGGGCTGACCACCCACCGGAACAGCTTCATCTTCTCCACGGCTCCCTGTTTGACATCAAGTGTACCTCATTTTACTGCAACTACTCCCGAAAGGACGACTTTACAGATCCAATTGTTCCCGCATTGGCCATCCCGACAGAAGGCCCCCAACCTGAGCCATCTGCGGATGACAAAACAGGAGAACAAGCAACAAAAAATCTTTACGGAGCGATGCAGGCAAAACAGGCGGCTGGACAACAGACAGGCAGGGAACTAGACATATCAGACCCGAAAGTGCCCATTCCGGAATTGAGAATCGAAGATCTACCACAATGCCCCCAATGTAAAGGACTCCTCCGACCGGGTGTCGTCTGGTTTGGCGAGTCCCTGCCGGCGCATACCATCCATGTTGTCGATGAGTGGATTAGCGCTGCCCCTCGGATCGATTTGATGTTGGTCATTGGGACAAGCGCCAAAGTCTGGCCAGCTGCAGGCTATGTTGATATTGCCCGTGCCAAGGGTGCTCGAGTTGCGGTCATAAATATGGACCCGAACGATATACCTGGATCTGAGCTGCAGTCCGGCGACTGGTTCTTCCAGGGAGATGCTGGAGTAATCGTTCCCGAGATTCTCAAAAGCGTTATCGGAGAGATATGAATACCGACTTCTTTTTCACTTTTTACACTTTGATTGATTTGAACAGGGCGCAAAAATTTCTCGCGTGTCTGCCTTTTTTCTAATATCTCTTTGTTGAGCCTTTGATATTGATGATTATGACTGATGACCATGCTCTATGTCTGAGTATTACAAAAGTTCATTCCTCCCATGTTTCTATCGGAGAAGGAAAAAGCCTTAGTAATTACCCTGTGACAATAGTAAATTTATCATAAGTTTCACCACATTTGACTGTTTGCCATCTTCAATTGGCATGACATGACTGTTCGATTCTATCAGGCCCTTACATAAGCACGCTAATCGCTTCGTCGTTGCCGTTGCTGTGGCACCACACCGCCTGCCCGCCCCGGATTAGCAGCCCAAACAAAGCCTGCCCGCTATCGATACGATGACGATCATCGACCTGCTTGCTATTCATTAACACCAAGCTCAGGAGCCTGTTATTACTCCTTAACATGCTCGTGGTTCACTTTGAGATGCATTGAAACTTTACTAAGGTATTGATACCATTGTTCTATTACCATGTTATTACCATGTTGTGCACAGCGTTTTATGCCCTTTAACGAACCAGAAAGGACTGATAATTAGACAAATGAATTAACGCTGATGACTATCTTTTCATGTGACAGGCAGGAGTGATAATATCGAAGCCCGTTTTACAAAATTCTTAGGGAGCTCAGCTGCAGCCTGGGCGGCCGAACACCTACGTGACCGTTCCCATTCTCAGGTCCGAGAGCAGCCGCGCTGTATCCATCAAACTCCAACATGTCGAACGAATCTCAACCTCCCAAGGGGCCTCTTTCTATTCGGGAGCCTAACGAGCAACTGCAAGGCGCGAGTCCGAAGCCTGAGTTCGGGAAGCCGACTGCTTTACGGTCCATCCACAGCCAATCCCAGCTCCCTTTCAACATCCCCAAAAAACATCAGCCGCGTCCTGAACATCACAGACCTCCAACCGTTCGGCCGCAGGCTCAGTCAGAGCATCGTGATGTTGGTGGATTAAGCGGAACCTCAGATGCTACTAAAGCCAAACAAAGAGAACCATTTGATCCATTTAAGCCAGTCAAGCCTTCTGCATACCACAGCTATCGATCAGCTCCGTCCTTAGATGATGAAGATGTTGTCGAGATACCTCGTCCAGCCAATTACACGTGGACCACGCCGCGGGCGCCGCGGACACTCTATTCATCGAAACCAACCGCACCCAAGATGTCGAGTTCCTCCAAGAACCTTAAGAATTTCATCGATCTCACCACGAATGACATTAGCTTTGCCACAAATGCCGGGAACTACAAGGAAGAAGTTGATTCCATAGATGCGTATTCTTATGTCGATGCGGCTAAAGCCCAGGAGAATATCAAGGCGCTGCTGGAGGGTGCATTCGAGGATGAGGATGACAAACCGCGCACAAGGTCTAGAAAAAAGAAGATCGAGGCAGATATCAACGATCTAGCAGCCAAGTTGCAGAAAGTCTCCGTCAATGAAGCCGCAGACAAAAAGGATGGTGAGAATGGCGGCCAAAAAGAAGATGAGGAGGAGGAGGAAGAGGAAGTAGATGATGGCACGAGGGAGGGCCTGAAAGTCAAATTATTGCCGCATCAAATTGACGGTGTGAACTGGATGTGTGATAAAGAGACGGGACAGAAGAAGACTAAGGGCGTCCATCCCAAGGGTGGCATTCTCGCAGATGACATGGGTCTTGGGAAGACTGTACAATCCATCGCATTGATACTCAGCAACCCAAGGCCACCGAAGGAGAAGGAATTGGAGAGAAAGGACGAAGAAGCAGATGCAGAAGAGGACACTAAAAAGGTCGAAAATAAGAGGACCCTGCCTCCCGAAGTGGACAAGGGGACTTTGATTGTTGCCCCTCTCGCTCTGATTAAACAATGGGAGTCTGAAATTGATGCCAAGGTTGAGGATTCCCACAAACTTCGTGTTTGTGTCTATCACGGGGCTGGACGGTCGAAATATGCCGACAACCTGAAGGATTACGACGTTGTTATCACCACTTACGGCACTCTCAGTTCCGAACATGCTGCATCGAGCAAAGGAACGAAAAAAGTTGGCTGCTTCTCCGTCTACTGGTACCGGATCATACTCGATGAGGCCCACACGATAAAGAATAGAAACGCAAAGGCAACACAAGCTGCTTGCGCCCTAGATGCGGAGTATCGGTGGTGTTTGACTGGGACTCCGATGCAGAACAACCTTGATGAGCTACAAAGCTTAATCAAGTTCTTACGTATTAAGCCGTACAATGACCTGGCTGCGTGGCGAGACCAGATTACCAGACCGCTGAATAATGGACGCGGCGGTCTTGCGATCAAACGGCTTCAGGTCTACCTAAAGGCGTTCATGAAACGGCGAACCAAGGACGTTCTCAAACTTGATGGCAATTTGAAGCCCAGTGAGGAGTCAGCCACCAACGGGGAGGAGAAGAAAGGCTCCGGCGGGTTTCAGATCACCAAGCGTGAGGTCATCAAGGTTACGGCGGAATTCACTCCGGCGGAGATGGAGTTTTACAAACGCTTGGAAAAGCGGACTGACAGCCGTCTCGCGCAGATGATGGGCGGTTCTAGGCTGGACTATGCCAGCGCCTTGGTCCTGTTGCTCCGCCTTCGTCAGGCATGCAACCATCCAGACCTTGTGAAGAGTGATCTTGCCGAGGACAAGGATGTGCTCTTGAGCAACAGCGCCTCTGGCAAGCAGTCGAAGGAGACAAAGCAGGATGATCTTGACAGCGTTGCTGAACTTTTCGGCGGGCTTAGTGTCGTTAGCAAGAAGTGTGATATTTGCCGAGCGGACCTGACACCAGAGGAATCCAAGAGTGGCTCGAGCAGATGCAGTGAATGCGAGGCTAGCTTGGACATTGATATGGTCAAGACGAAGGGGAAGGAGAAGAAAAAGCGGAAAGACGAGAAGAGGGAAGAAACTCCCTCAGCGTCGCCTCTTGCCCGTCGAGATTCTGATGCTCGCAAGGCTCGTTCCCGAAGAGTTAGGCCAGTCGTCGAGGACAGCGATGATGAGGAGGAGGACGGAGAGTGGATCGTGCCTAAGGACCAGCGTTCGACCACTGACCTAGGCAAGGCGGGAGGCACCGATGACGAGAATGCAGAAGGAGGCGGAGAATGGCTGAACTCGGAAGATTCTGAGACTGACGATGAATATTCCTCACCCCAGAAGAACGAGGTGATCAGCCTTTCGAGTTCTGACGAGAAGGAAGACGCTAATGACTCTGATAATGATGATGGGGAGACTGACGAGGGTGAATCGAATGATTCAGAAGAGGAGGATCTGAGTGACGACGATGACGATGAGAATGATGTCGTGGCATCCACTAAGATCCAATCCCTCATGAAAATTCTGAAACGTGAGGCTCCCAAGTACAAATTCATCGTGTTCTCCGTGTTTACTACGATGCTGGATAAGATTGAGCCGTTTTTGAAGCGTGCGAACCTTGGGTTTGCCCGCTACGACGGCGGGATGAGGAATGACCTGCGTGAAGCAAGTCTGGACAAGCTCCGAAACCACCCCAACACACGAATCCTGCTGTGCAGTCTGCGAGCTGGGTCTCTGGGCCTCAACCTGACTGCTGCAAGTCGGGTGGTGATCCTGGAGCCATTCTGGAATCCGGTAAGTTGGATGTCATCTTGCGTTGTAACTAATAGCTGTCGAGGCGTTGACTGACATTCGACGGTGTCTAGTTTGTCGAAGAACAAGCTATCGACCGAGTCCACCGCCTCAACCAAACACTCGACGTCAAGATCTACAAGATGACGATCAAAAACACTGTTGAAGAGCGGATTCTGGATCTACAGGAGCGCAAGCGAGAGCTGGCGAATGCTACGATCGAGGGCAAGACGGCTGCGGCGAAGCTTACCATGCGTGACATGATGGCGCTGTTCGGTCGCGAGGCGGAGGCTCGCTTTGACCAGGATAGCTTTGAACTCGGTCAGAAGACGCGACTGCTGGGGTCGAAGGATGACGACACCGATGGCTTTGGTTCTGGAAGAAGTGGTGACGTCTCCTCTTCGCGGTCCACTCCACAGGATCAAGGCCGTCGGGAGAAGGCTGTCAACAAGGCCAAACGGCCGCCGCGGGTGGAAGACTCGGTTTATGGCAGGCGGTGGTGATTGCAGCGCGTGACTAGACATACTCCGTATTCTTGGTTCATTTGGATGAAAGCTAAGGGTTAAGGGACATGATGGATATGGATAATTCTCGGGGTAATTTCTGGAAGTAGATCGGCGTTAAGGTTATGGTATTTTTTTTGAGATGGGCCTGTTGTTGGCAATAGAAGTATCCTTTGCTTCGAAGCTGGAAATCAAATCACATGGATTGACAGACTTTGAGCGATATGTCTGATCTCGCTAGCCCAGACACTTTTTTTGGATGATCTTTTTTCTTTTCAGAGAGTAATGTGAAACAAACGCACAGAGCATGTAAATAATAATAATAATAGCGCACGCAGTAAGTAATTAATACTCCGTATGTTGTTAGCTAGCCTTGCATATGATATGACTATTACCGATACGACGAGTCGACGACCGACGAGATCCGTCCGGCTCAAGAGAGAGAGACATGGGAATCGGAATCTGTTGATCTGTTGGGTTATTTTATTTTTATTTTTATTTTTATTTTTTTTTTCTCAAAGGGAGGAGGCTAAGAAAAGAAAGGAGTTGAGGGCTTGAGGCTGTAGAGCTAAGCTGAATACGAATACCAAGCTACCAAGTTCTAACTAATAGTTGCTAACTAATTAGTAATAAAATAATAATGATGATAATAATGACTTAATGACTTGGATCCAACACGACACCTGTCAGTTCAAGTTGTCAGTCTGGTCATAGTGGAGAGACTCCGAATGTGGAGAAGGAGACAGAGACAACCTACGGGGCAAGGTGGACCCTGGGACGCTGATCCTGGACTACTAGTAGCGTGGTCAGTGGACACTGGACTGTACTTACTACCTAGTGGGATCATGGATGCATGCATATATACTCTGTAGACTCTGTAGACCATATAGAGATTAGTGCTAGAAGATCTTTTATTCTCTCACCCCTGTCTGATGTAAATATTATTCATCGTGTCTAGGATCCTATGTGTTAGCCTGTTAGGACTAGTTCATGATGGTTGTTGACCTGTCTCTACTCTCTAGCTGCAGCATGCATGCACGGAGAAATAATAAGGAGACAGGCAGCCTCTAGGCATGCTTATAATAGAACAGAACAAAGCATTATTCAACAGCTCACAAACCTAAAATCTGACTCACTACTACTGACAGGGGTGTGTCTCAAGACTGTGATGAGTGATCACGCCCCTGTTCTCAGCTAAATGCGGCATGGTGCAGTAGCGTATGCAGGCATGCGGGCATGTGCATGGAACGATGTTCTGGAAGGACATGGCAGGAGACTAGGTAGGAGAGGACCTTGTCTCCCTGTCTCTCCTTTTTCTTTCAACTTTTCAGTTTTGGGCTCCTTCTGCCTGTTTCTCCGCCTGGCTGTCACTCATTCACTCACTCAGTCTGACTGTCTCACTCTATTTTTTTTTAAATTAAATACTGCTGACTGGCTGAACTGTCTGCTGCTCCTTTATCAAGTTGCTACTTAGATCTCAGGGAGGAAAAAAAAGATAAAATAAAAATAAAGTAAAATAAAAAGGCTGACAGTAACTTTGATCTAGCAGCCATCCAAGTCGGTGAAAGAGCTGACAGGTCAACAGTACCTAGTCAAGGGAAGGATTAAGGAAGGGTCTTAAGGCCCCGAATTTTGTGACCCCAGATCCTTGTACAGAGTTAATAGTTGATGCCCAGTGGCTTACTGCCCACTCAACTAACCTGGATAATGGATGTCTGTCTGCCTGCTGACACCAAATTCAACGTGCAGATGGTTTCTCCATTCAGAAAGAGCGGTGCTGTGGACGCTGTACTCACGAGGCGGAGTTCTATCTTCCCGACTAGCAGGAATTCACACAGTCACGGGACGGACTGGAATTTCCAGTTTCTTGGTAAACTAGCCCGAGACTACGCGGTCAGCCTTGTTGGGCTGCTGGCAACGGGGTCGGCGTTGGACTCGTAATCGACAGCGTAGTACGAGGAGGACCTCGTGCATAAGCGTCCAGACTAAGCTGTCTTATGATGCGTCCATCAGTCAGTCTCCATCATGCAGCCATGCTGATAATATGCCACCGAGTCATCGATATTTATTTATCTTGGAGGATCGGCCGTTTTGACTGTGCCAGATTCCAAGGTTGCGGGAGTCGTCGAACCGCTGCTTCCCATGCAGGACAAAGGCGCCGGACCAACCAGACTGTGCAGGGGAAGTGCCGAAGTGCGTCCTCCGCTGCCATTGGCGGACTGGGTCGTGGCGGCCACGTTTGGCCAACGGAGGCCGGCCACTGGTCAGCTGGCCTGCCGGCTACCCTGCACGGTGATTGGCCAGCCTGTAGCGCAAGCCCCGCCCATTCGCTGTTTCCGAGTCTTTTAATATTTTTTTACAGAAGGAGCGCCTGCAGTGCCTGGGGCATGCCTGCCCGCTCTGCAACGGTGAAACAAAGGCTGCGCTTGCCAGTAACTCCTCCACTTGGTCACCAGCGACGCAGCACTATTTACCTTTTATCTAAAGAAAAGAAAAGAAAAAGCAGAAACAGAAGAATAGCCTTTCTGCCCATGTGCCAGCTGTCTCCATGTGCACGCATGCTGCCATGTGATTCTCCTCGGAGCCTGCTTGGCTAATCAGGGGATTCCGCCCCAGCTGGAGCCCCGGGGTGGGCGTCCTGCCCGGGGGCGCTGTACGAATGGCGATATGACGCAAGTCGACGTCCCTCTGCATCGTGGGTCCAGCGCCGCTGCTCGCTCGGGAAATGCTCGACGCTGCAGTACGGA